CTTTATCATTAGATAAGTTTAATCGAATGAGTTATTTTTTAAAATATTCTTTTATATTGAAATAATACAACATAATATATGAATATAAAATACATCATAACAAGTGTCAACATGTGTGACGAAGTATCGCATATCTTTTGAAAAATGAAAGTCACAAATGAGATTTAAATGCACGACTGAAGTAATGTGAAAAATAGAGTGTCAATATGAAAATGTCTGAAATATCAAAGACACATTATGCTTATTTGATGCATTTAAATCATTTAAATCATTATTTATTAAACACACATAATTAAAAAATTTATTAAACTAAATTTTATAAGTAGTTAAATGCAAATTATATTGGATTCAAGTCATTTCCACAAAGATGATTTAATTGTTCTTTTGAGTGTAAAAGGTTTCCTTCTTTTTACTCTCTCATTTCATTGGCCTTCGTAAACATAAATACTTCAATTAATTTATCAATCATGTTAGTGGTGTGACATTCTTTATCTTCAATGCCTAAACATTTGAAAGCTTTAAAGACATAAAGATAATTTTTTTATTCTCCAAAAGCTATTTCTACATTTATTATTTCACAGTTGACATTCACTTTAGAAGTGGTCAATAAAATACTCCGTAAAATAATTGACATTTGTCTCATATCGTGTAAAGTATCATTGTCCTCCCCTTGTAGGGGGGTGCATTGTCCTTATCATAAGTTGAAGATAATGTATAATTCAATAAATTTTCAGTAAGCTCCTCAAGTAATTTCAAAGCTTCCTCATCACTTTTATTCATATAAGATCTTCCACATGATGTATATATCATCTATTTATAAGTTTCATTCAATCTATGATAGAATATTTATACCATCTACCATTGATTTATCCCATGATGTGGGTATTTCTTAAGTATACCCTTAAATCAACCCTAGGCTTTATGAAATGGTTCTCCTTAAATCTAATTGAAACTCATGATGGCTCTCCTCATTGCATTCATTTTGTCTCGCAAATATCTTAAGAATTTGTTTAGTTACCACTGTCCTTGTGTTTACATTCCTTTTAGCGTTGAATATCAAAAACTAGTTTCATCTTTTAAGGAGAAAGGGAAAAGAGTGAGTCTAAAATGTGCGTAAGCTTAGCTCAACTCATCTTTGTAAAGTGATAGTTGTTTAAGAGTTCATTGCCACTGAACTTTCACTCTACTGAGTGACAACCAGTAGATGTACTTTATTGACTCACCTCATCAATTTCTAAACTCTACAAGAGGATCTAGAAATTGCCCATATTGTTAATGTCTAAAGAGAGCTCTTGAGACCCTAAACATCATACAAAAATCTTTCTAAATATTCATAATCTCGATAGTCATCGACTATGATAACATAACTCTTTTTTTATTTTAAACCTAATTATTATTTAAATGCCTAAGGAGTGATTTGTGTGATTTCAAGTTTTGAAACCTTTTTTTTAGTCAATTAAAATTATGTTAGCTTTTACAGATGTTAATTTGATCAATTAAATCATCTATAATTATTTACGTCATAATGGTTAAGTGAAACTATTTTTCTACTCGAATCATATTCATTAGATGTTGACATCACTCATCCTAATGCCATCACTCAAATTTTCTTTTTCTCACGAATTTTTAAATAGATTTGGCCTTCATTATTTAGTTTAAACATTATAAAAAGTCATATTTTCTGATTTTTTTTGAAATTTTATCTAATATTATCTTACAACATGTGATTGATTGACTTTTTTTTACTATTTTTTAATTTTTTTTCTAATTATAATTGATATATTTGTGTTAACCTGCATTTTAAAATCTAAAACTTAATTTTTTAAATTTTTTAAATTTTAATTTTACATGATTTATTATACAATGATTAATTCATGTTAGTCGACAACATTTGAAAAATCCTTAGTTTAATATCATCCCCACAAAAAAGATGTGACATAAGTTATAGGTAGGTTAAACAATCCAACTATTTAGGAGGGTCAATTATGTTTTGATTGTTCTTCATCTCCAACAATGGCTCTAAATCTTTAGGTTTTGGCTTGCATTTAGTTTTCAAGATGGAGTTTACTAAGATATATTTAAGTGACCTCTTATCATGCATACACAGTTGAGAATCAAGAGTATATGAATTCTAACAATATAAAAGTTGAAGAAAATATAATATTTTTTTTCAATCTATATATACACATAAAATAGAAATCAAACTTTCAAGGATGAGTTTAGAGAAGATTTCACTACAAACTAACAATTTTCTTCTTTACTTAACTACTAAAATATAAACAAACCTTGTTATAATTCTGTTTTTTTCTATAAAATAAATAAGAGGTAAAATTTAAGATGTAGTAATACAAATGAACAAAAATACTCACATAAAGATTTAATACTTACACAAAGATATCCAAATTTACATCTTTATTTATTAAACACACCTAATTAGAAAATTTACAAAATCAAATATCACTAGTTAAATTCAATTTAGAATGAATTCGGTTTTTTTTCACAAAGATGATTTGTTAAAAAATAATAGGCAAGCACTTTGCCCTTTGTTTTAGTAAAAACCAATGGGAAATTGAATTTGAAGTTTGGATTAATTCTAAAATTAATAGATTAACAAAATAGGAATGTGACTAAATCAGTTTCTTTCCATCAAATATGTCACCTACTTGATAAAGAAGAACATGAGGCCCAACTGTAATTGTAGAAAGAAAGAAGAAATGAACGTATAGAAAATAGTTCATTGTAAAATTCTTATGTCACCCAAGATTTATAAAGAGTAAGAGTATTACTCAATTGCTATCACCAAAACATATGGAAAGTAATAAATAATAGATGTTCTCTACTATGTCACCCGACAAATAATGAGAATAAAAGGAAAAGAAAACACTTCTTTTTGATCCTTGTGTCACCTAAGGATCAATAGGGGACAAATATAAGTAGGAATTACATCTATAAAAGACATGTTGAATAGATGAGAGGGTGATGGAAATGGGTTTGTCTTCTTCTGTTGTGTCACCCAACAGAGAGAAGTTCACCATCATGTTGCTGCAATCACTATATGTTGCTGTCACACTATTGCTATTATACCACATGCTACTATGTCACGTCGCCACCATTGTGTCACTTGATGTTGTGCCACCATCCTTGTCACACCCTACCTTAGTTATCTGAAAAAGTTAACACACTAAAATGAGATTTAAACTCAAAAAGTAAGTTATGTAGAAATAAAAAAAATGATAACTGAATTATTCAAATCTAAATAGGGGTGAAATTTGAACTTAGAGCATTGTAGCGATATGTGGAAAGTTAGTGAAGATATTCAATGTAAAACATATGATTAGTGACTAAAGTAAGACTCAAACTTAAGACCCTCAAGGTAGTTGAATTAGACCATTTGCATGAAGCGAAGAAAGAGGTGAAAAAGTTGTGGTCATGTAACTTGCATGGTGACATGTAAGAGTCCTATATGGGGGAAATGAAAAATTGGAAATAACCACATTTCAATTTGATATGAAGTGAAAGATCATTGAAGTTGTACATATCTCTAAATAGAAGCCTCAAAGTCCACATGTGAGAGACTTGCATGTTTCAAAGTGAATGAAGACTTAAGGCTAACCTCTTATACTTTAGATGGTAATATGTCATTAGAGCTCCAAATTAAATGACATGTTCAATGACAAGATTCTAGCTCAATCTTAAACACATGTTCATTGAATAATTGAGTATCTCTTGATATGATATTGACGTGACTTAGTCATAATATAGTAAATCATACAAATTTAAAGTTTATAAAATTAGAAAATATGAATATTTAAATATTTACAAGTATTTATGAACAAATATATCAATTATAATTTAATAAAACTTTCAATAATAATAATAATTTTTCCAGTCGGTCATAGGGGTGTAATATAATATTGAGTAATTATTCAGAATTTTTCTCAAAGAATACTATTTTTTATGGATTTTATATTAGGAAATAAAAATAAAGTATATTTAAATTTTTTGAAAAAGGAAAATAAGAGTGTAGACATCAAGATGACATCAGCACTCAACGAATGCAAATTAGATAGAAATAGAGTTTTATCTGATGATTCTTACGTAAGAGATTATAGATAATTTAATTGATCAAATTAAGATTTATAAAAAGTAGAAAAATCGTAAGTGAATAAAATATATCTTACTAAATTTAAATCATATAAATTATCACTAAATGAAGTAAAAATTAAGTTGAAAGCAGGAAAAAAGAGTTCTGACATTGTGGCAATGATGCGTCAACGATACACTGAAATCCTGAGCATTCAGAATGATTGTCATATAGTGTCTACAACCTCAAAAGCTCTCTTTGGACAAGGACGACGTGGGCAATCTCTAGATCTCCTTGCGAAGTCTAGAGATCAATGAAATAGATCGTCAAATCATCTCTGATAGTTATCACCTGACAGAGTGGAAAAACGGCAACTTTGTGACTCTTCGACAGTTGTCACCTGACGAAAAGGAGCTAAATAGAAGTAGGGCGCACGTCAAGGAGCTTCATCTTCAAGTCTGCACAGTAAAAGGAGACTCTTCATCACATCCGATACACTCTCAAGAGTGCCGACTCATCTCTTGGTGGATCATCCTCTTCCCAACGATGGCTTGTTCGTCGATCAATCGGAGATACTTTACTCGATAGATTCGTGATTCTTTTATTACAAATCGTTCAACAATCTTAGTAACAATACTTCACGAATCATATTGACGAGATTTTTGCCGATGATCTAACGATTCTAACGGCTTAATCCTTCATTGGAGATCTATAAGAAAGTCGTGATAATCAAATAAAAATATGAGTTTTGGCTTTGGGAGGATTCAAACTTGCACTGATTGCCCGCCTACATAAGAGAGATTGACATAAGTACTTTATTGTGTTTATAAAATGATATCATTATGGTATATCTCTATTATAAATAAGGAGTGTTGTAAGTATTAAAATCATCTACATCTTTCTGGAGAAGTGTGACATGAGTTTAGTCCCACATCGCTTGTGTGCCGAAGTTTCGGGTGAATATATAATAATATTATACTTGCAAGTAAGTTCTTTTCTCCCACTTATATGATCATTCTTTGCCCCACAACCAGCTGGCCACTAGTGACGTAGAAGGAGAGTGGTGCACATGTGCCCCTATTAGTACTAGTCACTCGAGCTCTTACTCGTGGCTCCTCCTTGACTACGCTTCTGACATGCTTGCGGGCCTGACTAGTTGATAGGTCTCACCTATTTTGTAATATTTTTATTTTTATTTCTTTTTCTTTATTTATCTCAAAAGTAAAATTGTAAAAATCATATAAATTCATATAAAATCACATAATTACCTTAAAATTCTTGTTAATCAACTAAAAATAAAATTTCACACTTTAACACAAATATAAGTCTATTTATCAAAGCTAAAACTATATTATTTATTAATTATTAACTCATGATAATGAAGACTTATCAAATATCAAGGATATTATACTTATGAGTTGAAAGATCTAAGTAAAAGTATGACAAAAGGTATGAAACTCAGATTTTGAATGGTAACTCGTTAATATAAGATTTAGACTAAAGACAAATCAAATAGTTTCCTTTGACCAAGACCTTAAAAGAAAAAATATTTATTGATAAAGTACAAATTTTTATATAAGATATCGCAAACAACTATCATCAAAATAAATATTGAGAAGTAGAAAATAACTAAAGGTTACCAAAATGTTTGTGGAGCAAGAGAAAATATTCAAAATAATAAGACTATTTTCAGATGTTGAAGTGACATAGATCTATTAAAATATATGTGAAGTGAGCTGAGAATAAATCAAATTAATATTGAATAAAGAAATCTTAGTCAACATTACTCACATAAGTAAGATAAGAAATCACATTTGATCATCTACAATAGACGACCAGGAGTTTTAAAGAATGAATCAACAATTCATCATACTCGATCATATGTGGCAACATACAAGTCAATCAACTATATTGAGTGCTGTCTTTCTCCATCAGGTCTAAAGGTTACTTAAGTGGTGAGTGGAGAAAAAGTAAAACTAAGGCACAAGATGTTGAGAGTTAGATTCTGCCCATAAAAGGTGTTGTTCTTTGAGAAGAATTATATCTTATCTTAAACATCTGGTGTTATGAGTCAAGACTTGACAATGAGAGGTAAGATATTTATGAAGATCAAACAATTACATTGGAAGAGTTAAGTCTATGAAATTAGCTGTATTTTTATTAAAAAATAATAGAGACCTAGAAAAGAGATCCGTCAATATTAAATATATTTTAAGGAAAAGTGAACTCTTTGTGTCTACCATCACTAAGAGTGAGAGAGCCAAAAACTATAATGTCTGCATGACTTAAATAAGAATTGCAAGTTAAGTTGCATACATATTTCATAAATTGAGTTAGAATGTGTGTCACCACATAGAAAACTAATCCACATCCTCCCCTCTCCTTCTTGGTACTTCACTAGTCACATTGAACCCAACAAGATATAATAAAATATTAGAAGTACAAGTTGAATATAGATTAAAGTTAATGTTAAATTAAAAAAAATCATCCACACCTTTCACACAAGTTCAAGAAGAAGATCCACTCAATCCTTTATAATAAAGCAGCCACACAGCTCAAAAAAAGATTCAAAGCTTTATCTTAATCATCTATAGTAATGTATAAATTATTTAACTACATCAAATGTTGTCTCTCTCCATCAGGCCCTAAAGTAACATAAGTGGTGAGTAGAGAGAGGATAAAGTTAAGGCACAATATACTAGAGCTAGAATCTACTAGTATTTGATATTATTATCTGAAGAGAAGAATCTATATGGTGCTATGAGTCAAGATTTACATGTGATGGGTGAGATATCTTTGAAGATTGAATAATACTATTTGAGAGGGATGAACTCATAAAGTCAATTGTATTTCTAAAGAGAAATAGTAGAAATCAAATATGAAGATCTTTTGGTATTAAATGTAGCTCAAGGAAGAGTGAACTAATATAAAAATCTGTGTCTATCATAGTAGAAGTCAAGTGTCACAATGAGAAGTTGTCTCCATGCTTCTTTGCTCTTGACAAGGTCTTGGAACACATTAGCATATTGCATACCTTCTACAACTTCCTCTAACAGCCAAAATTCATAATATTTTCCAAGTTTCTTAGTTGCAGTGAGCACTTGGAGTAGAACAAATAAACTAGTCTCTTCCTCTAACACTAAGCAAGGACCTTACATGGGACTTTCAACAAGAGGAAATCCTAGATGTACGTCATTCTACACATGGACTGGAGGTGCTTGAATGTTAGAAGGACCTATGATTGTTTGAGGCTATATGGGAGCTTGCCCAAGACATTTAGGACTTTTTGCCTAACATATATCTTGGAGACAAGGTGTTTGAAGCAATAGGGGGAAGTGTCAGGCCCTTGGCCCGACCTATAAACAATTAGGCCCAAAAGAGTGGACCTATTAAGACCAGTCTTGTAAAACGGAAGGGGAAGAGGGGACAGAGGGAAGGACAACTATTATGTAGGGAGCATAGATAGAGGCTGGGGTGCCTTGAAACCCCAAACTAGGGTTTTAGTTCTTCTATCTCTCCCTCTTTTCCTCTTATTATCCACAATGACCTCCATCTACCAAGGGGGGAAAGTCACTGCATTTCCTTTATCTTTTCATCTAGGTAACAGCATTGTTACACAAACCTGCCTCAGCCCAACCGCTATAAGAGATTTATCTCTCTCTCTCTCTTTCTCTCTCTGATCCCAGGCTTCACTGAAGCTTATTTTTCAGGCATTTTTTTCTGGGTCTCGAGTGGCAGGGCAAGACCTGGGCCTGCAGTTGACACTCCTATCTATTCATAATCAGCTCTTCTAGAGTATCATTATCTAAAAAGTCAAATGCCATCAAGATTGAATTCATCAACTTCACCGGTTACTGCCTTCATCGTCTTTTCATCACACTCTGGTAACCTGCGCTAGTTTATTTCAGGGTGGTGATGGTGATGCTGTACTCCACGGACACTTGGTCAAGCAGAGGCCCTGGGTAGAAGCGGCAGCTCAGGGTGGATGGAAAACCCTCTCCTCTAGAATCTCATACAAGGAAAAGGGTAGCAGAAGTGCCCAGAGCAGCTCAAGGACAGTGTGCAGGCATCAAGCTATACCTCTTTTTTGTGTTCTTTAGAGCTTCTTCTGGCTATCTTCACTTGGCGCATTGGAAAGAGCTTGGAATCATACACATGCATATATTCTTTCCCACGTAGGGTCAGAAGGTTAGGACATCGATTTTTTCGAACATGGCTATCCTTTTTAACAAGAAAGTGAGGACTTTCAGTGCGGTCAGGAAACCCAAAAAGTTGCCTCCTTACTCCCTGTTTAGAATCAGAAGGTGGGATCAAGACGGGGAACGAGAAATTAATCACATAAATAGAAAAAAGATCAGAGCACCAGGCCGGGGCTTCACAGGACCCCATTTTCCACACCCAAGCCTGGTCCACGCGGGCGTCTAACTTCAGTGACTTCAGCAGTCTTCTTCATAGAGAATACGATGCAAAGGGCTCATTCAGTGCTCTGTCACTCACCCTCTGGACACCAACATACTTTGTTCATGCTTTCAAGGCGCATATCAGCACCTTCTATGACAAGAAAAAAGAGTGCTTAAATACAGCGCCATATATCGCACATCTCTTGCACTTTCCACACAAAACAAGCACACATCAGACAGGGCCTATCTTCGAGAAAATAGCAGAGTCACGAGCATGATGAGGCTACTCTGCCCTCCGCACCTCGCCAGGCCCAGCATTTCCTTCTTCCATCTGGGAAGGCTGGCTCCCGCCCAAGTTCTGCAGCTGGACACCGACTCCCTTTGCCGGCCCTCCCCCTTTTAACCCCACATTTAGTGGTGAGCCTGTTCCCTTCCGCTTCTTAACCTTCTCAGCCCAGCCAATAAGACCCACTTGCACATGTTCATCGAAGATCTCCTTCTTGAATGTGCTGCCCATCTGTGAAAACGGGAGAGCAAGCAGCCACAGCAGTAGCCGGTATGATCAACCTATTTCATGGCCTATAGATGAAGGATATAAAAGATCTTTGGATCTGGGAGGTACCTGGGTGACGAGGGCATAGAGTGGTAGGGTGCTGTAGCTGCAGAGAACCTGAATAATCACTCTAAACCAAGCAAAATTGATGACATAAGTGGCTTGAAGACGAACAGCTTGATTCCTAGATTATACTTTAAAAAACAGACTTAGCAAATGATGCTCACCCAATCACAAGCCTGGGAACGATGTACCCAACATGGCCCATTATGCAGGAATCAAAACCGTAAGTTGTCTGTGTAACAAACAAGAGCACGTCAGAATCCTTTCCTGGTTCTAGATGCCCGGAAATAGTCGACTCAACAAAGGGATATGACACCAAGGGGGATAGCTTCTTCTCAACCAGGTACGGAAATCTGAAGTAGATTTTAAAACAAGAGCCAAATGGCAGGGGGGCTGCGGGCCTCTGGCCAGCACATGAGCACTATGTCAAAGCACTCACCAATATCCAGAAGAAGAAGGCAATCTCAAAGGCATTCTGGAAGAGGATGAAGTGAACCAAGTAGAGGACGACTCGAGGCCTGTGGAACCAGAAGTGATCATCTGACGGCTTCACTATGAGGTCACCCTCGATGGCACAGTGTTTCTCAGCAACCTCGTGCGCCAATTGAGTGATCACGTGCTCCAGCTTGGTGCCAACAGCAAGCAGCATCTGCAAACATCGAAATATTTGGTATGATCCGAAGATATTCACTGTAAAAGATCATATAATCTGCCGATAATCGCATTCAATTTGGCATTTATCTCGATTATCTGATCCTCTTCTAGACTTTTTTTTTCAAAAAAACTAGTTGGGTAGCAGGGAGGACAACATAAAACTTACAATCAAGGGGACAAATGCCAGCCAAAAGTACATATGCCAACCTTCACAGAGAGAAGAAAAAGAATTCATGAGCATCTATAAAAAAAATGGATAAAAAGTAAAGATAATATTTATTTATTTTCACCATTAAGACGATTTGACTTGTAATTAGCTATAGTCTTATAAACTTAATTATAGGCAGCTTTAACCCTCATGCTAACCGACAGTAAACCATAGATGAATAATGAGGTCAATATGAACCTTTCTAGTAGGGAAAAAATGAGAACACTGATGGCATGAACAGATCTAGTTCACAAATGTCTTCAGAATGACTTGCTTAGATATTAGATTGAAATCCTTTAAGAGAAAAAGCAAAAGAAGAGATTCAGATGATATGGAGAGAATTCATCCATAAACTAAACCAAAAGATTAGGGCAAGGCTTTGAAGTACCGTTGACATTCAGCAGCAAGAAGATGACAACAAAAACCCAAAGGTACCAACTGCAAGAACGAATGAAAGTGTCAAATAGAATGCTAAAAGAAGGGAAAATGAGGCTGACTTTATTTGACGCGATGAGATGCATAACAGAAGATTACTTGTAGTATTGTCAACCATTGAACACTCAAGTACCTTATCCCGACAACTTTCTTGAAATCAGATTCCAGGACACGTATCATATAATTGTGGAAATTAAATTTTGGATTTCCCCTGCAATGAGTCTAGGGAGAGAGATCATGAGTTATTTAAACAGGAAGTAGAAGAGGACAACAGACAATGACCAAAAACAGATCTTCAGGCCCCCTGCTGCTTACCATAATGAAACCCAGTCGCAATGTGGAGTAGTCTGATTTCGTGATAGATCCGTAGAATTGCTTAAAGAAAGAATGCTGAAACAACATGCAACCATAATGAAACAAACTGTTTGACTTTTTTCCCAAGTAATAACCAAAAACTATGCCACAACTGATGACAGCCTCTACTGAATTGAGATGCTTAGCAGGTGCATGCGAAAAGTGGACACCATCACATAGAACTGCCCTAAAAATTCATGATCTCAGGTTCTCACAACGCAAAGCTTTGAAATTTTGTAAACAGATGATCAAGGATTTTTTACTAATGGCAATATGAGTAGACCCACAGATATATACTCATCATTACTACAACTCAGGCAGCCTAGAATCAGGTATATTTTCCACTGAGAAATGTGCTACTCACCACCCAACTCATTATCCTAGAATCCTTCCCAAAACCCTTGAACCGCTCCTTGATGAAGTCAAACTGACGCACATGGGAGATTTTTGGTGCTGAAAAGAGAATTACACCAATCAGTGGATAGTAATATGTATGTATATATATATATATATATATATATCTATATATCATTTTTTTCCAAGGAAAAAACTTGTATTGGGGCATCTATCCTTTAGAATTTCATCTTTCAAAATTCTCATTCCACTATGAACTAAAATTGTCACATGCTTAGATTTTGAGTTGATCCAGGCTACTACCAACTCAGTAGCCTTGGTTTTGTTTTTAATCAACATACAGTATGACCACAACTACGATGGAGCAAAGCAGAGGAGAAAACAAGAGTCTCCAGTACAAACCTGCTGCATTTTCGTTTCCTGCTCGCTTCATAAGAAAATCTTCGCAATGTTTCCATTGACGTATCTAGAAATTCACACATTAAATTATTATAATCAATATTATACACATACATGTTATCTTGTAAGAAACACAAACCGGTAAGATTTTAAAGAACACAAGGAATTAATTTAGTGAGGGTAGCATTTACCCTCGCCATCCCTAGAAGCATTGTGATGGCACAGAAAGTGACGTGGGCAATGGCCAGAACGAATATGAAGATATGCAACTGGTGCAGGGCTTCCAGAGACAGCAGCGGCACCTTTCCCTGTAGAATAAGAAGAAAAGAAAGGAACCCACAGCGAATCAAAGTCAGGAGCTTCCCCTTGGGGTATAAAAAAAAGTGAAAAGTTTTTCAAAGGGCACCTTCTTGGCGCAGTGGTCGGATCCGCCGCCCCCAGCAAGGAGCCGTCTGCCACCCCCGAGGATGCCGGAGAAGAGGTTAACCTGATAGTGAGAAGAGGAGGCGCTGTCCTTGTCTTCCCTCTTACAAGGAAGCAAGTGACGGGTCAACCTCTCAGGGATGCATATCTTCTGAATCGATTTCTGGAGCACCGTCAGCATCAGTGAGATAAAACCAAGGAGCATCAACTCTGCAAGCCCAGATCAGAAGGAGGACAGGGGAAGATTAGGGCTTGGGCGTCCAAGAGAAAATCGGACCACCATATTTTTAGGGGGAAAAAAGTGTGGACGGATATGACTAACCTTCCTTCACCTTCTGCAGAGCTTCGAACAGAGGTTTTTGGTCCTTTTTCTTTAGATACTGCAGTTGGCGAGAGAGAGAGAGAGAGAGAGAGAGAGAGAGAGAGATGAGATTCAGAAGAAATCTTCGCTCCTACGACCCAAAGGGAGGGGCCTCAGAGTAGCAGACAACAGACATATTGCACAATATCTGAAGCCACACGGTGTTTGGGTACTCCATGAGAGCGGCGATCAAGAAGCGGGAATACCTTGCCGAGATAGTGGAGGACGCGCTCGACGAAGAGCGAGATGAAGACGATGACGGAGCAGACGATCGCCACCACCCACGTCGGCGTGAACTCCAACGATACCTCTTGTTCCCCGGCACCTCCAGCCATCTCCTCCCCGTGTTCCTACCCCTCGCTCTCTCAGTCTTCCAGAGCACGGACTGTGATCAAACTGAAGAAGCTCACGAGACGCGTACAAGACTCATTCTTCGTGTTCCTCTCTCTCTCTCTCTCTCTCTCTCTCTCTCTCTCTTTGTCTCTCTCTCTCTCTTTGTCTCTCTCTCTCTCTCTCTTTGTCTCTCTCTCTCTCTCTCTTTGTCTCTCTCTCCTAAGTCCACCCACCCTGTCGAACGCTGACAACTCCTCAACGTCTGATATCTTCCACGCATATGCGCAGCGGTTCCTTCGACCCAATTCGTCGCAAAAAAATAAAACCTGTCATTATATCCCGATTGAACACCTGCATAGTATAAAAAAAATGAAATATTATATTTTTAATAACCCGCATCTTATCAGAAAAGACTCAGTATATCCAATGGCGAGCGAACAGGTGTCGCCCGTTGAGTGGCCGGACCAACCCCTCCGGTGGAGTCGTGGCCAGAAAACGCTGATCCGACGTGGACACGGTTGGTCAGATTCGCTTACGAAACAGAGCCAGAAATTTCGAGTTTTTAGGATAAATATAAATACCAGTAGATTCAGTGAGCGAACAGCTCCACACAAATCCGAATCTCGTTCTTCCGCGGAATCCGAAGGGGAGGAGGTCGGGGAATGGCAGCGATGGAGGTCGGCTTCCTGGGGCTGGGGATCATGGGGAAGGCAATGGCCCTCAACCTCCTGAGCAACGGATTCAGGGTCACGGTTTGGAACAGGACTCTCTCCAGGGTACGGCTCTCGTTCTCATCTTCCCCCTCTTTTTGCGAGCGGATTCAATCCCCGCGCTGTCTGGGGAATTTCAGCGTCATTTTTACCCCAGGCCCCCATTCGATCTGGTTTCATGCTGGTGGAGCGGATTCTTTTGTGACATCTTGGCATGTTCTGGATGGAACTCCGATTTAGTGAAATGCAAAACCATGGAATAAGAAAAAGGAATCAGGAAAGTTGCGATAGCTGAAAACCGAGTGTCTGATGGCTTACAATGGCTTTTTCTGGGATTCCAGTGGCGGTCGGCCAACTGACTGGTTTTGTTCATTGATGATGTGTGGTCCTTCCATGGTGAGCACGGGCGGCAGATTCAATATCCACTGACGTGCTTTCTGTCAGGAGAAGAAGTTCACGAACTATCCGAAGCCTCTATATGGTTACATCTGAGTTTTCTATTTCGTTCTTTGTGCTCGACCAGTGATGATTTCAACCTTCGAGAAATCTCTTGCTATCTATCTCCTGCTTCCTGCCACATCGTACGAGCACCAAGATCTTTGCTTCTAAGCACCTTATCATCTAACAGTTCGAGCATAGAATTCACGAAACCGTCTCCATTCAAGTCCCGATAGCTATAGTGTTCTTCTTTTGCTGTCATCTTCTATTATTCCGTAGCAAATTAAAATTCTCAGGACATCGATTATCATACTGCAGTGTGAAGAGCTTGTTGAACACGGTGCCACTGTTGGAGAAACTCCTGCGGCAGTAATCCAGAAGTGCAAATATACAGTAGCAATGCTGTCTGATCCTAGTGCTGCTCTCTCGGTCAGTAGCTCGATACCCAGCGTTGGTTTATTTCAATACAATATATATCCATCTCTAAGTCAGTGGATGTTGTTCAGGTCGTCTTTGATGAGCACGGTGTTCTTGAGCAAATAACTGAAGGAAAAGGGTATATCGACATGTCGACAGTGGATGCAGAGACTTCGTCAAAAATTAGTCAGGTCTGGTGTTTCCTATTACATCTTATGTCTTGTCCATGCGTCACATTTATTATTACTTTCCATTTGGAATTCATCACACCATGAGAAATTTTCAAATTTTTTAGGAATGAAATTGATTTTGATATGGTCACGTACTTATACAGATAACCATGCATACTGCCTTGTAGGAACTTCAATGGCTAGTTACTGGCACACTAAGTTTTGCTTGACAGATTATGCCTTCCATCATCAATATATGAACAACTATCTTGCTGCAAAAGAAAATTATTTTGTGAAAAATGTATTAAGTTTCCCCATTACTGTTCTGCATTGTTAAGAGATTTGGGGTTTTCGTTTTCCCATTTAGTATCACTGATCAGGTTCAAAATGCCTTGCGGTAGAGGTGCTTATTATTTACATGGTAATACCGCTGGACTCGGTATCTATTTCTCTACATATTGATTTGTTCTCTCAATCCATTTATGCGACCTTTCAAGCTTATAAACTCCTAAAAAAGTTAAAGCCATCTAGGAGCATTCGAATCTTAATTTACTAGGTTTGGTACGCACATTTTAAGTACTGTTCCCTCTGAGAACCAGGGCCAGATTTTAGTTTTGAATTGATAACTGATCACGTCCTTGGTTGAACTCATGGAATTCTGATTCATTGGGAAACAGTTGCGCAGAAGATGATGCAAATGAGTTTTTATCATTTATCTCGACAATTTTTTCATTCCCTCACAACTTGGATCGGATTCTCAAGTCTAGGATACTTTTTACTGGAACAGGCAATCACGGAAAAGGGTGGACATTTTCTCGAAGCTCCAGTTTCCGGTAGCAAGAAGCCTGCTGAAGATGGCCAGCTTGTCATTCTGGCAGCTGGGGAAAAGGTACATGAATCGCTATGTACTTCTAATCTGAATTGTTATTTCCGTATGATAAAAAAAACAATGTGATTTTATTATTTCTAAAAATAAAAAAAACTCCGACTTTCCATGCACGGTCCCAAATCCTCGGGTAAATGTCATTACGCTTCCTATCCTTTTAATGGTGGCTTAGACTTCATAGGACTTCTAAGAGCATCCATTCTGCTCTCATTTTTTATCCGACCCGTTGAAAACATTTGCCTTCGTCCCTATTTGTCTACATTCTTCTAAAGGTTAAGACCACCGGCGAGGATTGTACCCTTGTTTCATGTGGTGTATGCAGCCGAACTTCACCAGATTCTTTAGTTTTCCTATATCGATGCATCTCTCGCGTTTTTGAAAAAGTTGATATTATCTTTGTTATTTTCACATTACAGTAAACTATCGGTTAAGCTTCAGCCCTGATTAGAGATCCCTCCCTCCCTCCCTCCCTCCCTCCCTCTAAGCACGCCTTTTAAATATTAAAGAAAACTCGACTCTGATAGAGAAAAAGCAGAAAGGGTTTCCTTGGTCTTATTTCCCCAATCCCCTGATAGATGCAAAATAGCTCAGTAACCTTCTTCTGCTGAAACTGCAGACACTATACGAGGAGGTAATACAGATTTTTGACGTGCTGGGAAAGAAATCCTTCTTTTTGGGTTCGGTTGGCAATGGAGCAAAACTGAAGCTTGTTGTCAACATGATAATGGGCAGGTTTGGCGTTTCCTTTTCCCGCAGAATATTCTATATTTTTTACAAGAATATTTTAAAATACAGGAAAAAAACCACTCTCCGCAACAAAAAAAAAGAAAAAAAAAGTCAAAGATAATATTATAAACTGACTGGAATGGCAATCGTTTTTCTGAAATCGAGTAATGCCTCAGACCCCTTATTATTGTAGGTGAAATGCATATAAATACATTGTACAGATGCATCCAATTATCGGATGAATGCATTCAAATTTATGCACATGCGCACTACTTATTAGGACACGGAAATAAATGTCTGAGGACAGGACGTTTTTGGCACCACCAAGAATAATTATCTGGGTAGTAAACAGGAGGTGCATGACGAAGTGTAGCTGATGTCCTCCCACCGACGCCCAACGGCTGAGGCTGGGAATCATGTCGGCGTACTTTTCTTTTCTCTGTCCACATCTCCAAGAGGGAGCCATCATCCTATTAGCGTAGGTACAGCAGGGCAAAGCATAGCCTTTCCACACCACAGTTCATATGGAATTCGAGGACTCGACCGGTCTCCTCGAAAGCCCTCGAGGCGACTTTATTAAAATTGCCTCGACATGGATTCATTTGCAATACTTTTTTCAAGTAATCTTACTTTTTCTCATCGGATCCTTGAGTGATTCGTTTTTTTGTGTTCATCTGCTCAAAGTCCTGCGCTTTCACCGTCCATCTAATGCTGGAGTTCTCCGTCCAATCTTCCCAGCATGATGAACGGCTTTGCCGAGGGGCTCGTCTTGGCCGAGAGGAGCGGGCTGAGCCAGCAAACCCTCCTGGACGTGCTGGTACGAAGGGCCGGATAAGATCGTCGCCTCTAATGCACCCTGACGGAGTGGCTTCTTCTTCTTCTTCTCCTTCTTCTTCATGCTGTTTGAAATTCTCCCTGGCAGGACCTGGGCGCCATCGCCAATCCAATGTTCAGGCTGAAAGGGCCCGCCATGATCAACAGCAGCCACGCCCCCAACTTCCCTCTGAAGCATCAGCAGAAGGACATGAGGCTGGCGCTCGCCCTTGGAGACGAGCAAGCGGTGTCGATGCCCGTTGCGGCGGCGGCCAATGAGGTGAATCCATAGTTCCCATTGTCCATCCTCTGGGGGCCATTCACTCATCTCCCTGTGGGGAATTCCTCTCTGAATGCAGTCCTTCAAAAAGGCCAGGAGCTTGGGGCTGGGCGAGGAGGACTTCTCCGCCGTGTACGAGGTGCTCAAGGCCTCGCTTTTCAATGCCACGGCGTGAGGGAGGCCGTGGAGCTCTCCCTGTATTCCGCTGCCATCCCATGCCTTGGAACCCAGAAAAAAGGTAAACGCTTTCGTCGTTTACGAAGGGCTTGTGACGGAGCATCATCTCTCTCTCTCTTTCTCTCTATTCCTCCTCAAAGATCGTCAAGCAAGAGAGAGAGGGAGCTTGCGTCATGACGAATGATGCGGGGGCGGAAAGCTGCACCAAGGGACGGGAAAGAAAGAAAGGGGTCCCTGGGGGTCTAGTTGACACAGCACGAGACGGCCTATGAACATCCCCACCCACCCTCTCACTCTCTCTCCACCCTTCACCTCTAGTCGACCTGCTCGTGACCCCTTTCTCACTCTCTTCCCTTTCACTGCAGTCAACGGCGCACTTCCTCCCTCTCTCTTTTTCCTTGAACTGCGGTAAATGGCCCACCACATCTCTCTCCCCCTACCTCGTTGGCGACCCCATTTTTCTGTAGGTGCAGTTTGTGACTCATGCCTCTCTCTCTCTCTCTCTCTCCCCCTTCTTTTTATCCTCGGTGGCTCAGCATGAACTACAGTCTATGGCGCGTGACCTCTCTGCCAATGGCCCACGACCTGTTCTTTCTCTCTCCTCTCTCTCTCTCTCTCTCTCTCTCTCTCTCTCGCTATCTATCTATCCCTCGTTGACAGAGACAGCCACCGGGCGCCTGGCCACACGAGTATTTTATCCCGACACGAGTTGCATAGAATTCCTCGGCGCCCTTGCCCCCGCTGACGTGGTCTCACATTTTTACGGCGCCACATGCCCGCGAGCCGGTCGCGCCAGGCTGCAACTTCCTAAAAGTGAAGCATCGAACTTTTTTTTTCACTATATGCTGGTGGGCCCGGTATTATCCTCGTGAAGCGTGCCTTCTAGAATCAGTTCAACTATGGGACGAAAAGTCCTGGGAGACTAATGAGAGAGAGAGAGATGCTGATTGCCCATCTTCTAGAAGAAAATGGACCCCGCATTCGGACGGGGTCACCCGCCTCGCTCCCCTCTGGCGCCGGTGATCTCATCAGAGAAGCTACAGGCCAATGTATCGGTCGCCTGAGCTCTTCTTCTTCTTCTTTCGGTAGAAGATTAGGGAACAGCAACACCACGAATCCAGTCTCGCGGGGGAGACCGAGCGAGCATAGAATGTCGGCTCGGGGGGAAGGCGACGCCTCCCCCACTCTCAGAGACGCCGTCCCGTCCCCACCATCTCCTCCTCCGTCAATCTGCGCCCTTCAAGGTCTTTCTTTTATTATTCCTACTGCCCCGGGCCGCCGTGGGGCCGGCGGTGCCACCCCGTAGCCGCTAGAATCCGGCATCATACGATAACAGTCACAATTACACTGAGGACTATTCTATTCCACATTAACTGTCATCTCCCTCGGAGCGACGACGCTCTCTCCTACCATTTGGACACCTGTCCGCATCAGTGACGAAACCCAACTGCTGTAGAACCAGAACCAGGAGCTTGGAAGCTTCGGTTAGAGATGCCCTCAACTTCTCCATCAATGACCTCGACGGCAAGTTTCGGCCGGCCACCGGAACTCGGATGCTCTAGTAAAGCCGTTGGGTACCCGATTGGACTCATCCTCTTCTCCGCCTGCCCAGTTCTCTTAGATTATCCGACCAGAAGCCAAAAATTCAACCCCCACGTGCCCGAGCGATTTCTCCCGGTATGCCTCACCAGTGACGTTCGAGCTACCAGGCCACGGCGCAACCCTTTTTTTAAAAATCTAGTTTCGATGATTTTCTTCGATTTATTTTATCTTCATACATATATTTATGCCATTTAAAATTTTTAATTAAAAACTAAAACATTCAAAAGATAAAAAAATGGATTTAAGAGTAAAAATGCAAGTAAAGATTGAACCATTAACTACACAAGTGACTTTGAATTAATGAACGATTTAAAATTTTAATTTCAATTTGTATTTCCTTAATTTAATTACAAATTAATAACATTAAATTGATTTATCGCCAAAAAAAAGTATCAATATTATACAAATACAATATTGATATAGGTAAACTATATAAATAGGCACATCCCGGATGGTGGTGATGGTCGAGATGAATTGACGTCTGGACAGGGAAAGGCGAGCCCTTCTGGAAGGAATCCATGGTGGCGGCCGTAGGGTCGTTGGTCCCCCCCGCCGCCGAACGACGACGAATATGGATTCTAGGCCGGGAAGCCGACGGCGGGCAATTAAGAAAGGGTAGCCGTATCGAATTACCGTGGTGGGCTTAAAATATCCCCGGCCACCACCCGGGCATGTGCTCTTCTTTGCGTGCGCCCGTCTGTGGATGTGGACGGCGGAGGGCTGCGTGGCGCTTATCTCGCCCTGGGGACCACCGCCGTGCCTGTTTAAATCCTCTGAGCGAGGACGCACAGAAGTTCACCCTCATCCGCCGCCTTAGCGAGAGAGACAGACAGAAGGGGAGGGGGAGAGATGGGGAGTGAGAGGCAGGAAGGCGTCCTCTTGATACCGGGCTTGCCGGACGAAGTGGCCATGGATTGCCTGGCCAGGGTCCCCTACCGATTCCACTGCGGCCTCCGCAGCGTCTGCCGTGGGTGGAGGGACCTTCTGGGGAGTCCTCTGTTCTACAGCCAGAGGCGGAAGACTGGCAAAGGGGAGGCCTTGGTGTGCCTCGTCCAGGCGCTCGTCCCTTCTTCTTCGGCAGAGGAAGAAGAAGAGGGCGGGGCCGAGAAGGCGGGGGAGAAGAAGAAGAACGCCGCCCGTGCGCCGCCGTGCTACGGCCTCTCCATTTACAACAGCACTCTCGGCGAGTGGCACCGCCTGTCCTTCCCGCCAGCGTCTGGACTGGCGGTTCCCCTCTTCGCCCAGTGCGCCGCCGTGCAGGCCTCCGGCAAGATCGTCCTCATGGGCGGGTGGGATCCGACTTCCTTCGACTCAGTCTCCGATGTCTACGTCATCGACCTCGTCACCGGCCGCGGCCGCCGCGGGGCGCCGATGACGCCGGCGAGGTCTTTCTTCGCCTGCGCAGTCGTCGGCCCGCTGGTGTATGTCGCCGGCGGGCACGACAACCAGAAGAACGCGCTGAGGACGGCGGCGGTGTACGACACGGCGGCGGACGAGTGGCGGCCGCTGCCGCCGATGGCCGACGAGAGGGACGAGTGCCAGGGGGTGGCGCTCGCCGGCGAGTTCTGGGTGGTCAGCGGGTACGGCACCGACAGCCAGGGCCGATTCGACCCGGCAGTCGAGTGCTACGACCCGGCGGCGGGACGGTGGCGCAAGGAGGAAGGCCTCTGGACGGCGGGCGACGGCCTCGGCGGCGCCGTCGTCCCTCCGCGGTCCTCCTGCTTCGTCCTGGAGAAGCTGTGCCATTTGTACTGCAACGAGGATAGGAGAGAGATGAGGGAGTACGAGGAGACGGAGAGGAAGTGGAAGGTGGTCGGAGAAACGCCAGCGACTCTGAGGTCGATTCCTTGCGTGGCGTCGGTCACCGGCGGCGGCAGATTGTTAGCGGTGGGCTCCGACGGGGAGCATCGGCACAGTGCGTGGCTGATGGAGGGGGCGAGCAGGAAGTGGACCCAGGTGGATACCCCCGCCGGCTTCGCTGGTTTCGCCTACTCCGCCTCCTCCATCCTCATCTGAAAGGCCCCCGATTCCGTCACTGCTGATCGTCAGTTCTCACCCCAAGGGAGTTTCTCGATCCCTTCCTTCCCAGTAGACCTTGTCTTCCTCTCTGCCATTAGTCAGAAGAGGGGAGAAAAAAAAAGGAAGAGGATGATGTAGAGAAAGATGGAGACGAGAGAGAATGAAGTGCCTTCCCAGGATTTTGTGAACAGAGAAAATCGCAGAGTACGTTATTAAAAAATACAATTTTCCCGCGGGGGGAGGGGGGGGGGGGGGTTTCTACTTTCAGCAGAGATGATGTCTGATACGCGCTCCGCCGTGGAACTTACCATCTGACGCGGTCCAGCAAATCTCCAAACCATGGAGCAAGCGATTCTGGGAGATAGGTTGTCCAGATTCTTTAAGATCGCCGACCATTCTTTATCCTAAACAATGATTCACTAGTATTCTAAGTCAACGCAACTGTGATAAGGAGACGACTTAAATTATGGCCCGAGTTAATTGAGAGGCTCCCCATTGACTTTTAGAACACTGCACCGGGTTCAATCTACATTTTTAGAACACAAGTTGCCCACATGCTAGATAATATACGCCAAACAGCTAATTTACCATTTATGTATCGACTCCCCTATGAATCTGCGAACGGACGAATACTGTCATGATCGGTTGACCAGCAGAGGCACAACAGCGCTAGTTGACCAATCGAAATCCAGTCGGGCTTGGCCCCAAAGTTCAACTGGGTGGCCCAAATCTTTACGGCCCTTGGGCTTCAAGGTCCTCGCGCGGGTGCCATCCAGGGTAATCCATTCAAAAGTCTGGACTTCAGGAATCGTCAGCCACCGTCCATTTCATGTGATCGTAATCTTAGGTTTAAAAGAAATGGGTCTTGATCCTAAAGCTGAATGAACGGGTCTCGACTGCATCGGTTGTGAGGAGGGCCTGTCATGCTAACTAGTGTTAAAGTTCGTGACTCACCTTACCCAAAGTCGGTTGTAATTATGTGTAGTCATCACACATTCTTAATCACAGACTTATTTACTCATTAAGATCGAACTATTCTAGCCTGATTCTCGCTTTGAAAGCTGAATACTTTGGCCTAGTAGTGTAAAAATAGAAAATCATTTACTATAAAGTTCATTTATTTATGCATATAGATCTATTTTGCAATCGATCACCAGAAGACTAGTCTAGGAATTATACATTTTTGTTTTATTATTTTTACGTCACACATTCTATTACATAAGGTCACTCTTTGGGTATTGTAAAAGTTCTCAGGCCAAAAGAAAGTTACCAACTTTATTCATGTTTTCTATATGCGGGTCTATTTAGTTTTAGAGGTCCCAATTATCTTCAACACAGACAAGGAGAAGTTTTGAGAACCAAGGGAATACTATTGCCGTCCTAACTGTTCCCCCAGCATTTGGAAAAATGTATTCTTGACGGTATATTACCTTTACTAAACGAAGATAAAAGATGTGACCAGCCCAAAACATATTGACGCGTTCATCTAATTAGCTATTTCACTCGAACTTAATTTTTCAGATTTTCTCTAAAACCACATATTACCAATCACGCCCAAATCGGACCTTTGCGTTGGCGTCGTTGCTGTTTGTGTAAAATGTGTGCATAATTAGGGCTCTAGTTGAGCTTTTACCAATGATTTTGAGCTTGATTGGAGTTAGAATGATAGATTATGTCTAACGGATAAGAACTTCATATGTGTAACATCCTTGCAACGATTGTGATTCACGGGAATCTAATATGATAGCCTTATGCTAAGATAAAAAAAACATTAAGGTGTCCAACTCAGGACCGATCAATATCAAACCGATTTGATCGATACATCTGAATGTTATTCATCATACCTTCCAATATCGAGATAACTAATGCGCCTTAAACATAGGTTAGGCTTTCGGCTATATCAAGCGGACAAGACACACACAGTGTTTGGTCTAAGAAAGTACACCCTGGTACCCTGCACTCGTGAACTGGGCTTGTATTCTAGTACGCCACTTATCTTATCCCACTCATGGTGGGACCATTTGAACGTGTCTCATGTTGACTTAGCCTATATAGAGGTGCACATATATCCAAGTATAATGTTGGAGAATTATGCGATTAATTGGCCATCGATTTGAATAATTTTTTTCAATTGTCCTACAATATTTATCGTCAATCTTAAGAAAGACCTCAAGACTTCAACGTAATCACTATCCCATAGACAATACATATCTCAAAGAATAGTACCTAATATGAAGGATTAACTTCTGCATCACAAAGGAGATGACTAGTCCAATGTTTCATGGGCCGCTTAGAAATATGCAAAAAAAGGAAAAAAAACTCGTGAAAAGGGAACGTAGATCAGTGTTTAAGTATTCGCATCTACACAACTTAGGTCGCTCGTAGATGGTGCAACTCCCTTTCATCTACGGGAGAGGGTTCCACTCCCAGAGCTTGTCTGGGAACCCCGCCATGGAGGTGGGCGTCGAGGTGAGAGGAAGTTGAGATTGCTGTAACAGAATAAACTGTTGATGATGGAGGCTACCAGAGCTCTGGTTGTATCCGACTATTCTATGGGCCTCTTCGACCGGGGTAGCAACGGCAGCCACCGAAGACGGTATAAGAGAACCGATATCTTTCGCATGAAGTGGAGTGAGTTCCTCTTCTGTTGTTGAGCTCAGGGAAGCGATGGGGCCCGGCGAAGTGCCGTAAGGAGCCTGCCGGTGCAACGTGGGGAGAGCTATCTTCTCCATCACATGGAATGATGCGTCTGTAGTGAGGTCCTGGAAGTTCGCCGTGGGCTGGTGGCGTGCGGCTTGTTTCTTGTCGGATCCCGCTCCTCTTGATGAAGATGGCCTGGAGGAGAGGGCACGACTGTTTTCTTCAATTCCAGATCTTTTGTATACTCGACACAGTGAGATCTCCGCCTGCAAAAACTGGGTTTTTATCAGTGATCTATTTTCTTGAACAGGTGGAAGAACTGACCCAAGGTGAGCCAAAATCTGTATTAGGTGTTGAGGGCGGGAGGAGATAAAATGCGATGTTTTCAAGATCAGAGCTCACCTAGCGTTAATTCAAATCATTTTCATCTTGAATCATCTCTAACGATTTGGAAAGGGGGGGAGAGGGATCTTCAAGACCATCGTATATAGTGCAAGTAGGACATCCTCAAACTAAATTAGGACCAGTCGAGGATCGACTCTTAAGAACATGAAGAATGAGGAGGTAAGATAGACAGATAGATAGAAGTAGAGGTTGCGAGAGAGAGAGAGAGAGAGAAAGAGAGATGATTTGACGATCTCTGGGGTCCCAAGAGCTTCACTCTACGAGTGGGTTTCTAGGCAGTAGTTAATTATTCAATGGATACTATGGACGACCAGAGTTTAGCTCCATCGGAGCGCACCTTTTGGTTCCGTTCTGTCTCGTCCCTGGGCAACCGGTACTCATTCATAATCCAATTCGTACGCACTCCTCTGGGTGCCTTCCCCGAGTAGAAGACGAGGGTCTTCTTCAACCCGATGGACCGCGAACCCTCCGTCCGTATAGTTCTGTCGGCGCCGGTGGCCTTCCAATACCCTGACGTTGTCACGCGGTTCGGCCGGTCGCCGTTCCGGTACTTCTTGTCTCTGGGCACGTAGAAGAACCACTCCTTTTCCCCTATTGTAGCCATCGCTGAAAGGTTCACGAGAGATCACGATTAGGGACGATGGCAAGGATCGGCCGCAGATAAGTGATATTCCTCGGGATGGATCAAGGACTAATTTTTTATCACTTTGGTTCCCTGGAAATCTCGTGGGAAGGATTGATTTAAGGGGCAGGAGTAGCGCGGTGGTTTGGGTTGTGATGTCCTACCAGGGAGCTCCCACGGGTCGTAGCGGTAGAGCTCAAGGAAGGAGATGATCTCCACGTTGAAACGCTTCCCCTCAACCTTGCGGCGGAGGTAGAACTCGACGAGCTCCTCCTCGGTGGGATGAAAGCGGAAGCCAGGCATCACAGCGTCATGGTCGAGACCATCCTTGTCATCTTCGAGCCCTGCCATGGATGCTCCACGAATTGCCATGCGCCGCCGTGTCTCGGATGCATCAGTGCCTCCCTTCGGCCCTCCCCGCTTCGCCTCCCCTTTCTTTACCCGCCTTTATACACACGGGCAAGGTCCGGAAAGGTCTAAGAGAAGTGGTTGAATTCTCATTGTATGTCCAATAAAAGGGTTAGAAACATCGACGTGGGGAAATTAAGTGTCCAAATGATTATCTCGATCAGCACAACTACCATGCCCCCCTCCACCTCCCTCTCTCTCTCTGTGTATGAATATATCTCTCTCGGTCAAATGTAAGACTCCTCTCACTCTTGTTCTCGTCTCCTTCTCAATATCGCAGGTGAGAAAGGTAGCTGGCGGGATAGGCAGCTAGATGCGTAAGGTAAAGATATATATAGTTGGTAAATTAGGGAGATATATATACATAATTTGCGAGCCAGGGATATGGAGAGAGAGAGAAAGAGAGAGAATAAAGTTAGCCAGCCAGGGATATATACATACACACAAATAAATATATATCTCTATCTATAAAGAGAGAGGGGGAGGGGCTAGGTTCGTGTGTTAAATGTGTGAAAGAGATGCCTTCAAGAGGGATGGAACGGTAGTGTTAGTGGTGATACAGCCTCCACCACGACAAATCCCTACTCCCTCCTCTCTCTCTCTCTCTCTCGTTCTCATCTTCCCGACCAGTTTCTCATTAAATGGACATGACCATTCCATTCAATGTGAATTTCTGGCAAACTAACCCGAAGCAGTTGCCTTCCTCCCTATAACAGGTAAAGGAGACCCTTGCGAGACCATTAAACGCACCCCAAAACTTATATTAACTTTTCAGTGTCGATCCCCTTTCCTCTCTCCGATCCCCACGTCTTTGCTTAGATGCACACAGATTTCGAAGAAAAAAGAACACGCGTCCATACGTGCACCACAAACACAGACGTAAGACGTCATGATGCCTACGTGAGGCATTAATGCATGCATGTTCTCTCTCTCTCTCTCTCTCTCTCCCATCCCTCCTTCCCCCTCTCCCCCTCTACCTCCCTTTCTCCCTCCCCATATTTAAGCAGATATATGTGCATACATTCATAGATGCATAAATGTCTCCATCTACTCTTGTCTCCTATTCACAATAAATACGTATTTGTAGTTTGTTCTAAGGAAGACAGCATGGTGGATGAGGAATGGGGATGGGGCTGAAGAATTCCTGCAAGAAATCTTTGTGCGAGCCTGAAGAATCGAGCAGAAACCGGGTCCTCTTTCAGTCACTATGACAGCAAGATCCCTAATTCTTGTCCACCCTCGTTTCTTCTTCATTGGAAGACAGAAGAGAAGAATCTCTCTCTCTCTCTCTCTCTCTCTCTCTCTCTCTCTCACACACACACACACACACACACACACACACACACTTCACTCACTCATTCACACTCTCGACCGCTCCGTTTCGCAGTACCCTTTCAACCAACGAGTTGGGAAGGAGGATCCATTGCACCACAGCGCCTTCTATTACCGCCGACGGTCATCGGCCTTCACCATTGTTTCATGCTTTCTGTTATTTAAAGACGAGGCCGTGTGAGCGCTACACGTGAAGAGTTTCGGAGAGAGTCCTATGAAGAATCATGGGAGAGTCCGATGTCTCACACGTGAATCCTACACTACCCGTGAGGAGAGACACGTAGCATGCTTTTCTCCCCATTCGTCATGTGAACCCTTGCCGACGTGGGAAGAGGAAAGCGGCCGCAGCTCGCTCTCACCCACTCCTAACACTCGAACTTCCAGAATCTCTGCTCCTCAAGAGAAATCGAGAGAGTCTAAAGATGCCCACAGGGATGCTCCATTTTACCAAGCTAGAAGGATCGCTAAGGCTCTCGCGTGAACCCATTACTGGCGGTTGTCGCTCCCGAAATCTAGAGTGAGAGAGAGAGAGGCGGGGGAAGGGGCGGAGGGAGACCAAAAGAACTAAACCTATCGTGAGAAACCAGGGTTCCTCTTCGTCATGGCGGACGGAAATTCATGCCCTCGGCAACCTACGCGTAGGGAATAAATGTGATGGGTGGGAATTCTTGCATGGGGCACCCTCCGGTTCAGAAATAGCAAGTCTGGTCCCTTTCGGCCTCGAGTAATTAAGCTGACCACCACCACCACCACCTCCTCCCCCATCACCGCTCGCCCGGCAAGTGGAGAATAAATAAGACACAGCAGCCAAGTTGAACTCGGCAGTCCCACCCAACTCCCCCCCTCCGTCGTACAGCTCCATGAATCTTACGGTTTCCGTTATTCATTTATCCTTTGGTGTACTTCTCTCTCTCTCTCTCTCTCTCTCTCACTCACTCACTCACTCACTCTCTCTCACTCCTCTCGGTTTCTTCTGTCCCTCCGTCAACTTGTTAGAGTAGTGTCCTGGATAACGTTGGTTGTTCTCCTATTAACGCTATGGTTTTCATTATCTATCACGTAATTAATGCATGGAGAATGTTGGGCTACTGTCGGTAGAATTTTGCTGTGTATAGGGAGCTCCTCCCCTCCATCAATGGCCGGAGAATGTCGCTTGGGCTTCGTTCTTCGGACCACATGCACATAATCAGGCGACTAATCAATGACGACGGCCGAGCCCCGATGTCTTCACCATCCGTCGTCGTCCTAAACGGAGAAGGGGAGGACGGGCAGCGGATGAGGGGTTCCTGGGGGTCGTGGGAACACAGCTTGAGATTGCTGTTGGCCTGGTTGGCGTGTTGGGCCCGGGACCGCCATCGATTACTCTGCGAAATCGGCCAAGACGTGAATAGCGTAGGAATACTTCCCCGTGAGCTGGGCCGTGAGGGCCGCCCAAGTTGGCTTCTTGGGATGTCCTCCCACCTCAAGAGAGGGAGAGAGAGAGAGAGAGAGGACGTAGGATTCGATGGTGACTCGGTCTTGGAGAACATCCGGCGAGCGTCCATTTTAAAGTCATAGTTATCGTCATCACCGTCGTCATCATCCACCGAATCTCAATTAATTGTACCCGCAGATATGAATGTTATTTCCATCAATCACTTGCACAGCGTACGTCATTATTGAGGGCATTTACTGAGCCCACTTGGGTCTTTCCTTCATTTTCTCTGCACACATCCAAACCATACCGAATGGAAACCATGCACTCTACGTTCCTATTGCCCTATTCAACGTCAACGAAGAAGATTGAAAGACAACATCACAGAGAGAGAGAGAGAGAGGCTCTCCCTCCTCAGACTCAGAGTCAAGAAATTTGACGCCATCGACCGGCATTAAGGAAGAGGAAGGGATCATAGAAAACGAGCTTCCCTAATGATAGTGGCAAACGTAAAGCGCGCGTCGAGAAGCTCGTTACCCATTAGGCCGGCAGATCCGTGCCCCCTGAGGGAGGATGTTAAGACGGCGCAGTCAGAGTCGGAGCTAGAGTCAGAGACTTTGACTCAAGCCCACGTTTCCCTTCTGCTCGGCTAATTTTTCTATCTTCCACACGCTTGTACGGATGCTATATGTACAATTAGGATTAAAGTCAACGGATAAGGACGTGAATATCGAGGGGACGGATTCAGATGAGGAATCTTACAGTAGGTGAAGTTAAACACGTTCCTCACGGAGGAGGAGATTACGAGCTCAGACACCCAGTGGGCGGGTGCATCTGGGCATCTGATTCCATGGCTCCCCCAGCCACCATGAAGATGGGGAACCGGAGGAATGGCAAGCCTTGGGTGACGGAGGAACACTGCCAAGAATGGCAATCAATGGGTTGCGAGGGCCCTCTGTTAGTATTTCCGGTGGTGGGCGGCTTTCATCATCCCCCTCCTGTTGGTATTCTCAGCCCTCTCTGAGCAGCTTTCCATCTGCCAAGCTTGCCGAATTTGCAGAGGATCTGCCGAGAGCGATGTGTTCCTCATGAGGACTCCCCTTCCGAGAGCTTCCTTTTGAGGTCCTTGAGTGCATGAACTACTTCAGGCTCCAGGTTGTGCTGGAGCAGCTTTCCCTGCATGGATGTCGACCTGCAAGCCCCAGGGATGAACTGGTGCTTAGTTTCCTAGAGAAGACGAGAGAACAAGATGTCCACACAAGAGTAAGGCCGGCATAGTAATCCCAACAACTTGGAAGATGAACTCGGTCAAATATATCTGGTCGGAGTCTGGCTGGACCGATATGGGTAGCCACCGATAAAGTCTCTCACAGCTGAAAGCAAGTTCTATTCATATGGATAGGGTAGGCATTGCCAGAATGGGAAATCTGGCTGTGAAAATTTCTTGAGTATTTCAAAGGGCAAGAGAAAGCACCCACGTAGATTTCTCAGACTCAATAGCAATCTGAAACTTCTCAGCTCGAATGGGAGGATCCATAGAAAGAAACTGGACTGGGAAATGTTGTAGGAGCTTGGAAGGCTACTGATTAGTTGGAGTAACTATTTTTGGGCATACAGCCATGGAACAAGACCTTTTGCAATGTAGTGGGCAGTTTGAAGAAATCACTGGCAAAAGTATTAAAAGAGAAATTTCTGAAATATCATTTAAAAAGAATTAAACCTGTTGTCCTGAAGAATCTGCTCAAATTCTCTTTCTGTAGCCTTTATCTACAAAAGAATAAAACTAGCGGGACTCAGTGGCGAGCAAAAGAAAACATTGATGCGCCTCTCTTTCTCTGGAACCAAAAAAAATAATGCTGCAGTCGCCCTGTCTTCCTTGCTTGTTTCTCTTCATTATCATGAGGGTGAAAGGGATGAGGAGCGACGGAAAATGCAGAAAAAGGCTCCCAATTAGTGTTGAAAAATGTAGTGAATAAATTGTACGTACCAACAGCGTTTGAAATCTCAATTCATGGAACAAGAGCAACAAGTAAAATTCTGAAAATCTTCTGAAGAGGCGTCAAAAAAGCTCTCTACAATTATTTAAAAATCAGGAAAAGGAGAATGATAGTTCTTGAAAAACGAGCATTAGTCTGACAAAGGAAACACATTGATCTGAGAAGACTATTGGACGCTATGTTTCTGAGTTTGGATGAATGCACGGTTCTTCAAATTGAAAATGAACTGACAACGGAAGTTCGGGAAGACAAAGCCTCGGATATATCAAAAGTATTGTCGGAGAACAATCCTTAGATTTTTATTTTTTAAAAAAATTCTACTTATTTGTATTACCAGATACTCAGAATAAGAGTTATTAAAGGAAAATATTTTATATATATTTTAATATTTCATCCAATACATGAACGCCTCAGAAAAGGGCCACCACGCAGATACCCATGAATCCACAGTGCGGGCATGCGTTTCTGAACATTTTGCCTCAAATACATCACATGATATATGGGGTAAACAATGGCACCGGTTTATAAAATTTGATATATCATCTTAAGAAAATGGTGAGATCTAGGGCATGCCACCTTTAGAAGAATAATAGAAAGTAGGCAGAAAACTCATCAGAAATCAAGAATCATAAATGGGCATCGAGAAGCCACTGCACAAGAATTGTTTTATTGAGAACTGACTTTTGAACCAAAGCAAGGAAAATTAAGCTTTCGGTCTGCACAAGAACAGAGTAATTGGAAATATTCGCTCCATCCTCCGATTTAGAATTACTGGACTCATTGTCAAACCACGAAAATCAATCATCAAGGTTAAAACTATGTTGGTCAATATTCGGAAGCAATGGTAGATCAACGATTAAACTCGTTGAAATTATAAAATTGAGATGTAACCTTTGGAAAGTGAATTGGAGATCTAACACGGGAAGAACAAAACCACCAAAGGACAGCACAACACAAAATGCATGATTAGATCAATTCCAGATAATTCTTAGTTTCATCATGAGTAGAAATGTTCTATGGGTAGACAATAATAACAACTAAACGAAAAGGAAAATAACTAGGAGTACATTTTTCCTCACCTCTGAAACTAAAGCTTTGCAACTCCACACAAAAGCTCCCTGGAAAATAAAAATATAAAGTTCAGCAATCATTAATGGATCAGAGCAGAAGAGCTAAATGTCAACGTAGGAATACAACTCAAGTGATGAAGACGGCGAGGAAGCTATTGAGGTCCCCAAGATAAGTTCAACTTAATATGTCAGGGCATTAAGATTGCGCTTACTTAAGAAATGTAATTTATACGTAATATTAGACTGCAATTGGAAACTTTAAATTGCAGTGGTCACTTTTAGAAGACTTATTAAACCTCACAGGTCACAAACTCATATGTGAATAAGCTCTGCTTACTTGAGGAAAAGGCAGAGGAAACGGCTAAAACCTTTGTCTGAGAACAACCTCCTGTTTGAAAATGTTATTTTCATGAATGAAAATAATACGTTGCAACAACGAACTGTCGAGCTTAACCCGAACACGAAAGGAAACTGCTAGAGTTTCAACCTAGCTTATACTGAATGAAATTATTCCCTCTAGCAAGACAACTACGTACTGCTCCATGTGCTGCTTGCTGCTGACATGAATCAGAAGTCACGACCCAAACTCTAGGACAGCCGTCCTCCCTCAAAGCTACAATCTGTACATGTGTTAGACAACTACCAATCAGAAAACTAGAGAAATCAAGCCAAAAAGACGTTCTATACATGAAATCAGATTAATATGTCTGCACCGATTTGTGTAGTCATAATGATGGCTAACCTCTTTTTCAATCCATGAGTCAGCACACGTCTCTCCCGAAAAAATAATATCGATGCTGCATTTTTCCATACAGAGGATAAAATTGATGAACTGCCGGTCAAATATTCAGATAAATATAGACGCTATCAGGAGTTCCCCAGGTATCCATTTTCTACACTCCATATTCACATATTGTAACAATGGTCACAAAACACGCACAAAGAGTTAACTAGAAAACTGATTGCATCAGTCAATTATGCTGTGCACAATGACATAAGCAAATAGCACAGTAAAAGAGATAAATATTCTCAAATCTAGTTAATGCAGCTTCATTGTGCACAGTTGTTGTGAGACCGTCTCAACTACTGCGTTGAACACCAATAGAGCTAATGAAAACACTTATCTTCATCCAATGACCCAGAATCGCCACACGTACCTTCCAATGACCCAGAGCTAAGTCAACTCCTTTGGATACCATTGACAGGATAAATATTGACAAAACTTTATTCAACACCAACTGAGCCCAATTATCACATTCGATCAGACTAGTTTAGACTATGGGCGAGCTCTAAGGTAAAGAGCTGGAGGAGTATCTTTTTATAAGATGCAATTTGAAGCATCTGTAGCACATTTTTAATTGATCACTTTCATGAATCCAAAAATTGAGGATTTACTTCCATACGTTTAGAGTTGAAAGAAGGACAGGCAACTGACAAGATCGAGCACTTTCTTTTATAACCATTATGAAGATACACGGTCAAAATGAGATGGAACCCGTCAACATTGACATCCATTTCATAGGTATTCACAAACTTTCTGATCTAATGCCAGGTTCTTGAAAGAACTCTCAGCTCAGGCTCAACCCCTCTTGCAAGCAACGTCAATACTTTCTTTTTATATTTGGGTTCATACTGTTTGGGCCTACCTTTCCACTCTCGTACAAACCGTACCGGTTCGGTTTAATATGGGACCGGCCTAGTTGTATAATTCGGGGCTGGTATAAATAAACCAGTCCCGCACCATTTGAACTTGAGAATAGAAGATTATAAGCCCCGATTTCGTTTTTCCTCTTCTTCATTTCTTGCTGCAGTGACCGCAGAGGCTTGAGGAGATCAAGTAGAGATCTTAACACCTCTAACCCAAACGAGGTCCATGAAATCCGAATCAAACACGGGAAGGTCTAATCCCTCACATTAGACTAGGAGATTTCAAAATGAAATTTTTAGTTAGGGGGAAAAAGAAAATAAACATGTTCAACCCTTTAGACTATATCTAAAAAGTTTTATAATAGGAAATTATGTTACGAAGTAATTCGAACTATCTGTTTAAAAGTGTCAATCCTTATTTACCTTTCCCAGAAAATTCTTACCCTTTTTGGGGAGAAATAGATGGGGGTTGTTGCATGTGGGTACAATAGGAGGTAGCCAAAGGAAGGCAGTGTTGAGCAGAAGACGATGATGTTTCTGTGTTCAGTTTTTTTATTTCACGTTTTTTTGACGCTGCAAACAAGATCCCCTTTCCACTTCTTCCTAAAAGCAGCAGCCGTTTCTTCCTCTTCTCTTCTTCTCTTCTTCATCTCCTTTGTCTCTCTGGGCCTTCCCCTTGCCATAAAAGGGAAGGCCATAATGATGACTTGGAACTGACTAGTCCGAGTGAGATGGGCCAAGTTATGTCCAAGCGGTCTTCTGCATTTTTTTTCAACTTTCAAGTGCTCCTCGAGTTTCCCTAAATTAATTTGGATTGGAACCTCATAAATTGAAACCGAATAATAAGATAGGAACCTAACATATCCGATCCAGGGAGAAAATTTTCAGTAAAAAGGGAAGGAAACACAAGATGACGGGGAACACCATAGAAAAATTCAAGATCATACCCAGCGAAATTTTCCTTGTGAGTTGGGAGCCCAGACAACATGGCATCAAAGACGACCACTACCTTTACTTCTGCATAATTATAATTTTGAAATCAGATATCAAGGTCAACACAAGTACAAAAACCAGAGCCACAGAAAAAATGCGGTTATGAAGTCTAATGGACCCTCTAAGAGAAGAACACAACTGCAATACGACGTGTACTGGATTAACAGATTAATGGCTTTATTTGAAGTGATTTCTTGGCGTTCTTCTTGATCATGGTTTCGATTAAAAAAAATTGCGAAATGCCAATGGAACGGAAAATTTACATGAACGTAAACTACACATTGGTTTCATCTTTCCCCATCACTTATCAGAGCGGTTATGTTAGTCAGGTGCGAAATTTTCTTTTGGCAACATTTTGCACAAAGGACCAGTAAATCTATATACAAACTTTCAACGTGCACACAAGTTTGACAAGGAATATTGGAAATTTTTTGAACTATCATACATGCTTAAACATGAATACAAACTACAATAGGCCATTTTATAGGCCGCACACAACAGGCACACAATAAGTGGTTGCCAAAGTTCATCCTTCTGTTCACTTCTTCAGGTTACTTGAGCCTTATTTGATGTGTTAAACAAATATGGTACAAATCACGAGCATACATATGTACATTCCTTTGTCTCACGTCAGAAGAAGATTGCAGAATGATATGCCATTCTGGAAAAAACAGCTGGAACGGTATTTTACCATCAAAGATGATAAAGTTTCTAATGATTTTTCACAGTTACGGGAGAGAGAAAATTCGCATATTGCGGGTCTTTTTCCGCTAACAGCATCCAAGAGGTGGTAGTTTTACTGACGGCTGCTGAGCCAGAAAGCCTCCCATCTGATTTTTCCTTTCAAATGGGGTCAAGCCAGGGGATTCTCAAAAACTTCATCCGAGAGGGGGGAAAAAGGTGCGTACATCAAAAGATATGAATAAAAGTTTTACAGTTCAACCATGAGAGAGCAATCATCACGTCACCCTGCCAAGCCTTCCCTCCGTAATCAGGATAGTATTCTTATAATTTCTTATAACCCCCACTGTGATGTTTATAACCTCTTATTTCGGCTTTTCTGTCCTATTACGAAGGCATTGCCTCAATGTCATTGAAATACACAACATAATGCTACAGTCAAATACACTGTAACAGGATCTCATTTCCAGTCGGTCAAGATTGAGACGGTAGGAGGCCTAGTCCCACACTCAACTAAACTGATCAAACTCCCCGTATCCAGTGAAAATAAATTAGTAAAACAACGGTAAGTTGAGTTCAGTGAAGGGAAGTATTTGTTGGTAACATGCCAGTCTCTCCGCCTAATCCTGTTTTCATCATAAACGCAATGAACTAATCCCTTCAAATCAGTTTCAATCTAAGACAAAGCTATTCAAGCACATGACATATAAAACGAGAAAAAATCATTGTGACTGACTCTCACAATCATAATGCTCTGCTACCACAATACTGAATTCTACTTCTTCCTCAGGAAGAAAAACCAGGATTATCCAGAATTCCTGGAACGAAGTATTCTCTAACAGAAGATGAATAGATACTTCACTAGCTACTTTTTATTCACAAGTATCATATAAACATGATTTTGAGGATCTTTGCATAGATCTTTGTGATACAAAATTAGTAGTATGTAGATCGAGGATTAAATTATAGTATGACAGTATCTCTCATTTGTAACTCTCAGTCTTCCAATTCTGAAAGATTCTGAATTATGATATCATGTGATCAGAGTTAGCGGATCCGTTTGTTTAAACGTGCCTGATGACCAATCCCATATTATATGCCATTCCCAGCTCAAAGAAGTTACGAAAAAGACACTCATCCCTTGTCCATATCTTCTTCAACAATTTCAATAAACTACTTCAATAAACTCCTAGCGAAACTTTGACTTGAAGGATGGTATAGTGGCCACGCCTCAATAACTGATTTAAAGCCCCAAGAAGAATCATAATCAGTAAGGTTCCTCTTACAAAGCACATCCAAAAATATAACTAAATTCGCCTGGTCTTAGTCAAGTTCAGCCAGTTCTGACCCACGTTTAACCCCATTTTTAAATTTTTAACCTTACCAAACACGATAGTAAAATCTCAACACCGTATTCATAAAACCTCATCCCAACACCGTAGGGTCAACTAGGACTGACTATATCTGGAAGATCTGAACAAAAGTTTTCTGATCCTCTGTCGACATGATATCAACTCCCCCAACTCTCCATTTGTTACGTCAAAAGTCCCAGCATAAATCATTTTCCAGAGAGTGGACTACCTTTAGAGGATGGCAAGCCCAATGAAAAGCTTATTGGCCAGTGGTGGTTCCTACAAACAGAGATGCCTAAAATTACATGTAAAGAATAGGAGTAAATATTTCGTAAAATATAAAGTAAAATATGCACAAAAGCAGGGGGAGAAGGCTAAATAAAATGCACACAGGCGTAGTGGGAAAAGTTATGTAACAAATCTCCATTGTACGGAATAGAAGGGGACACTCATAAAAGATTGTTAACAATCAACTAAATCTTTAAAATTCACAAACCATAAAGACAGGTTGGGTAAAAAAATTGTGAAACAATTTATGATAGTACTTGCGGCGTAAAATAAAATAAATGCCCAAACGTGGGACAAGGAGGCACTTTTTTGTTAATTGAAATGCAGGCCCCAAAATATACAGGATACTAGCTAAAATAATACAAGTAGAGATATGACAAACCTTTTAGGACACTAAATCCTATCAATTCATCAAGGAGCTTCTGTCGGGCAACATCCAACCTTCCTTTCATGAAATGCTTTTTCAGCTTCGGCCAATAGCCACATACATTGTATCCGTCAACAAGTAGCACAGGGACAGCAGACTCCAGACCCTGATTAGTACTATAAAAAAAAACAACAAAAAACTATGAAAATAAAACTTTGAGCATGGTGCCTATAAGGTTCATTGAAACCAATAAACACTGTAATAGTGATCAAAGATTAGAACCCCACTAGTAGAGATTCAAGGTGGGATCTTCATAGAGGTCTGTATCCTCTGGAAGCTTCTCTTTCACAACCTTCTTCTTGCGATAACTAGTGGCAGGCTTTGGCGCCCCAAACTTCTGCTTCTGATACTCCTAAAGAGTTTCCAACATAGAGCATATAAATATACCCAGGATATAATGGCATCTATAGCACAAATCCAGGGAAACTATCAGGCAAACCCTGAAAAAACAAAAATCCCACTGGTCTAAGACAAAAAAGTAAGCACAAATTAAACCTTTGAATTAAAGGTGAAAAAAAAATTCAAATTAAAGACATGCACCATCTATTCCAAAGGTTTAAACCAAGTGATAATTTAAAATAACCGAAAAGAGACTCTCCGAGTAATTATCCATGTCATGAATGTTTTACAAATTGTTTAGAACCATAGCATACATTAGTATGCATATGTGCAAGAATGGATAACATTAGGAGTGCAATCTGAAGAATTATGCTGCCAATCCATATATCTGAACACATCCTCTGTCACTTACTTTCCACAATTTTAGCAGTTGCAAGTTCTGCTTCACATTTGATGTGATCCTAGCAGGTGCCTGATCGGAACCCTGAAAGCACAAATTCTATTACACAATGACAACATAACCATGGAAATTTGGAGGGAGGGAACTGAAATTACCCAAGTCTCAAGTCCTTGACCTAAAAGGGGCGATTTGCATTCACTTCTGTCTAATTCGACTAGAATATATGTGGCGGATTAAAAACTTACGCTGACCAATGGAAAAAAAATCAAACAAATCAAGACATGTAAAATATGGTACATGAGACAAAAGGAAATATCTGGGCATCCATAGATCATTAATAATTCCTGTTGCTTTGTTCAATATCTACTTCTTTGTCGTTCTCATTCTCTAAGAAATAACGGTAAAGATGTCCCCCTTAAAGCACCACTCTCCTTGTCGGATGGGATAAACCCATCTGGAGGCACCTGAGTGATTACCAAGGCAGTTACTAATCTCGTCAAAGACGCAATACTAGTGAGAAAAGAAAGAAAAAAAAAATCAGGAATTGTATTTATCCGTTAGAATTGTGGAGTAAATACAAGCAGGGACTAAACAAGGACCTTTAGTTACCATATATATACGACGTTAAGTTTTTTTTCCCCCCTTACGCTCATCTTTTGTGCCAGCCTGGCTAGAAAAAGGGTGTAGAGTTCTCCTCCGATATATATATAGCAATCAGGTGAAGGCTGCAGCAATGAAAAGAGTCTTTCGATGCATTACAAAACTAACCTAACGGAAATCTCCAACATACAGAATGAATTCACATTTCAGTGATTCACCTGCTAAATTGTCTACAGATTTACCAATCCAGACATCCAGAGAGTCTGTTGAACAGTTTTGATGCGAAAAAAATGGAGATATCCTACGTTGAGTTCGCAAGTCACCCCGTCAAGAAACTGGACTGCCGACATGCTCACCGAGTCCACCATTGCTGTCATATTATAGACCAACTGGACTTGCGAACACATTCATCCTTCAGAACCATGAAGAGGATTACGGATAAATCCCGTTATTTATTAATTGGAAGCTCAATTATTCTTTGATTTGGAAGGTAGAAAATAGAAGCTACCACGATGCTGAGACAAACTTGTCACATTCAACTAACATCTCTACCACAATTCTGATGAACAGGGAAATGCCAAATTATCAAGAGGGAGAAAGCTTCAAGAGCATCAAAAGAGCCCAAAGAAGCGAGGGATGACGACCTTGTGCCGTTCGGGCTTTCTGCTCCCCGCCATTACCGCGGAAGAAGTGGCGGCGGGAGAAACGACAGCGGATTTCATGGGAGCGTCTCTCCTGCGCTCCTCTGTCTCATCGATCTCCTTCTAAGCCCCCCCCCCGACACACCCCCCTTGCCAGTCAACGAGATCCGACGTCACCGGCGGACGGTGCCACTCCGACGACGCCCGCACATCGGCGGAGTCCTGATGGTCTTGGAGGTACGAAAAACGCCTCCTCGAATCCGGCTTTCCATTCTCTGTTGACGTGTGGCCCCTTTCTTGCCACGTGGCATCCCCTTCTTCGTAGTTGTCCAACGGACGGACCAGTGGATCTCGATGTCCAGCAGGCGGGCCGAGGCATACTTGGGCTGTCCATAGCACGGGCTTCAACCACCAACGCTCTCAAGTGTGATGTTTAACTTTTTCCAAAAAATAAATAAATACATAAAATACTCAAATATTCGAATAAAAATTACTTCTAAATATTTCACGGTCTTTGTTTAATTTTCCTGTGAGGCGTGAAAAATATTGGATCTTGGAGGAGGAATCCGTCCCCCAGCTGGGTTGGTAAGCGCACATGGTGTTCTCCTCCGACTCCCCGAGGAAGATGGTAGAGATCGTTCAAGAACTGGGTTCAGATCGAGTTCAACGTATGAGGTGGGGAAATCGGTGGTGCTTCGGGAATCCCCCACCTTCTTTCTGATATAAAGATCAGACCCATCGTCCTTGAAGAGCGGCGGCGGAGAGCGGTAGGGTCGTCGGCAGCAGCCATGGCGGGGAGGAAAAGGAGGTCTGCCAGACGAGGGGCCATGGCTTCGTCGGCTTTTTTCTTTCTTGATGAGTGATTTCGACGAAATTGACTTGTTTTCAACGAAATTATTGTTTTCTGATTTTGCTCTGAGGAGGCATATCCATGATAATACTCAATATAACTGCGACAGGTTTTCTGGAGAAACCCAGCTGAGCCTGTGGGGAATGCAGAGCTGCCGCGAAGAGGCTGACGAAGCTGGGCCTGGAGTTCACACCCATCAGAAAGGCAGTGAGGGACAGCCTGTCGAGGTGAAAATAGGACTTGCTCGCCGAACTGGGACTGTTCCTTCCAATGAGCCTTTTCCGTACTTCACTGTTTTCTTCTTCTTTTTTCTTTCTCCATGATGCAACTAAATGCTGAGATTTTCGGTATCCTAAGCCCCCAGAAATTACTCGTACAAAAGGCAATCCTGTTCAGCGGACGGTCCTCTCCCAAAAATGAGGATTGTTCCTTTGCTTTCCGCAGACAAATCAAGATTCTCAAATGAAAAAGATCAGGAATCGGACATCTTGCCGCGGGAAGATGCCATGGATCTTGCCCGGTTGAAGCTGCATGGATCTTTGAGCGCGCCGCCGCACCCGAGTGTCCTCGGCTCCTGTAGATGATCAGAAAAAGGTCTGTTACGCCGCAGATTTCTCCTCTCAGGTGAAATACCCTGATTTTATCTGTGATCGATCTGTTCTCCAGCCATTACAGGCAGACACAGAGGATGGCCTTCTCCTTCGTCTTCTCCCAACTTTTCGTTCTGTACATCAGCAGTGCGCAGGCACCTGAGGATGAAGGCCCTCCGCCGCCGCAGCTACCACCGCTGCGGCGTAACCACGGCCACGGGATATGGCGGCGGGGGGCCCCCCACCGCCGGCGTGGCCCGTGGCTCCGTCTTCTTCCTTGCCCATTCCTTTGTCCCCCCTGTCTCACGCACTCCATGTGCTCCCACCTCAGCGAGCCTGCCATCTCCCCGGCTTTAAAGAAAAGAATCCCTCTCTTTTGGGTCTGCGGAAGGGGGGACGAGGGCACGTGTTCTCTATCATGGAGGTCTCCTCCATTGCAACCACATGCGCCTTCCTGGTGGCCTTCTTTCCTGTCCTTGTCCATCGTCCTCCTATGCTGAGATCGTCTTCCCCACCTCCGCCAACCCTATTCATAGATTCCTCTTACATTCTGACCTGAGCAGCGGCGATCTACAGGATGACCTCCGCCGCATCCGCTGCCTGTACGCGTTCCTGGTAACTTCTCCCTCCCACCTCCATCGGCGGCCCCATTCTCTTCGTCTGCTCTCACCTTCTCGAGCGTCTTCTCCGAAAGGTCCATCAGCGAGGACTCTCTCAAAAGGTACGTCTTGTACGCCAGCGAGAGCTGCATCCAGGAGCTGCTGTCTGCGTCAGAATCCGGCAGGGTCGGAGGGAACGATGGCTGGAAGGTTCTCACCCTCGACGATGGCGTCGAGATATCCAGGCGGCGGGCCGGCTCACTCCATGTTTTCCGGAGCCGGTGGCTGCTCCAGTCCGTCTCCCCTCGCCAGTTCATGACAGTCGCCAACGCGATTGACGCCGCCAAGGTGGGACTGTTGGATCAATAATCTTTCTTCTGATCTTCCCGAAAGTCCTTGATATGATCGTATGATTTCCGATCGATTATCGATCAAATCAAGGCCGAGACTGAGAATCGTCCCCTATTCATGGGATCTGTCTGATCTCTGAAGCAATGGGACCCCAACCTCGTGGAAACGGAGTACATCAGAGATATCGGCGACAACCTCAGCATCATTCGCCTGAGGTTCGGCGACGCTTCCAAGCCTCTCTTCAGGAACAGGGAGTTCATCGTCTACGAGCGGCGGGAGACGATGGACGACGGCACCCTTGTAAGGACGGCGGCCGTTGAAACTCCCCATAAACTGGATTCGCTAGGGTTTATTAGATCTAACGCTGTTCCCACTGCTCCAGGTGGTCGCAGTGGCTTCACTACCGAAGGAGATCGCTGCGGGATTACAGCCCGAGAAGAATAACTCCATCCGAGGTCTGCTTCTGCAATCAGGGTGGGTTGTGGAAAAGACGGAGGACGACTCATGCATGGTGACCTACGTTGTTCAGGTAATCCACCGCCGGAAGAGCCCGGCTCCTCGAAATCATTCGAGCAGTTGCTGAGATCTTACCCTGCTATAGATGAAGCAATGAGGTATTCTTGTTCTTGTTCTTGTTCTTTTACAGCTGGATCCAGCGGGATGGCTGCCCAGGTGCTTCGTTAACCGTCTGAACACGAAGCTGGTGATGATCATTGAAAATCTTAAGAAAGTGGCGGAAGCTTGCCCGATCAACGGGGCCATATGATTTTGCTCAATAGGAAAAATAACAGAACTAACGCGGTAAATACCCGTACATAAAGCTTAATAAATGACAACAGTGCTCTCTCTCTCTCTCTCTCTCTCTCTCTCTCTCTCTCTATGTTTGCTGATGAAGCGTTCTGCCACATTGATCGCCGAAGGACACTGGAACTGACAGACCATAGTGGTTGCTGAGATGGCTGCCAAATGCATGCATGTGACGACGTCGGTCGACTAGGTCAAATCCTTACTGTGAATTGTTTATACGGTTCATCTTGATGGATCCGTTTTGATAATAGCGGTGGCCGCGTCTTTTAAATTTCCAGTGATATTCCTACGAGATTATATTCAGCTTTGAATAGGACTGGAAAGAGAGAGATCAAAGACAGTCCTCGACCTAGATAAGGAGGGATCAAATCGGGCTGGACAAGTTTCTGGGTTTATCGACCCATCGGCTGCTGTTACCAGTCCCAAAAGCCAGAACTTTGGTCAGAAACAAGGGACTGGAACTTGAAATATGGGTGGGTAATTAGATAAGCCCAGCTAAATGATGGGCGGATCATAAGTCATTAATCATTGTCATCTCCCATCACCCTCCCCTTTGCCACTCCTGTCAAAACTCTCTCTCTCTCTCTCTCTCTCTCTCTCTCTCTCTCTCTCTCTCTCCATACGTAGATATATATGAATCTTACCTTTTATATGAACCTATGGCAGAAATTTACGCGATTATATTATGAAGGGGATTTGAAAGTCGATCGTGTTGGTCATTGTATTGCATTGAATGCATTAATTCCTGGGTAGGAAATTGATCGAAGTGAGTCAGTAGTCAGCACACCACGGTCGATGAAGACGATGCAAAACTGGTTGAGTATCCATTGAAAGCCGTGAGGAGCAAGAGAGAGGAACGACTCCCGATGATCTTTACGGCTACATTTTTTTTTCCATGGCTTTAATCTTTGCTCGCGTATGTGGAGGTGAAAAGGTGGTCGACCTTCGTCAGCTGCTGGGGCTCCCAACTGTGATAGAAGTAGAAGTCCAAGACGGATGTAACCCTCTAACAGCTGAGGAAAGGAACGCCATTTCACCATAGACGAAAATCAGTGATTCAAAAGGGCCGGGTTTTTTCTCGTCCCAAGGACAGATATTTTTAGTCTATCTCACTCAGATTAAGAGCCTGCTCTGTCGATATTTCTCAACCATTGATTGTTTCCCAGCAAAAGTCAACTTTACGTGCCCTTAAATGTGCCCACACCTTGAATCTCAACTAATGTTTGATGGCAGGGAATAGGTTGGGGAGTGTGTCGAGACAAAAACAAGTTCAAAAATTGTTCTGAACATCTTTTACAAAGCACGAAGTCACAGAGAGAGAGAGAGAGAGAGAGAGAGAGAGAGGTTGGGGTGGATTGCATGTGGCAGTGGATCATCCACCAGAGAAGCTGTGAGACTTTCGAACCGCACCCTATCGTAGCGAACCCAACCTAGACTCAACAGCCATCTAGGTTAATGTTTTCGTCTCTTGACAGCGATTTACGACAGAAGAACCACAGACAATTGGACGACTTGATGTAGGCAGTTCAGGGCGAGAGGGAGAGAGAGAGAGAGAGTCAAATGGGTTCAATGCGGGAGATGATAATCTCATGGCGTGTCATTCACCAAACCCGTTGACTAGTTTCCCCCTCATCCCATGACACTCGGTATCTTCCTCTTCGACACGACCCCCACAGAGGCTCGTGCTCCTATCAACGGCGTAGGATTTTCAAGGTGGAAGGAAGCTTGGCTACGCCATGGATGATCGAGGAGGAAGATGAAGGATCCAAATGTTTTAAAACCCAGACATTCATGCATCTTCAGCATTGACCCTCAGGAGATACTTTCATATTTTTTACTGATAGATGTCAACGAGCCCATCCTCAACCCGAGAATCATCCACCTGAACCCTTTCTATGCTAGAAAAATGCTCAAGAAATAGCTTTTGTGTCGAACCCTCGTGAGCTTAACCCATATGCCCCCATCAGAGAATGATGAAGAGGAAAAATATATTTGTAAGAGAGAGAGAGAGAGAGCACCGATAAGAGTTGATTGTGGTCTAGATATAGGGTACCATGAGTTCCTTGTTGACTAATGTGCGATAGTGTTGTTTCTAAAATGGAAGTTTGTCCGTATGTTAGGCCGATCGCTGAACAGGCAGCACGTGGCCCAAGTGATGGTCCCCATGGCTGGATTTCAATGCGTTGACCTTGCCTAGGGTTGGTTACTCGGGGGAGATGCTCACATTAAAGTCTCCCTTTAAGAACTGATTCATAGTTGGAGGAATCTACCAAGAGTAACCCACTCTCCCCGGGACTGTAACGTGCTCCTCTCAGTTCGTCGCTGTTCTGTGTCCGGCGCAGCCTGCGGCATTGCCGAGCTAGAGAGCCTCCGATTTTAGGGGATCGTTGACGGGAGGAGAGGAGACCAAACGAATCGACCCGGTGGCCCGGAAGGGATCGCCACTTCTGCCCGCCGGGGGGGGGGGGTCGCATCTTTGGACCCATCCCCAGCGAGACATCGGGGAAGTAGACCGTCGTTGTCTAATCTGACACGGGCTCAACTCGCCTAATATGACGAGCGAACGGGCGGCTAGAGAGAGACAGGAATCGCATCCTTGCACCTATCCGTCAACGGCCGCTAGCGAAGCGGTCGACCTTTGGAGCATCGTGAATTAAAAATCCCGCCTTTTATTGCGAAGTTCGGCCGTGTTTGTAGGGCAGCGGGGCGAGGTGTAAACCATCACCGCTATTAAATGAGTTCCTCCCCTTTCCCCAGATCGCTCCTCCACCACTATTAGACGACTCTCTCTCTCTCTCTCTCTCTCTCTCTCTCTCTCTCTCTCTCTCTCTCTCTCACTCGCTTATATAGAGTACGAGGAAGAAGATATCACAGGAGCTGAAGAAGAGGGCAGAGAAGGAGATGGGGAGCATGGACGACTACCAACGGAAGCCGGGGCAGAAACAGAGTCGAGTCCGGGCCATGCTGAAGATCCTATTACTTTTGGTCACCACCAACGTTACCACCGCCTACTTCTTCTCCTCGCCTTCCTCAAGCGTCAAGTGGACGGACTACGCCCCCCGCTTCCCCCTCTGGGACACGGACGCCCTCCTCCGCGAGCTCAACTCCACACACGACAAGCTCGCCGCCGCACGGCAGCAGATCGACGAGCTCAACATTCGCCTCCAAACCTCCAATTACCTGATGGAGGAGCTGACCACTGAATTCCGCAAACCCCGGCAACCGGTCGAGGTGGCGGACGACTTGAGCACCAGTCTCTCCGGTGAGCTCAAGCTGGTAGTAGAGGCCCACAAGCTCCCTCTGGGCCGCAGCGGCAATGTCGGCTCGGAGGAACTCTTCCCCGTGCTGGGCTCCGCTTGCCGGCGCCACCAGAGGGACCTGGAGCAGTACATGACCTACGAGGTGGGTGGCCAGTGCCCAGTCGATGACGTATTCGCGCAGCGACTGATGCTGCAAGGCTGCGAGCCGCTCCCTCGCCGGCGGTGCAAACCCAAGACACCAAAGGGCTACATCGAGCCCAGCCCACTGCCCGATTCCTTATGGAGCATCCCCCCCGACAGCAGCATCATCTGGGAGCCTTACACCTGCAAGAACTACGGATGTCTGGTAAACCGCAATAAGATGCCGGGTTTTTTCGACTGCAAGGACTGCTTCGACCTCGGGGGCCGCGAGAAGGACAGGTGGATGTTCGAGATCGCAAATCTGGGCTACAGCATCGACCAGGTGCTGGCCACGAAGCCGCAGGGGACGGTGCGGATCGGGCTCGACCTCGGCGGCGGCAGCGGGACGTTCGCGGCTCGCATGAGGGAGCGCAACATCACCATCGTCACTACCACGATGAACTTCGACGGGCCGTTCAACAGTTTCATCGCCTCCAGGGGATTGATCCCGCTTCACATCAGCATCTCCCAGCGGCTGCCCTTCTTCGACAACACTCTCGACATCATCCACTCAATGCACGTAATCAGCAACTGGATTCCCGACACCATGCTCGAGTTCGCCCTCTTCGACATCTACCGGGTGCTCCGCCCGGGGGGCCTCTTCTGGCTTGACCACTTCTTCTGCATCGGGTCTCAGCTCAACGCCACCTATGTCCCCATGTTCGACCGCATCGGGTTCAAGAAGCTCCGGTGGAACACCGGCCGCAAGGTCGATCGGGGCGCCGAGTTGAACGAGTGGTACTTCTCCGCGCTTCTGGAGAAGCCCATGACGTAACCGGCGCCAACGGCTCCCTTCTCTGCCGTCGCAAGCTGCGGCCGTCTCCGCATTCCTTGGTGGAAGAAACTACCGGAGGTCGAGGGGCCGAGGTTACCATTATATGCCACCGGCGGGTTTGAATATTTTTGTTCTCTGGCTCTCTTAGTAGTGTTCTTGTTTCTTCATCTTCCTTCGACAAATTCCCCCAGACGATTCTGTCTCCGCCTTTCCTCGTTCTCGGAGCCCTCAGTGACTGAACATCCAGCTAGACCCGTCTATTTGCACGCAACATGGAATCAAATCTCATATGGGTTCCGTAGACTCTCTCACTCACACACACACAATCTCTATCTCTCTCTCAAAAAGGTTCATAAACTGTACAATTAGGCATAAATACTCGCTAATCTGTACATAGAAACAGGCAGGAAACATCTTCTCCGAGAGGAGGGCGAGACATAACACGTATCAGGCACAACAAACTCCATTGCACCACCTTATAAATAGAAAAAAATATCTATATCAGGCGATTCTTGCACGACCAAATCAGCACTTCGTTATTACACGGGGACATCGTCCACACCGCTGATTCTCAACCAAATCTGTAAGCCCATCCGTGCTCCTTGAGGAACGACTGAACGGCTTCCTTAATTGCCAGATTTGGCACCAGCTGCTGAGGCTCGAGGTGTACCCTCGTGATGGGATCAAATCTCCCCACCTGTTCGTTCACACCCATTCAGACAGACAGAGAGAGAGAGAGAGAAAGAGGTGGTGGTGGTGGGGAGACAAAGACGCCATACCTTCTGGAGATGATCTAAAAGCACCCCCCTCTCGTATGTGATACCGCAAGGAGTGATAACAGGATCGCGAAATATGTCCAGGGTAATCTTACAGCATAGGTAGTCGGGCACCTGGAATACCAGCAGCTGCAGAGATCAGCATTGGCTGGAAGGTAGAAGCTTCCGGGAAGAAAACTTGGTCTCACCTCTCTTCGATTATCAGAAGACGAAGCACACTCAAACACCTCTGCCAGGTATTGCAGCTGCTCTGAGTGGGAAGCTGCCTCCTCTTTTCCCTCACCATTAACTCCAATATCGAGCAAATAACGTTCTGTCAGAGCCTTCTCACATTCTTCCCTGATACATAATTTCCAAGAGAAACGTGAGGCGACAGAGAACCCGGTTGAGGCGTTTGAGCAGCCACCTTGTTGCTCAGCTCGATTACCCAAAAAACATGCAATTTCTTTATTAAAAAAAAGGGGAAGAAAACTCTACACACAAACATACTTGAGGCTCTGAAGTCTCCAACTTCGTTCACTGGATAGGTTTTCCCATTCCGTGTACTTGGCCTTGGCAAGAACCTGCCAAATCTCCTCCACCATGTAACTCACAGGGTTTGCCCCCCTTCCAAGATCCAATGCCTATGGAAGAAATTTCCAGCTGCCATTAGAGCATGGTAATGTGGGAAAAAAGGCTGCATATTCAAAAATAAATTGGTAAAAAGCAGACCAAGGTGATATCCCATCTCCAACCAAAAGGGAATACGACATTAAAAAAGATCGAGATTCCGTTGACCTGATGCAAAGGTGGGATCCGGAATGGACCCCAGTTCAGAGCTTCACTGTTCACCGGAGAACATCTGCCACCACATGTAATGCTCTTTGAAGGGCACGTAGAGACAACATTGAACCATAACTAAACCAGGCGAGAATAAAGTCAAACTCTACCAGCTTGTTAGACCAGACGACTTTTGACCATATTCCCTGCACCCTTTTTTATTCCATTGATGATTTCTACCACGTTCAAAAAATTGCTTCTTTTTTTTTCTTCATTTTCTTAGTGCTCCCTGTGGGGCAAGTTTCACCACTCTTTCTGTCGATCCTTCCAATAGCTTTCACGATCAATGGCTGTTGCACCTCTTCTATTCCTTTCTGAGATTAAAGAAGAGATCCAAGGAGATATGAGGTATACCTCCTGCTAACGATCCCATGTCAAATGGGAACCCTCCGAACAGTACCAAGCCTCTAAAACCCCTCCACCTATGCCCTGTGAGCACCCCCGTATAATGCATGCATGAAGTATCACCGGGCTGAACGATCCATAAGCTTTTCTTCTCGGTTATTCTGCTGCAAAGCCCCTCTTGATTCTATAACTGGCAGAAATAAAAATTGACGGAACCCTTATCTCTTGACCGGGATAAGAACAATTGCAATCAATAACAAACAGTAAAATAAAATCAAGAACTAACGCAAGAAGATTTACACGTAAGACCTCAAACTTGGGGGAAACCCGTGGGAGAAGAACCCCATGCCCTGCCCACAAATCAAGCAAAGTTTGTACTCCCTGCCGCTCACTGTGGCCCTGGCTTTGCATTTACAGTCCCCACTTATATAACTCATGGCAATAGAACAAAATAACGTCGTCTTGGTAGAGCCGGGCTTTGCGTTTATGTTGTAGCAATCTCTTTCTTGTTCTCTTCAACCGGTGCTGTTAGGTAGAACCGCTGCATCATATTCTTTCAACAAACGCCGCTTCTGCATGGATAACTTAAATATCGTCTTCCTTATAACCTTTGTATCATTCCTCAGTCCCTAAATTCTTCTTGTTCATAATCAAGTCTATTTTGAAAGCTCAAATATTGTTAAGTTAACCTCATCTAGATTGACAGTGTGAGAAATTTAGGCCATAGAGAATCAACTAGACTGAAGCTATCCTTTGGACTATCACATTGACTGTCTTAAGTTCGGACTGAAGTGGTCTGAGTCAATCAAACCCTTCATCTTTCTGTCGACCAAATAATCACGAGAACCATCAAAGAATCGAAAATTTCAGTTAGCGTGTACAAGTAGGCATGAATGAACTCAAGACGACACTGGTTGGCCCAGGTCAATAAACCACACTTCCAAATACGTCAAAAATCAGCCATCGAACTACATAATGTAGCAAAATTCGATATATCTATATACATATATGTCATTCAGTTCAAAATTGTACAACTGGGTGGAAATACTTTAGACAGCACTTTAAGTTTTACAGTTGGTGAAACAGTATGCATACTTAAGATAGTCGTGATTACAGGAACTAGCACATCCAAAATCCCCAACAAATGAGAGTTCTTTCGGTCGTCTCCCCTGTATCTCATCTCATTGCCTCCTGCCCACTTTCCCTTCAAAGAAATTTCACAGTTCCTGCAAAGGTAAAGCTTAAACTGAATCCTTGGCATTCTATAACAATTCCAACTTCTTTGAGCTGCAGCCATTTTTGCGAGATGTATCTACTTTCTGCCTTATAATCTTCCATTCACTGATCCTCTTTAGAAGGCAACTGGGTCTTTTGAATGGTGAACTGCGAATGATTCTGAGACTGAACGAGGGTCATTAAATAACGATTCAGTGAACTCTATGTCAGCATTATGATGTGATCCCTCTTGTTTGTAATTCTAACATAAAAAAATCAAGAAGCAACTTAAGATGACAAAAATCAGGTTGATAATCACCAATTCCTTTCTAATTTACCAGGGAAAGACAGAATCATCTGTGAATCTCTAGAGTTTTGACAACAATTGTGACCACTTATGGACCTCAATTTTACCTTCAATAGTCATCCACCTCCAAACAGAAGTCATCAGTAAGTTTAGCCCGGTAGTTTTCATATGCTAATTTGCAGACAACATCTGCTGAATATCAACTTGGCATTTGAAAAAAAAAGTGTCCCCCAACATCTTATCTAAAAAAATCCTATCAATACTATTTAAGGAATTATGATCAAAGCTGTAGCGGTACAACTGCCAGCTCAAGGATCTTTTCTTTTCATCACTAAAAGAAGTCAATTACCCCGATGCAATGATCAATCATACTCTGAACAGTTTTTTGTTAGCAAAAAGTTGATTACGAATACTAAATTGAGTCAACGAAAAACAAATTATAACGACCACTAACCATAGGAATACAGAAAATGATACCAAACTGATTCTACAGACCGGTAAACAGACTATCGGCCTTGAAAGAAAAGTAATCTTTGTCCTCATACAGGGGGAGGTTTCTGAATTTTTTAATCATCAGCATCCTTTTCTCGGGTAATAACTAATTAAAAAGGCTTTTGTGAAACTTAATTCGATGTCCACGAACAATACTCACAGGTTTCATTGAATACACTGCCACTGATTGCGGATATCCTATTGCCAGCCAAAACTCCAACCGAGAAATTCTATCCACTGATTTGTAACTTAGTTCAAGAAAGAAATGATAAAAAATGTTACAACCATTAGGAGGGAAATCTTGCACACGTACAGTCAGGGAAAGTCATAGAGCAATGGAGTATAAGAGGTTGATATGAGTAGGTATGAACTTAGACATCCAGCATTGCTAAAAAGGAAATGAGCTAGAAACAGGTCCTAACCTTCTCCAGTTCCTTGATTCCGTTGGTATAGTCTCTCCTTTCCAGTAATGAGAGTCCTAACATGTAGTGGGCCTGCCATGAACAAAGATGATGTTTCCGTTGGTATATTCATTACCCTTAAAGGCTCGCATATACTATCTGGACAGTTGAGAGGCAGTGAAGAAATCATCTAGGCATACTGCAGAAAAAAACATTAATCTGACAACTGAAAGATCATGGCATGCAGAGTAATAACATCACTTTTCGTGACGGTTGGGATTTTAAAAAGAGAGATGAGGCTAGAATTCTCAGGAAATTTCAATCATTAGTACATCCATCTTGAAAAAGGCCCTTTGCATTTACCATCGAAATCTTCCACTGGCATGAATATCAAATTTGATGAAATAACTATGGAAAATGCAGGCCAGCAGTAGGAGACATCTCTGGACCCAAATGGCATATTGGTTGCTAGAAGCATTAGACTCATGTTTAGGATTCTTCTGCACAATGTGGGAAAAATAAAATAACTGAATAGTTGTAAATGGAGTTTGCTGCACATTTTTTACCTAACACCTGGAGCAATCAAGGGCGTCACTTGAAGCTTTGAAATGTTGATCCATCTTATTTCTTTCCGAGGTTTCCTTTTTATTTCAAGGATTAATTTGCTACTGTATCTGGAATTATGTTTTTTAGTTGGTCAACCCTTCCTTTAAAAGTCAACTTCCCTTAAGAGGTCCAAATCTATTTCTTTAGGATTTCAAATCAGCTAGGCCTGGATCTCATTGTAGACACTTTTCCCAAGAATTTTAACCTGATATTTAAGTAATTCCTTTTCTCTTTCTTGATGCCTCAGTCCACCATTCGCAAGCCCTTCATTCGTGGTCCACAAGGAAGATGGCGCTACACATTATAGTGAAGGAAAATTCTTAGAACAGTACAAATACGATATTTGCTCTGAACCCATTTTACTCCATTCTTGTATTGATCGTTAAGTTGGATTTCTGCGTAAGTTCAAAAAGGGGACTTGGACAAATAAACATTTTTTCACCAACAAGATGCTCCTTACTTTAACGGATGGTTAACTCAGTACGTAAGAGTTTTTCGTTTAATCCTTCTGGGTTTGACTCACTCACAGGTTTACACTCCAATCTCTGGGGTAAAGCTTCGAACTTCCGAACCATTGACCCCTCCTACAGTACCAAATGTCACCCAGATTTATGGTACAAGCCACCTCTTCTTCAGCTGTTAATCATTTTCGCTGATCATCATCAGAAATGTTTCCACACATTGACTGTGATATTACACTGCTTACACAATATCACACCCAACTACGTCCTCCAGGTATCCTCCAAGTGGAATCTTCATCTGCATTTTGATTAATAATGCTACAGTAAAGCAGAATCAAAGCGGTCATAGCTATGATTTCATACCTAAAAGAAGGCATCCCTATAATTCATAGAACTACATCACCTGATTTCACTCAACATAATCATGAAGATTTATTAAACTCCAGAAAAAGTCAACCCAAATGAGTGTTTCTAATCAGAAAATCGAAGACATATATAAGGATGACTTCCTTCTATCCATCCTAAGAGCCGGCCTATAACTCAGTAATTTTTGATCGAAATTCCTCGTCTTCAACAAATTATGTACCGATTAAAATTTAGGAAATGTAAAGGATTTAATGTTTTTGCGACCAATCACACCACCAAGATACAGAGTACACATGAACAGTCGGAGTGTTTGATAGGCAAAGGTCCTTGAACAAGATCAAGCTCTCCAGCCCCAGAGGACACACAGGGTAGGGAAAATTTCCAGCACTAGATTCAAGATAAATGCTGTCTGAGTAAAGGAATCCATATACAAAACAACGAGGAAAACTATAAGAAAAGAACTAATCACAATATGTTCGATATAACCCAAAGAAGCTAGCATCATTTACGTGTAAACCGTTAGCATAAAGAGAAGACATATGCAGCAACCAAATGTATAAATGACAACCAACGAAGGTGAGGACGATATGTTAAACAAGAAGCAAGAACAAGAGAAGCAATGACAAGAGGTGATATTACCTTCACCGAACTATTATCAAGTTCAAGAGCTTTCCTACAATCCTCTTCGACTCTGGTCCAATCACTAGTTAAGGCGACAAGAAAAGAGACGGTATGAAAAATCAAGGAAGCAATAATTCGAAATAGCAAAAGAGAGAAAATAGCACGTACTTCCGCCTCCTGTGACAGAGTGCCCTATTGGTCCAGTATACCGCGACATCTGGGCACAGAGTAATGGCCTATGAACCAAATATCAAAAGTAATCGTAAACGTTTACTAACAAAATAGAGATCGATGACTCGGGAATTTTTCGAAAGTAACAACTGAATATATATGAGCAATGACATTTTGTCGAATCGTAGAACACAGAAGCATTATTGACCGCTTGGTTCGGAGGCGCATCAGAATCAAGGGACAGAAAGAGAAAAAGGAGGCCGATATGCCATTAGACTTGCATAACAGCACATCCAATCGGGTAAACTAGATCAAGATAAAAACCGTAAGCGAATTTCCTTCTTAAAAGGGCCGACGACAAAGAAATATTTTCCCCTCTTCTTCCCTTCCCCTAGAGGCGCAGGCTCGCGAGTACTACCTCCGTGTAAGCGTCGATGGCTGCCCCGATGCGATCCTTCTTGAAGAAGGTGTTCCCGTCAAGCCGGAGCAACTCCGCCTGCTTTGCGACGCTCGCCGGCACCGGCGCCATCATCTGTCCCCCTCCCCCTCTCCTTCACCCAGCGCAATTGCTTCCGACAAACGGACCCGGAGGCGGAGGAAAGAGGTCGGGAAGGAGGGTATGAGAGAAATCGAACTCTCGAAGTTTCTTGTCGCGACCTCAGATTTCAACCCAACCCACGCTCCGTGAAAAAGCCCGAGACCAGTGAGGCGACGGAGAGGATATAGTAATTCACATCGCGTCCTCAGACAAAGTCTCCCGGCTTCCTCCCATTCGTCAGTCCTTTTTTAAAACTCGAGTCAAAACGCCAGCGTGATCGCCAGTCCGGCAGGGACAACGATTTTCTGATAAAAATATACCAAAATCGGAAATTCAATCCTATCCTTTCCGGCTCCTGATTTCCAGAATTTCGATGTCTTACACTATAGCTTACATTTTACAAACTTGGAAGAGAAAAATCAAATGTTGTGACGTGGGTCTGGCCCCATCCGATATGTCTTACAGTATTGTTTTACATTTTATAAACTTGGAAGAGAAAAATAAAATCTTGTGACCTGGGTCCATTGAGATGTGTTAAAAAATTTCCAGTTTTTCCAAAAGTGATCACTGCCCTCGCCTTTATGGTGAAGGCACGAGGAAGGCTACGCTAGTTTTTCATTTCTTTATTATTGTTAATATTTTATTTGAAATCACGATTTTATGTTATACGTAATTATGATTAGAGGAGTTATTAGATCGTGTCGCATGATATTGACTCGTTTGAGTAAGATTTTTAGTATTGATTCCGGGACTATCCGCCTCCCGCAACGATCGTTTTGCAGAAGTTGATACCCGCGGAAGAATGGAACACCGCTGAAATTAATAAAGACGATGAATTTCTTTGACACCGTGTTGACCCAGAAAAATGGCGGCACCATTTTGAAGCAAAAACGGTTCTACCGGCATTGAAGTCAGTCCAGAAGATCAGGAGGCTGAAAAACAACAGATGAGATTCCTCCGAGAGAAATTGATCACGTTGTTCCGTGGCACGCAATTGTCGAGGCCGCCGGAAGATCCCTCCGCCCAGCATCTCTCCGACTCTGCAATCAACGCCTTCTCCAAGGAGCAGTAGGTAGCTGCCAATGTGGGAATTCCACGGCCTTCGTTTCTCCCTCGCCTGGGGCCAGAATTCATTATCTGCCACGCGGCTCCCAGTCAGTCTCTTCACTATTCGCTACTTGTGTCAACTCTTCTCCGGGGCCTTTCCCGGCTATGGCCGCCGTTCACCACAGCACTGTTCCCATTAAATGAGGCAGAGATCGACCGCAATGAAGTCGTCTGGATCCATCCCTCCCCATGGTCTCACCCGTCCTGTCATTGGGGAGGAGAGGATAAAATTCCCGTGAGCCACATGAAGATATGAAAACTGGCCTCTTACTCTACTCCCCTCTTTGTGGCTGGCATTGGGTTCTTTCTCCGTAACATCGTTGTGGGTCCCTCGGGATGCCATGTCACTTTGCTTCGCTATTATCACTGTAGTCGATGGCTTTCGAGTGGCGCGGCCACCTTCGGTTATAAGATGGCCGCCGGTCTTCAGAACAGGAGGCTCACGCGCTCCTCCGCCGGCGATTTCTTCTCCCAGATCTTGCGGGAACTATGGCAGATGTCCCGGCTGCCCAACCCCTCCTCCTCTCGAGCCCCACCGAAAGGCCCCCTCGCTCCAAGAGTCCGCGCCTTCTGGTGTCCGTGGGAAGATGGGGGATCAAGGTGCTGATGTGGGTCATCTTGGTCGCCTGGCTGGGTCTGATCTTCTTCCTCCCCACTGATTCCGCATGGAGACGGTTCCAGGGGTTCTTGTTCGCGACAGAAGGAACTGTTTTCGGCTTGACGGGTCCGGATCCTTCCTCCATTCCTCCAGATTTAAGTGACGGGATATCGTTTGATCAACAAACCGAGGCCTTTTTCTTCTTTTTTTTCTCGTCTCCTGATTTCAGGCAGCGTGTTCCTTCTCACGAGCGCCCCTATACTGGTCGTTGCATTGCTAGCATACATATACGTGGTCTCTTTCTCCGAAGAGCACCATCGGTAATAACCAAAGCGAATTCAATGAGATTGCCCATATAGTCTGCTTTAGGGGAGAAGGCTCATCTGAGTATTGTGATGATGATATATTTGGATTAGCCATACCCAGCTGTCCATCTTCTCCATCTAAAGTTGCTTTCTCAATGAACAGAAGGGCCCCGAGGTTTCCGAGGTTGAAGCTGTGGACTTTTCCCGTCCTCCTGGACGGACCTTTCGGAGTCGTCTCGGCAGCCGAGCTCATCGGGATAGTCCTCTTCACTGCTTATGTCCTTTCGGGCATCTCTGCATACACCATGAAAATTTCGAGCTTGGAAAAGAAAGAAAGGTGCTTATTCCTGTGCCTTGATTTGAATTTAATGAACCCCAGAACATTAGATGTCCACCCAAATACTTCATTTATTCGCAAGCTCATTATTTCGTCGATACAAGAAACAGTAACTTTATTCGGATGGATATATCCACATAAATCATGGCCTGATGTGGACAATATTGCGCATTTGCAGTTCCTTTATCTTGGAATTGTTGGGCCTAGGCATGGCTTTTATTGGGATGTGCTGCACGTCCTTCTTGTTCCTTCCAGTTGCAAGAGGGTCAATCCTTCTTCGTTTAATAGACATCCCCTTCGAGCATGCGACGAGATACCACGTGTGGCTGGGGAATTTGACGATGATGCTCTTCACCCTACACGGAGTAGGTTTTATTGCCTCCTGGGCACTCCAGGGCGTTCTACTCGATAAAGTGAGTGAAGATATCACATAACATTTTCAACTGTTCAGCATGTAAATATTAGATCTTTACTGAAATTACCCTGCGATTTGGAATTGATTGTCCTCCACAAACAAAAAACATTAGGAAGACTGCATTTCCTTTATGCCACTAGAAGCAAATCAAAGCTTCCAGTCGATGCTTGTTTTCTACCTTTCCGAGCCAACCATTGAAACTGATCGTATGATGTTCTTCCGCCTCTTGCCAGTATGCTGATTTCTACTTCCCATGTTGCAGTTGTTGGAGTGGAGGAGTGTTGGGGTTGCAAATTTGGCTGGGGTGATCAGCCTTTTGGCTGGGTTACTCATGTCGGTCACGTCCTTGCATCCGGTCAGAAAGAGATACTTCGAACTTTTCTTCTACACGCATCAGCTTTACTTCGTCTTTGTCATATTCTTAGCCATGCACGTTGGAGACTTCATATTTAGTTTTTCTGTTGGAGGGATATTTCTCTTCACAGTTGATCGATTTCTGAGGTTCTGCCAGTCAAGAGCTACCGTCAATCTAATCTCAGCATCGTGCCTCCCCTGTGGGACTGTGGAGTTAGTCCTCTCAAAACCACCAAGTATCTCTCTCTCTCTCTCTCTCTCTCTCTCTCTCTCTCTCTGTGATAACGTCTCATAATAGATAGAGATTGTTTATCTTCCAGTCTAAACGTGGAAAATAACGTGCACCCTTCTCTCAGGTCTGAAGTACAATGCCCTCAGTTTTATTTTTCTGCAAGTAAGGGAGCTCTCCTGGTTGCAATGGCACCCCTTCAGCGTTTCTTCCAGCCCTCTGGATGGCAAAACCCATCTTGCAGTCCTCGTAAAGGTACTGGGAGGGTGGACTGAAAAACTCAGGGGCGTCATCGCACCTGTTCCGGATGAATCCTCCCAGGGATCCTCTTCTTTCAAGGTCAGCAGGATAACAGCTTCAGTGGAAGGTCCCTACGGTCACGAAGTAGCATACCACCTGATGTGAGTGATCTTCAACAGTGACTTGTTTATTTTTATTTTTTGTAGTCGGCTAGAAAGCTCACTTATTTCTTCCTCATTATCAACCTGACGGGTGTTTCTCCTCTTTAAGGTACGAAAACCTGATCCTTGTCGCCGGAGGGATCGGCATATCGCCCTTTCTGGCCGTTCTGAGCGACATCCTTCACAGAGTAGAACAGAAGAGGCCTTGCCTGCCCAAGAACATACTGATCATCTGGGCCGTCAAGAGCTCCAGGGAGCTTTCGCTTCTCTCTGTGGTCGATTCACAGAACATTTGCCCGTCCTTCTCCAGTAAGCTGAACCTGGACATCCAAGCTTACGTCACGCAGGAGTCGCAGCCCTCACTGGTATACCCCCTACGCTTGTCTGTGGACAACATCAGCTGACCTGGGATCATCACTAATCTCCAGCGCATTCTGTGCTGCTTCTTACAGGAAGAAGGCGAGACTTCCAGGGACATGAAAATGGGCTGTTCCTCTCTTCCGGCCATGTCCAATGGAGGCCCGATGTCGAGCTTGGTCGGCACAGGGAATAGCTTTTGGGCCGGAGCTTACTATGCTGCATCCTTGGCCGGCTTTATCGTCTCCTTTGCCTTGCTGCAAAAATTCTACACGATACCATTTGGAGTAACTGCCTGGTGGTACAAAGGGTTTCTGTTCTTGACGTGCATGGTTGCCAGCGTGATCGTATTCGGAGGTCTTGTTATTTTGCTTTGGCGTCACTTCGAGAGAGAGAACTCCAGTCACGAGGAAGGCGCAGAAAGTGAGGAAGATTTTGACTTTAGGGAAAACATCAAGCCGGAGGTGGCTGGTGAGCCGGCTACATCGGATATCGTGAGCTTGATTACTACCCATTACGGGCGCAGGCCACATCTTCAAGGTACGGCGTTCCGTTTATGGTGCACCGCTTAGTTTCTATAAAGTCGGGCGAGAAGTATGACTAATTTTTTTAATATTGCCTGACAATCTCCGATGGCGTTGACCTCTGGTTGTTCTTCGATGCTTTTGTCAGATCTGTTCGACTCCTTCTCGCGGGCGGTGGGGCATGTCGACGTGGGCGTTCTTGTGTGTGGCCCATCTGGGCTTCAAACGAATGTCGCGAGAGAGTGCAGGAGGCAGACAATCTGGGGCAAATGGGACCAACCGATCTTCCATTTCCACAGCCACAGCTTCGATCTGTAGAACCCTAATATCCTGTTCCTTAAATGCGCAGCCTCTCTCTCTCTCTCTCTCTCTCTCTCTCTCTCTCTCTCTCTCTCTCTCTCTATCTCTGTGTTTATCCCTGGGAAAGAACAAAAATTTAGAAATATCGAAACTTAGACAGAGAGTGAGAGCGGCCTGTGACATCATAAATCTTACGCCAATAATTCTAAAAAAATGTGAATGAGTTTGGGTCTTAAGAACGATCGATGCCCAACGAAGGGGGGGGGGGTCGAGTTTTTGAAATACCAAACTATATATCCAAAAAATTAAATATCATGATTTTATGGGTATTATCAGCACAGACCTATTGCCAAAATGGGTCGAGGAAAGGGTTTCAGTAGGGTTCAGTCTCTCTCTCTCTCTCTAGACATGGTTCTTGAAATACGTGACCCCTCGAATTTCTGGGCTCACGTATTGAAATGTTTTCCAAATTAATAGGATCCTGGCCGGAGATCATCGTGTGGATTTGGGCTCCAGCCCAAGCCCAGGAAACCAGACCGTTTCAGGAAAAAAAAGCTGCCTTTCATTTTGGCCCTTTTCTGGGACGCTGTGCTGGCGGACAGGGTTTCCTAACATTACACCTCCGCCCCCTCGAGGCGAACGAAGCGAACGGAATCGCCGGAGGCCGCCCCCGCCGCGTTGCCAACTTAACACGCGGAGGAGAAGAAGGCAGAGGAGGAGAGGAAGCGGCGGAGCCCCAGTATAAGGAGCTCCACGAAGATGAAGCCGTAAGGTAGGCTGCTACTTCCCCTCACCTCCCTCGTCCCTCGTCCCTCCTCCCTCCTCCCTCCTCTCCAACTGGTTCCAGCCGTGCTAGGGTTTTATATCTCTCTCTCTAGACGTGTTTTTCTCTTCCTTGGTCTGTGGCCCTGCCCGTGAAGATGTCTTACCTGGTGTTGCAGACGGGGGAGCAACTGGGGGCTGAGGCCGTCCTGATTCACCGGGCGGGGCGATGGAGGAGATGGGCCAGGAGGTCTCTGCCGCTGAGGGCGGGGAGGTGGGTTCTCCGGCCGGCCCACCCTCGAACTCATCTCTCTGGCGACGGTAGCGCCGCCCTGAACGCCCGAGAAGGCGATCGCGTCGCAGGTTCCTGTCGTGCTTCTGCGAATTAGGGTTTCCCGCGCTGTCTGATGGAGTTCGGCTCACCCAGCTACGACGGTGAGATGCTGCAATTTGACGATCAGCGTCTGGGGGAAGAAGATGGTGGGGACGGAGAAGATGAGAAATCGGGGGAAGATGGAGAAGATGGGCCGCTGTACGAAGAAGAGGAGCAGCGCTACGTGGACTTGAAAGTCGAGGTCGTCGACCAGCCAACTGGGTCTGCGCTTGCTTTCCCCAATGTTGGATGGGGCGGCGGCGGCTGCGGCGGCTGCGGCGGCTGCGGCGGCTGCGGCGACGGCGAGGGATCGGCGGCGGGAGAAGGAGCCGGTGTAGAGGAGCAGCAGGAGCCTCAATTGGGCATGGAGTTCGACTCACTCGAGTCGGCCAGTGCTTTCTACTTCAACTACGCGCAGAGCCTGGGCTTCCGTGTTCGTGCCAGCAGATTCAGAACCTCCAGACGAGATGAATCCATCATCATGCGGCGATTTGTATGCTACAAAGAGGGGTTCTACCTGAAGAGGGAAAAGAAGATGGCCGATTCCAAGGAGAGGCGGAAGAGGGGCTCCATTAGAGAGGGCTGCCAAGCCATGTTCGAGGTCGTGAGGAAGGGCCCCGACAGATGGGTCGCCGCCAAGCTCTTCAAGGACCACTCTCACGCCTTCACCGGCGCCGCCGTCAGGGAGCTCAAGCCCAGGAAGAAGAAGGTGGAGCCGGTGGATTTCCCGGTCGATGCCGTGACCCAGCTTGGAAGAGGATCTTGCGACGACGATCCCAAGCGGCAGGATTACTGGGGCGGAGGAGGGGAGGCCTTCAATCTCTTGGAGTATCTCAAGAGGATGCAGGCCAAGAACCCTGGTTTCTTCTACTCCCTGCAGGTGGACGAGCAGAGTAATCTGGTGACCAACGTCTTCTGGGCAGACGCAAGGGCGCGGGCGGCCTACGGCTACTTCGGAGATGCCGTCGCCTTCGATACGACCTACAGGAAGAGCAAGCAGATGATGCCGTTCATCTCTTTCACAGGGGTGAATCATCACCTTCAACCTCTGATCTTCGGCTGCGGGATAATCTTCGAGGAGAGTGAGCCCTCCTTCTCTTGGCTGCTCGAAACCTTCTCAGTGGCCATGCGCGGGCGAGCTCCCCTCTCACTGGTCACTGAGCCGGACGAGAATCTGAGAGCGGCGGTGTTGCGGGTCTTCCCCACCACGCGGCATCGGTTCTGCAAGCGGCGGATCCTGCACAGGGCGAAGGAGGAGCTCCCGCAGCTGTGCTCGACGCCGGCGACCTGGCGGGCTTTCAAGGCCGAGGTGAGGCGCTGCATCGACGAATCTGAGACGGTGGAAGATTTTGAATCCTGCTGGGGATCGATCCTCGGCAGGTATAATCTGGGCGGCAGCTCGTGGATCCAGTCGCTGTATGAGCTCCGCGAGCATTGGGCCGCTGCGTTCTTGAAGGACGCCTTCTTCGCGGAGATGTCTCCTGCTCAGAGATCCGAAACCATGCACAAGTTCTTCCTCAGGAACTTCGAGACCAGAGCCTCCATCCGGGACTTCCTTTGCAAATTTGATCAAGCCATGGCGGGGCAGTTCGAGAAGGAGGTGCAGTCCGACTACGCCAATCTCTGCTCGAGACCCGTGCTCAAGACCTCAATGGAGATGGAAAAACAGGCGGCCGAGATGTACACGAAGACCATTTTCGCCATCTTCCAGGAAGAGCTCCTCCAGTCCTCCAGCGCCCTCCCCGCCGCTAAATCGGATGACGGCGTGAACTGGAAGTACGATGTGGTTCACAGCAGTGAAGATCCGGACAAGGTATACAGAGTTGACTTATGTTATCCCGAGAAGAGGGCGAGCTGCAGCTGCCGCAAGTTTGACTTCTCCGGCATCCTCTGTAGGCACATCCTCTCTGTGTTCTCCAGCCTCCATATCTCGAAGCTCCCGGAAGATTACTTCTTGCGGCGGTGGACGCGGGCCGCCAAGAGCGGCCCGACATTGCTTGAATCTAACAGCGCCCATCTCCCCATCGATCGCCGGAAGGCTTTCAGCTGTCTGTGCCTGGAAATGTTCAAGTATGCCGAGGAGGGGGCAACATCTTCAGCAGCTTACACCGCGGCGAAGGATGCGCTGCGGAATGCTTTTGCTGAAGTTGTTGCTGCAAAAAAGGGTTTCACTGGTTGAGGCGAATCAATCTTTTCAAACATTGCTTGATCTTGCTTACACACTTTGTTCATTGGATCGATCATCCTCCTTTCATATGCTTCAAAGAGAAAGTTTGTGCTTCTTCTGTTCAGGGTTTTGTTGGATCGATTGTGGATTTTTCGTGGGTTTTTGATGATGTTGGCTGCAATCAGGGGGGATCACTTCTCCTAATCCCATCCCCACTTTGTAACTTTCATGCTAAGCTGGATGGGGATTTTCTCAGCTGGATGGGGTTTTGGGGCCATAAATCCATCAAATGTACGATGATTTCTGCAAATATGTCATCACAAAGAAGACTTGATTCAACTTTGGTTCAAAACATAACATATCATCACAAAGGATTAAAGCACTTGGTTTTCAAATGTTCACTAACAAAAGGATTAAGAGCGGCGCATAATTCAGATCTGCTTTCCAGATTTTTCTTTACAGGCAGCAGAATTATGATTTAAAATCGACAAGAAACCAAAGACGAACAATTCAAAAGATGGGAGCTGGTGGCATCCTTCTTGGCTATCTAATTCTTCTTGATACAGATCCTAGGAGATATTCCCCGCATGTCCTAGCCAAAGAAGAGAGAAAAAAAAAACATGGTCATTATCATACCATTCGTCGTTAATAATTATCGCAATTGAAGAAATACGGTCATTACCAAGTCAGCAAGGTCAACGAATATTGTTCTTGCGGGCCATCTCTCGAGCCATTTCACGGAGTTCTTCTGGAGGAGGGGGCCGAGGACCCTCGGGAGGATAGACTACATAAGATCGCTGCATTATGGAGAGTGAGGAAGAGAACATGAGATCACAAAGACAGATTAACAAATTGATATGATAACACAACGTAATAAGATATAATTTAATCTACCCAGGAGAATCTCAATCGCACTATTACACATCATTGCAGGCTCATAATTATGGCTGAACCTGGCGAGGGACATTACCCAGGATGAGGAAATCCAGATTAAAGAGCTCCATAAACCACTGTTTTTGGCCCCAGAAACTCTCTTGAAGTCAATCCCCCATTGTAGAACAGAAGGTGTTGAAAAAGTCTCTCTTAAGCAATGATCATCAACCCACCAGCGAATTACAAGAGAAAGAGATTCCAAACAACAGTACCCCGAAATATAAAGACATGAGATGATGAAGGCTGAGGCGGAAAATCACAACTTCATTCGCTTTAACAGCCCAGAGTGTCATCATGATGACTTGTGCAAGTCAACACAATTTCTTGATGTCTTGATTTCTAACTGCAAAGATTCACAGGATGCCTCCGAGCACGACAATTTGTCATTTTTTAATGCACATACAGAAGATTTTCTCAAAAATTAAAGCGATTTGAGGAAGTACGTTATCAGCTATCTTGCCCCAAACTATCTAATCTAGTTGAATCTTGTAACTTCTAGGTTCGGCCATTGCAGAGAGCTCATGCTGAATTGTATGAATCCGTCCAGATTGAAAGATGCAAAGAAAGGACACAGACATGACCGAATTAAACCAACCTAAAATTTTGGGTGAGAAAGAATCCCTAATTTTAAGAGTAAGAATCAGGTCATATTGAATCTCTTCCACGGTAATATGATATGACTGGGTCTCCCAGTTTCCTTTCTCCCGCCTGATCTTCGCGTTTTCTTCCACTATGGCCAGGAAAGAGAACGGGATACTTCTGAAATCACCCTAATTAGAAATAGCTATCTATCTAGATCCTCTGTCTTCTCTCCGATAAACCTATTCCCCCTCCTCCCCAATCAGCAACGGTAGATAAATAGAGCATACACGAGGAAACAATTTACCAAAAATAGGCGTAAGAGACTAGATAAAGAAAAAAATGGAGCTATCCTTCTCCTATCATAATCGCTCGTTGCCGACAATCACCACATAACGTAGGGTAGAAGACAGGCGACAATCGGACGGGCGATAAATATAGGGAAAATGAGAGTGGGATCAATGAAAGTCTGCAGGATTTGGTTATTTGGTTGGGAACCTCGCGCGGGCACGAAGAACATGGAGAGAACGAGTCCCACCGAGGAGAAATCGCAAAAACTGGCTCTTAAGGTTCAGGAGCAAAGGGGAAAAGCTTACGTATCCCATCAGCTTCTGAAGGGTTTTGGAGTTGGTGGCTACGGCGTAGGTCAGGCCGATCGGCACAGCGACGTAGATGGCGAACTTCGCAATCTCCAGTATCCCCTTCGAGGTTCCAACCGCCGACATCTCCCCCTCTCTCTCTCTCTCTCTCTCTCTCTGTATCTTCTTTCTCTCTCTCGTCTTCCTCCTTCCGGTGGCCCCTTCACCTCCTCTGCACGTACCAAGCATTGAAGGGTCCCACTTGGGCAAACTAGATCCGACCCAATAGCTGGTGATCCGAGAATGATGAGATCCAACTCTCGGCGTTGACCGTCTATCATTCGAATGGATGACGTGGGGCAATATTCGACGTGGGGTCGCTGGCTCGTCTAAACAGCACGTGACAAGGATGTCACGTGTCGGGGAATATTTTATTTTATTATATGTAAGGTAAATATATCGGAGGGTAAAGTGGGAAAGTTCATAAAACCCTCTGTTCCTCCCTCCTCCCCACGCCCCGGCCGTCGACTGTTTGTTCTCCCCCTCTCCTCTCTGTTCTTTGTCTCTCACTTTCTCTCTCTATATCTCTCTCTCTTTCTCTGTCTTTCTTCGTTCTGACTGGCCCTTTGCCCGGAGGATTGGGCAGCCCTTCCCCGCGCAACCGAGAGGAACCCTAATTTGAGCTGTCTCGAAACCCTAGCTTCCCCGCTTCTTGCCGGCGCGTAATTGCTTGGTCTCCCGCAAGGTCACGGCGTTGAATCAGGTCTTTCCGTCGCTGTTTGAACTCTGGGGAGCTGTGGAGTTGTCGGTTCCGTGGTCGCTGAATCTGTGCGCCGGGGGAAATGGAAGGGGAAGGGGCTTCGGGGCTGTACAACCCGCGGTCAGCAGAGGAGGTGTTCAAGGATTTCAGGGGCAGGCGTGCTGGGTTGATCAAGGCTCTCACCACTGGTCCTCTCTCTCTCTCTCTCACACACACACACACCCACACACACACACACTCCTTCTCCGACTTCCCGCTCTCTAGCTCGGATTTTCTATTCATTCGTCATATCGTGCTCGGTGTCGAACGTCGTGCGTTTTTCTGACATCTGATTGTGCCTTTCTTCTCCTTCCGTTGCAGATGTGGACAAGTTTTACCACCAATGTGATCCCGGTGAGTTACTCCCTCCTTTTTTCCCTTCTCTGGAGGGGCTTCGGGTATTAAACTCCGTAGTTTGTTTCGTACGAATTGTTATGGGAGAGGTTTCTTAAGTAGTGTGGAGGATTGAAAGATGTCTGACTTCTAGATTCCTCATTTCTTTATTGTCATTCCTTTTTTTTCGGTACTGCAACCTATGTGCGGTTTCCCTTTCGAAAGCTATAATTCTTTTCACTCATGGTTGGGGTTATTCGATGTTTTCTCTTGATTTTAGTTTTTCTAAATGCCGTATTCCTAGGTCGGCGTTCCATTATGGAGTTTATTGATTTTCTTTCGATGCATGTTTTTGGATAAAAAGTAACCTCAAAAAAGCTTTCATGAAATTATGGGAATTCTTGGTGAAATACTGAAATTTACCTGCATTTTTTAAAATTTCTCATGATGTTGTCCTAGTTACCTGTGGAGTTTAATTTTTTTTATGTGATAAAAATAGTAGCAATCTTGAAGTGTCACTTATTTATTTGTTATTTTGACTTGTTTCTAATTTATCGACATGTTGCTGGATGGTTTTGTATTATGGATTTGTTCCGAAGGTAACTTATTGCTGAACTTTATTATCATATGTTGATAGGTATTTTTTTAATTATTATTACTATTATTCCAATCTGTTCTACATTTTCTGCTTGGTGGATATCATCATTTTTTCTCGGGGAAGCATCTCTGGTGGTTTGTGGGTATCTTTGGAAGAAATTTGCTTCGTATTCTGATTCGCCTTGTTGTTCATACAGAGAAAGAGAATTTGTGTCTTTATGGGCTGCCAAATGAAACCTGGGAAGTCACTTTGCCTGCAGAAGAGGTGCCTCCAGAACTTCCTGAGCCAGCCTTGGGAATCAATTTTGCTAGAGATGGCATGGATGAAAAGGACTGGTTGGCCCTGGTTGCAGTTCACAGTGATGCATGGTTGCTTGCCGTTGCGTTCTATTTTGGTGCTCGATTTGGGTTTGATAAGGAAGCAAGGTAACCATATCTCGGTGGTCTTGATCAATTAAGTGCTCTGATTCCTCTTTGTTCCAGTATTCCTCTTTATTTGTGCCATTTTTTCGTCATTTGTTTCTCAGCAGAGACTATTAGAAGTAATAAGTGTGAAATTCTTCTCCTTGGTTACTTATGGATTAGCTCTATACTATTATTTTTTCTAACTTATTGACTACCTAGAAGAAGTATTCTTTTCCCCTGCTAAATATAGACATCTTATTTTTTTGGTCTCCATTTGTGTTTCTTTTTTACTTTTCCCACTATGTTGCTATTTTGATGAATTTGCTAATCACTGATACCTCTGACTGGGTTTTTTGTTTCCACATCTCCTGCTTTCATTTCTTTCGTTTGTGAAGCTACTCTTTTACTCATCCATAAAACGTGCATTCCATAACATTCTGAAATATGATTGTATCTGCAGTTATGTTCAAACTTTTCAGATTCATGATACCATTCATATTTCAGATTATAAAATATCACTGAATAATGTATCTGGTTTGGCAGCATCAACCTGAGTCTGTTTGCTTATCTTGTCATGTGATGGCATGGTTCTTCCATAGAGCAGTGCACCCTAAAGTTAAAGTTTTTTTCTTTTGATATGCATCAGATATGTACATCATTTCCCTAATTATTAACGAATGATTTCTTGTATGCACAACATATTGTACGTGCCGTATCATCAAAGACATTGAGACCCATGTAATTTTAGGAATTTCATAGTTATTTTGCCTTGATAGTCTATTATCAATCTTTTTTTGTTACCTTGATGACATATTTAATCATCCACTGTGATGATGGGTCTTGAAATCCGGCCTCAATTCTCCACACGTTTTGAGACAGAATCCCCAAGCTCTATCTTCTCAAAAGTCAGAACCTGTTTTTGGCTTCACTGTGAAGAATAAAGGTTCCTCACCACCGTAAATTTCAATGAAAGCAATGGCCAGATACCGACGTATGTTACAATTGGGCCTCACTGTCTTCAATCCTTAAACCATCTGCTTCATTGACTGGCTCATCTGCCGATTATTGGGTCAATGAACTAGTCATAAGAAATATATTATCATTTTCTCTCAACTTCAGACATCCTCTTGATGGAAAATTGTCCTGTAACTTGCCTTATTTAACTAGTTTAGTGAAAAATCTTCAAGGATGTGATGTAGTTAACTATACACACCTGTGACCTATTTGACCCAAATGTTGTACTTCACTGTCAAGGCCTCTATCTTGCTTTCAAAACTGAACATATTAGCTGCTCTATGGTTTCACCCGTAAAGGTGCATTGTGTTTCACATTCTTGCTGACGTTTCCTATAATCTGGAAGTAAAGCTGCATTGCGCATAATAATAATTATTTGAAGTTTAAGAAAAGGTGCATGGTGGTTGCAAGTTGATGCTCTCATTTTATTTTTTTTGGTTGGTGGTCGAAGCTATTAGTGCGGTGATGGAATCGACATTGGAGACTGGTGTGCTTACTGTTTTGTATATTTTTTGTGTGGGAGCTCGCTCTAGGATAGTACTGTTTACTGGAGGGTGGGATCATACCATTTATTTTCACTGAAACAATATCTATACGTGATTGAGTACCTTTACCAATATGCTTGTGCTATAGAATCTAAAATGATAGAATTATGTAGTTCTTGACTTGGAGCAACATCGCAGGAGGAGGCTCTTCCAGATGATCAACAACCTGCCCACGGTATTCGAAATTGTGACAGGAGCCGCCAAGAAGCAGACGGAGGGGAAGACCCCAAGCACCAGCAGCAAGTCCAACAAATCCAGCTCTAAGACGGTGAATCAAAACCCCCATCATCCCCCTGTCAATCCGGTTCCTCCTCTGATCTCTCATGGCTGCCGTCATACGACAGAAGCCCTGATACCCACCCATCTGCACCTTTTGCTTTCTCCTCCCTCTTCAGCCGGGTAAGCAGCCTGGGGCGCAGGCCAAGGTGTCGAAGATGCCGCCGCTGAAGGGAGGGGACAGCGGAGACGAGGACCTGGGGGAAGAGGACGAAGAAGAGCACGGGAATACTCTTTGCGGCGCCTGCGGGAGCAACTACGCGAACGACGAGTTCTGGATTTGCTGCGACATCTGCGAGAGATGGTTCCATGGGAAGTGCGTCAAGATCACCCCCGCGAGGGCCGAGCACATCAAGCAGTACAAGTGCCCCGCCTGCAGCAACAAAAGAAGCAGAGTCGCTTGAGATTTTTTCTAGAACAAGTTCCCGGGAACCTGATAGGCCGATCGACTGGGAGTTTCAGTGTCTTGGGTTCCCTCCGTTGACGCCGCAGTCTACATTTTTTGTAGGTCAACGCCACTCTCTGTCATGGGTCATGGGTTTTTCTCTTCTTCTTCTTTTTTTTTTTCCTGTTTTGGCATCGGATTGCTGGTACTCAGTGTTGAAAGATAGTTAGCTCTTGGTGTCTCTGGTGTCATTAGATTTAAGGGAGAAAAGGTGGGAGCTTTATCTATGGGGTTACCCCCGTTGACGTTGTGGCCGTGTGTGAATGGGCAGTGAAGAGGAAGGCGCTAGTTAAAAAGGGTATCCGAAACAGTGGAACGCTTGCGGAAACCCTCTCCTTTCCCTTCCCTCACTTCGCCGTAGGCTCTGCTCCTTTGCTTTTTGCTCTTATCGCACGCAGCTCGTTGATGGGATGAGTATGGCCCGAGCCCTCTTCAAGTGGGTACCTCCGGCGTTGACCGGCCCTCTTAGTTTCCAGATAAGGAAGCCCACGGCAGTTCGTAGATGCGGCCCGGCGACCATCAAGGCGTTCTCGAGCGGCGGCGGCGGCGGTAGGAACTATCTGCAGCTGACGGACGAGGAACTGATGGGGCAGTGCGAACTGGATATGTTTAAGTCTTCAGGTCCAGGAGGGCAGCATCGCAACAAGAGGGAGAGCGCCGTCCGCCTCAAGCACCTTCCCACCGGAATCATCGCTCAGGTGCGGCGTCGCCGTGTCTGGTACCAGGCGTATTTCCGGATCTTTCTCCCGCATCCACGATACATTGAGATGTTGGTGCGAAGTCAACTGCGTCCGAGTACCGACCAGTTTCTCATCACTCGGTGCACAATTATGCGCGTCGTTGTGGAGATGCCCATGAGCCCTTGTACCTGTTTACTTCTATTCTTCCTGCGCGTTTGGTGATTTTCTCTCTCGCTTCCATTGCTCTTTCTTTTTTCAGGCTGTCGAAGATCGCTCGCAGCACAAGAATCGAGCATCGGCCTTAGCGCGTCTGCGGACGATGTTAGCACTGAAAGGTTCGATCTCTAGGTTCCTCTCTCTTCCCTCGTTATGAAAAAAATGGCCGAAACAGCTCATGTTTATTGATCTTGGAATGGAGAATTAGAAAAAACCATCAATTTATGTTTTTTTTTTGGTTTTTGTGTGGACAAATGTATCCTCTATCAGAAATCTGGTCTTCTTTTATCTTCTCCATCTGCAATGGCAGATGTTGTGAACTAGAACTTTTACAGAAAGAAGAAAATATAAATCTGTAGTATCCGAGACTCCTTTGGGTATTTTCATGGTGATCCCTTTGGAGCTTCGTTTTAATATGCGTGATAAATGTGGAATCATCCGAGTTTCCTAATTTGTGAATTTTCGTGATGATTCTGCAAGAACTTTCATTTTATCCCGGGTTTAATGTCGTATCATGGATTATTTTATTTATTCATCATCTTATATTATGGGTTTGCGCGATCTCATGAACACATGTAGATTTGATTCCTAAAATGGAATAACTCTCACTGCTCACTAAAAGCTTCCTTGATTGGACTAGTCAGGAGGGCAATCGACTTGGATCAATATGATCCTCCCCCGGAGCTGATCCAGATCCTGCCTGCGAAATCTACGATTAGAGACTCGGATTCCGGCCCTCGAATTGGTCCTAACAACCCAAAGTTTGCCCTGGTACTCTCAATCAAGCCGCTCTTTTAATTTTGAAGAATTATGAAGTTTTCCGTGATCCAATGACCCCGTGTTCTTGTTATCATAAGCAGGGAGTGCAGGCTTTACTCGACCTGATTTATGCCGTTGAAGGCTCTGTGTCAGATGCAGCAAAAAAACTAGGGTTTGTCATCAGTAACCCACCCCCCTCCTTCCCTCTCTGCTAGAGCATTTTCTTTTAAAAGAATTTCATGTTGTACCATGGTTAAATTGCTATAAAAAACTTATATATTTCCAAGAGGGAAGCTTTTATGCATGCTGCATGATTTTTCAAAACTATCCGCATGAACACAGACTGCTCTCCTTTCTTAAAACCCTGCCCACTCAAATGATTTGGATCTCTCAAGAATAATCTTTGGTGGGTCTTCAGCTACTTCTTTAAAGTGGGTTTTCGTATAATTGAGATGAATAACTTCATTTGGCTATATTCTGGAAAAAAATCACTGTCAGATCACTGAAGAACCATTAGGAGTAATCATCAATGTTGATCCATCCTTTACTGGGTTTGTAGTTGATCTTCCGTGAGATCTCCTCCATGCTGCAAAATCCTTGATTTTTCATAAGATCCATAGAATGATGACGACCTGTTCTTATCTCAGCTCAAAAGCAATCTCCTTTTCCAGCGGATCCCTTTGCAGAATTTTCCTCGATTATGGGAGTTTCTTCCCCAAGTTTGATCTTAATTTTTATATTCTGAATGGCAGTCTGAGCACGGGCGCTTTGTCCCGGTTGGTTCTGTCGGATGACTCTCTTCGAATGGCCGTGAACGAGCTGAGAGCTGCCAAGGTAAACAGCTGAGAGGACTCGGAGGTTTCTCAGAGTGTTGCCAAGTGACGAGCCTTTCTCTTTGAATTGGCGCAGGGAATGAGACCTCTCAGGTGATCAGTCTCCCGCAGAAGATCGAACTCCTCGACGCTGCTGTGGCGGCTGCATTCTGCTGTCGATTTGTAGGATTTTATCCGTTCTGCCCGAGTTCTACCTCCCCACGGATCGGCCAGTTGCTGGGTCAATCGGCACGAGGGATGGTGGGACCACGAGACTTTGCCTGCCGGCCGGGGAGCTCTGCCGACTGTGTACTTGTCCTCTCCCCCAGTCATTCCTCCCATCCCGTGTTCCCTGTTCTCTCACGAGAAGACCCTTCCCCCCAGTGATACAGTAGAGAGAGAGAGAGAGAGAGAGAGAGATGGACGGATCAGTGGGGCAAGTTGTCGCATTTACCAACTGGAGAGTCTGCCCCTTGGTGCAGGGAAATCCAGAGCGGCGATGGGGCTCTTACGGTGGCGTGGGTCTGCCCGCCTGTGAGATTCCCCTTTCGCCGTCACTAGCTTCTGTTAGCGAGAGAGAGAGAGAGAGAGAGAGAGAGGTCCGGCGTGATATTGTTCATGATAATTCATTCCTTCGAACAGAACAATTGGGACACCGGAAATATCTATCAACTAGTCGTCGAAGGCCACCCATTCCGTGCTGATCTTAGTCTCCAGCCGCCGCAAGAGGAGCGGCGACGGGGCAGGCGGCGCCGCGGGGCGACGCGAGCCGCCACCGAGCGAGGCGGCGGGGAGGTCGCCGGCTGTAATGATCCTGACGTACGGGTAGTCCAGGTTCTTCCCGGCTATGATCCTCTTACATTCGTCGTAGAAATCTCTGAGCTTCGGTGTCTGGGTGGCCGCCTTCTCCGCGATTCTCCGAGCTGAGGCCCCTCTCAACCCGCCGCCGCCGGAATCCGAGGAGATCCTCACGGCGTGGAAGTCCTCGCTGAAGCTCGCGTAGACCCGGAAACTCTCCCGCAGGACGATGCTCAGAGCCGACCGCGTCAGCCGGTCCGGCCCGGTGACGTAGTTACTCGCCGGCGCGCAGTCGACGACCCTATCGAGCAGCGTCTGGCACCGGGAGAGCCGCCGGAGGAGGAGGACGGCCTCGCCGGAGGACGGGGGTACCGCCGGCCGGACAGGCTCCAAACTGCCCGCGGCGTTGATCCCCCACCCCATCCTCTCCTCCAAGAAGGCGGCGTAGCGGCGGAGGAAGGACGCCGCCGGGAACCACCGCAGGTCCAGCGGGAGGTCCCCCGCCGCGTGGGCGTCGCAGAGGCCTAACTCGAAGCCGCGGTCGCCGCCACGGAGGAGGCGGTGGAGGAGAACCAGCGTCTTCAGGGCCACCACGCCGTCCCGGGTCGCCTCTAGCCGGCGGGAGATCTTGCCGGCGAGGACGACAACGGCGCCGGGGGAGTTGCCAGCGAGGAAGAGGAGCTCGTGGACGTACTTGTCGTCGACGGGGGCGTCGGCCCGGTCGGTGCAGCGGAGGATCGCCACGTCCATGTCGCCGGCGACGCCGTTCTGCCCGGAGATGACGGCTTTGCCGATCGCCGCCTGGTCTTTGAGCGACCCCAGTGCCAGTCGCAGCTTCCCCTTCACGTCCATCGCTGCCGTCCCCGAGCTTCTTCTTACTCCTCCCTCTACGTGAACAACAAACGTCAGAGCCCATGTATATTATATGTACCTGCAGGTCCCCATTGACTTGAGATAATTTATCTTATTTCGTCCGGGTAGGACGTACAGTCCGAGAGTTGACTTCGGAGCAGGATCAGAGAGGTAGGCATGGCAGGAGGACTCTCTGCTCTCTACGGGTATCGTTTTTCTCTCTCTAGAAATACTTTTGTAGATTCCCCGACAAAGTCAAATGTCGAAGAGCGGCGAGGGGAATCCCGTGTCTGACTCCGCCAGCATAGGGTTCCTCCAGCTCCGGTCCTCGACGCTCATTGGGGACCTCTCATTGCCGTTGACTTCCCACTGTTCCTGGTATCCCCGTGACGTTGTAGACCTCGAGGGTTCGGCGGCGGGAACGGATGCGGAAGAGCGTAACCCTTTACGCTCTCTCTCTGCGCACGTTGACTTCTGTTACGGTTGACAAACGTCATCCGCCTAACTTTAACTGGGTTTTACTTTTTTTTGCTTAATTTTAACTCCTGGAAATTAAGAAAAGGAGCCCCACTGAGATCCCGATTCCCCGAGCGGTAAGATTTCCTGGCCCGCGGATTCCCGAGAACCTGAGCGGTCAGATTTCCATTTCCAAAATCCTTGCAGGGCGACGGCGCGTTGGGAGACGATATCCGATTCGAAAGGTGCGATCTTGACGGAGACCGACCGCACTTTTATTGAATCAAGAAGGAAATTAAGCATAAGATCAAACGAGCCGATATCAGAGACGCCCACCTCGAAAGGGACGGTGGGCACTACGATTGAAAGAGCTTCCTCAGATCATCATCAGCTGGCCTTGGACTGAGAAGACATTAGCTCCAGAGATCCGGCGGCGGTGGGCAGCGCAGGAATGGCCCCCTTCTGAGTGGTGCAGATCGCCCCGCAGGCGTTGGCGAAGACGAGGGCCTCCTTCAGCCTCTCCTCCTCCTGGGTTCCACATGTTCAGAGAATCAGAGAGCGAATTCGACCAGGTGGGAAGAAAATGGAGTTTTAGGGTTTGGAGAAAACCCACGTAGAAGAGATTCTCGTCCTTGGCGACGGAGACCAGCAGGGCCCCCACGAAGGCGTCCCCGGCCCCCGTGGTGTCCACGGCCTTGACGGCGAACCCGGGGACCCTCCCCTTGAAATCCTGCAGAGAAGATGGAAGGAAGGTGAAGGAGATGAAGAGGATCGAGAGGGAGAACTGCGAGGGCGGCGAACCTTGGTGAAGTATCTGCAACCCTTCTCCCCGTCGGTGACGACCAGGAGCTTGAGCCCGTCGTGCCAGAGGGACAGGACGACCTCCTCGCTCTGTGGGTCTCCTTGGGTGAGGAAGGCCACCTCGTCGTCGCTGACCTTGATGAGATCAGCCTCCTTCCAGATGCTCTGGATGCCCTCGCGGGCGGCTTCGGCGGAGGGCCAGAGGGGAAGCCTCACGTTGGGGTCGTAGGAGAGGAGGATGCCGGCTTTCTTGGCGGCGCTCATGGCGGCCAGGTGGGCCGAGCGGCATGGCTCAGAGATGAGGCTGATGGAGCCGTAATGGAAGATCTTCGCGCTGGTTATGAGATTGACGTTGAGCTCGGATTCCTCCAGCAGCATATCGGCGCTAGGGTTGCGGTAGAACATGAATTCGCGCTCGCCGTCGCGTTTCAGGGTGACGAACGCCAGCGCGGTGCGTGCGTGGGCGTCGAAGAGCACGCCGCCGTCCTCCACGCCATTCTTCCTCAAGATGTCCACCAGCATGTGCCCGAACTCGTCGTCGCCGAACTGTTCAGGAAGAGTTGACAAAGCAGCAGTCAACCCTCAAATCCATACCCAATACTCTCCGTGATCTCAAGACCAGAACAGGAGATACTATGGGTCAACGTCTCGTGCCCTCCAATCGGGTGGGTACGAGAGTTTCTGGTCTTTTCGTGAGAGGGATTTTAATGTCTCCGACAATCAATGTAGCAGGAGGTTGGCAGTGCCAGGTTTCATTCAGTTCCTTTGGATTTAATGAGCATAGACAGGATAAGCCCAAACTCTCTCTCTCTCTCTCTCTCCAGGATGAACCCATGATTCGGATCAAGATTTTTACAGTCTAGGACTTTCAAATCTTCACGGGGAGTTATCTTGTGCTGAATTATAGAGAAAATAAAATAAATACGAGACAAAAGTTACAAAACAGAGGTCAAACTGTTCGGCCCGTGACGGATAGAAGTGTCATCTTTTTCCTTTTTTTAATTGTCAGAAATCGAGAAAAGGTAGGCCGGGGGTATTCATCAGAGTGGAGGATTACTGGGCTGAATCGAGTAAGACCTTTGTCTTTTGAAAAAAAATAAAATCTACGCTTAGATCGGTTTTTTAAACTCATATTCGAACTCGATTTCCGCTGACAGGAAAAGTGAATGAAAGGATAAACCGAGGGAAAGATTTACCGGAGGCCCGGGAGAGTGGATCACTACGGAATCAACACACGATATGAGCTCTACTACGATACTGACTGTGCAAAGTCTGCAGCACTCTCCGTGATCAGATCCGATATCGATGGTGAGGAGTTCGGGAAAAAGGTGAGAGGGAATAACGGAAGAGGAAAAAGTTAACGTGAACTAATGCCAGCATGGAGGTCGATCGGTCGGAAAGTAGAAGACACGGCAGCGGGCGTTAACTCCGGCCCTGCGGTTGGCGCCGGTCGTACTCCGAGGATCTGTAGTCCCACAGCCGAAGGAAGACCAAAAAGGCGACGATCGGTTGGAGCTCTGATTCGAGTCATGGAGATCGCATACCTTTCCGACGAAGGCGGATCTGCCGCCGAGTCTGGCGATGGCGACGGCAACGTTGGCGGGGGCGCCGCCGGGGGCCTTCAGGAAGCCGGTGGACTCCGCGAGGGAGACGCCGGCCTCGTCCGGCACAAAATCGATCAGCATCTCCCCGAAGCTGACCACCAGCGGCCTATCACCCTCAGATATCCCATTCCCATCGACGATCGCCATCCCTCTTTATCTCTCTCTCTGTACCTCTCGCCGGCGGCGGATATCCTCGAGGTGGCGATGCTCTGATCCCCTCCGGGGCGGCGGGTTTATATAGAGCGGGGAAGGAGATGGGATTTTAAAATCTTAACCAAATGGTCCGGATAATCATCATTCTGTGCGGATTTGTCGATAACGTTGTTTGACTTGGCCCATTACTCCTTTTCCCGCCTTTTTCGGCCACCTGTTGGTAACAGATCCAAACAGATTCAAGGGACAGCGCGTGGTTGGCCCATTAAAGACAGCGTTTATTGGGCCATATCTTCATATGGGCCGAAAGTTGGCTAGTGTACTCCAGTCAACCTACGGTTGGGATTGGCTGGTGCGCGTCACCGCTCCACTGATCGACGACTGCGATGGGAGGAGAGACGTAATGACAGCTTAGAGCCGCGATGAAGCACCGACGTCCACGTGGACGGGACTGGAAGCCCCTCGACCTTTCTACGAACGTCTCTCTGGAACTTTCTCCGCGCCATCTCGTTTCCCATAAATACTGCTCTCCTTCAACCTTCACCTTCCATCGAAGGAAAGAGAAGGAAAGTGAAGTGAAGGCTAGCGCCAGTCACTCCCTCTGTTGTTTCCGAACGATAAACACCATGAAGGGCGCTCTCCTGCTGTGCGTTCTGGTGCTGGGAATGGTGGCCCTGCCGGCGAAGGGCTTCATGCCGTACTCGAGGAGCAGCCTCTGGGACTTGATGCTTCCCTCCGACGACCCCTTCAGGATCCTGGAGCAGACCCCGTTCCCCGTCCCCAAGGGCGTGGAGAACCTCGCCCTCGCCCGAGCGGACTGGAAGGAGACCGCCAAGGCGCACGTCATCTCGGTCGACGTTCCAGGTAGATGGTCAATGGATGCTTCCCACTGGATCGGGGACTCCCTTCCGCGTGGTGCTCACCTCCGTTTTGATCTCGGTTCCTGCAGGGGTGAACAAGGGGGACATCAAGATCGAGATCGAGGAGAACAGAGTGCTGCGGATCAGCGGCGAGCGGAAGGTCGACGAAGGGAAAGAGGAGGGGGAGAAGTGGCATCGAGCGGAGAGGACTTCCGGCAAGTTCTGGAGGCTGTTCAGGCTTCCCGCCGGCGCCGACATGGACGGCATCAGGGCTCACCTGGAAGACGGCGTGCTGACGATCACGGTCCCCAAGCTGGCAGAGGAGAGGAAGCAAGCGAAGGTGGTGGAGATCGTCGACCACTCCAAGGGCGAGGATATCAAGGCCTCTAAGGCCGATCTGTGATCTGGGTTGTCTTTGATGCTCCCAACTCTCGATGCGTCTGTAAAGCTAGTTCTCTACGTTGATCCTAACTATGTCGAAAAGAGTTAAATATAAATAAAATAAATAATTTTACTGTGCGTTTAAAATCCCATCTAAGGGGGAGAGAAAATCCCTTCCGGGATAATCCGATGTTGACATAATTTTCACATATGTTTATCAATATATATATATATATAGAGAGAGAGATGCGAAACGGCCCGAATCGGTCAGTTGAGGCGAGCTACCGAGTCAGCTCGGGCTGGAACGCCTTAGATAGGCCCTCTCGCATCGTCGTAACGTCTATTTGTTTCTAGGTCGTCTATGGTAAACCCTCTTCGGTAGTAGGCACAGTCGCTGAGCTCTTCTCGTCTCCGGCTCGGGCGGTGGCGATCCCAGGAGGAGAGAGGTGCTGCCCCACTCGTGCGTTCAACGCAGCTGCTTGTTCTCTAGGGAGTTCCCCATGGCGGAACGACCGGATGAGGGTGTAGAGATGTTGGAAACCCCAAGCGGGGATGGCGATGGGGTTTCTTCAGGGGAGGACAAGAGTGGCCATAGCTCGTCCTCAGATTCTGAGCAAGATGAAGAGGCGGAGAACATACAGATTGATGCCTTGGAAAAGGCCGTTCAGGAGAACCCTGCGAACTACGAAGCTCACGTTCAGGTACGTCTCCATCATGCCAATACCTCGTCATTTGACACATCCAAGGCCGAAGCTCTTGTCTCATTTACATATGAGTGATTCATCCGTTTATTCATCAGTCTGCTACAAAGGTTGACGCCGGTTCTTCTGAATAGTGTATTTATCAAGCAATTCATGCGACGGGCGGTCAGACTGTTCGTCTGTTGCCTACTCCTATTTGTCCCGTCTCATCGGATGTCTTCGTTGACTTGCTATGCATAATATGAGGATAATGAGATGTTGCTGTGGAAACTGAATCCCATGATCCAAGGACTGCAAAGAGTAAAAATAAATCTACTCACGGATGTTACAATGGATGACGTCGTTAGGTCTATTTATTCTACATACTCTTACCATATTTTCAAGAGTAGAGAGGAAACATGTGCATGGTGGTACTGATAGTGGATAAGGGGAATTATTCATTATCTTGACTCATCTGCAGACGCTCGGCGACTTAGATCGAGAGGAAGTTGGGCATTCAGGAGTGACAGCGGACACAATTTTTGGTCATAGAGTGAGAGAGCTGATTGTGATCTTTGTTAGAAGGACTGCACTATTTGAGTTTGGAGGCTGGCCTAGAGAAGGTTCCTTGGCACGATGAGATCATAAATGTTAATGAATACATGTCAGGATTTGCTTTTAAAAGGAAAAAGCAAGAAGATAGTGGCTCCTCATGATTGATGTCCCAGTTTCTGAGCATTTATTTAAGATTGTTGCAGCCGTATATTCTAGAAACAATGCTAATTTTTTGAGGCCTATGGAAATTACGCATTTATGTTGGCTGACATTATTTTACCCGGGAATCGTGCAATTCAAAATTTTTCAGTGGTTAAACTGATGAATGATATTGTAATAGTCGTCACGTAACTGGATTTTAAGTGTTGTCAGGCATAGGTCGTTTCACTTCTACATCTGTTCGGTTCGGTTGGTTTCCTTGTTTTCTTCTGTCATCCTTCTCTTATTATATACAGCAGTATACATTTGTGCCACAGATTAGCTGACAAGAAAATTGGCGTTGTAAAATTTTATGAAGTACTACGTTTTTCGTTGTAAGGCATATTTAATTTATTCGTCAGGTAGGGCTCGTGTCACACTGGTTCTGTTCTTCCATTGATATTGGAAGAGGTGCATTCTCGGTATTATAAAATATTTTGTGGCTTTGTTTAATCCTTGTTGCTTTCTTTTTACCATTTGAATATAAGCTGTCTGATGAAAGATATGAATAAAAACACTTTAACTGCTAATAAATAATTAAAACGATGTATTACATTTCAAATAACATGATTCATGTTTCTCACAATCATTTTATTTTATTTCTTGTTGTGTCAGCAGCTTTTATAAAAAAAATCATTTTTCATAGGTTTATAAACTCATTTTTTGTATTTCCTTAGCTCCACATGTTTAAGTTTTGATTTAAGCTTATTAAATGACTTTTCCTGTTTGCGCAGTATATACAGTGCTTAAGGAAGTTCTGTAACACTGAGAAGCTCAGACAAGCAAGAAAATCAATGAGCGAATTGTTTCCCTTGAGTCCTAAAATGTGGATTGAGTGGGCGAACGATGAAATTACATTGCATTCCAGGTACACCACCAACTTAGGTTGCAGATATGGTAGTGTTTTCATTGTGTGATTTAGGGAGGCAGGGAGGCTGCGTTTTCGAGATTGAGATTTGACGCTCAGTTGTGCAAAATTCATATCTTATTTATTTATCCACAATAGAGTGATTTCAATCAATCAAGACCGTTTACTATTTTTTTCCCAGTGTTAAGTTGGAACAGGCTGCCAGTGAACGTAAAGATTTTACCAGGATGGTGATTTTATTTCCGTGTCAAATTGCAGATAGCCACAGTGTCCAAGTTGGATATCTTCTTTTTCAATGATAAAACAAATACTTGGACAAGCATGCGTAAAATTCATTTCTGTAAAAACTTCTTTAGAAGAAGCGTACAATCGGCGTCCAAGTGCTGCAGGAATTTCAAGGCCTTGCTAGGGAACAGTGTTATGCAGAAGAGAAAGACATTTGAACCCAGGCGAATGGGCAATACAAGAACTTGTCTCCCATTGGCAATGCAATGGTTTTGCTTGTCGCCTTATTCTCCATTTCTGTATCTTGTTTGAAATCAAGAAAAGTAGGTCCTTATGTTGTAAAACAGTGGATATTGGAAGACGTCATCCTAATTGGATGATTGACTAAAGTTTACATATGAAATGGCAAAACACTTTACCTCATCAATGAGCCAAAAATTAATGAATTCAATTAGTGAAAATAATCTTTCTGAAATCAAGAAATACATCTACTAATAAGATGTTAAATGTTATTCTGAAAGTCTTACCAACAGTTGGAGGTTGAGCAGTGCCTATGGTGGTGGGGGCTTTCTCTAGGGTGGTGTTTGGGGGAGGGGGGGGGGTGTTGTTTACCACTAAGGGGAGCTCTAGCTACTTCTTTTTTATGGGGTTGCGTGAATGCTCTGTGATGTATCCGTAAAAAGAAAATGGCAGTGTTATTTAGTATGACTCAACAGGCTTCAAACAGTGGTGTATGAGACCTATTTCTTGAGAGTTCTATGAGGCACACGAGTTTTTTTCTTGGATTTGTTGTATTTGTCATTTTGGCGTTTCCCTAAGCAATACACTCTAGATTTACCTGCCTTAGGAAAGCTGTCTTTGTCCAACTATGTCCATGTGTGAACCCCTTAATTCTGCATGTAAATATTATTACTTCATGTTACCAGTCTGTGCTATGACAAACCATGTTTTCTTAACTGGAAGTATCTATTTCAGTAATGGTGGACATTATTCTGGAAAAGATGCATTTGTTGGTTGTCCATAAATAGAGTCACTTTGTTACTTAAGATCTTTATTCTCTTTTATATTGCACTGCAGTATTGAAGCTGTTCCCGTTATTGAAGAGATTTATGAAAATGGAGTCCATGAGTATTTGGTAGGTTTATATCCTGATTCTGGACAAAGATTCCTGGCATGAGATTTCTTTTTTTTTAAATGAAGACTACTGATCGGTTTCTTTCCTCCTTCTCTAGTCAGTTCCTTTGTGGTTGGATTATCTTCGTTTCATTGAAGAACATGATCAGTCCGTAGCCCAGTGTGCCCCAGCTGGTGTTTCGAAGATGAGGAATTTATATGAGCGTGCCATTTCTGCTGCTGGGCTGCATGTCACTGAAGGCAGCAAGATCTGGGATGCATATCGAGAGTTTGAAGAGGCTATTTTGTTGACCATGGATGACAGTAACAGTGAGGTATACCAGGTTTTAAGCTACATCAGATTATGTGTAACCATAAATTTCTTTTTAATTAATTCTATTCACTCTTGCATTGTGTATGAGGAATAACTTTGACGGCAGTATCTTGGGGGTGGAAAATAGAAAAAGGTGGGTAGGTTCACATTGCATTCAGCTTACCATAAGTGTGCAAATGGAGTTTCCATACATTTGGCTTCTTCTCCAGATTTCTACAAATATTGAAAGTTAGGATTTTGATTTGAATGATCACATTGGGGAGACCCCAACTATGATTGGATGGCTTTCTTTGTGGACAACATGAAGACCTTTTGCAGCGAGTTTGTGGACGAGCATTGAACCATATGTCCCTTGGGTGTCTCTGTAGTGGAGATATTTAGCAAAAGCTTCTCAACAGTGTAGAAGATCTATAGACATTTGACTTTAATAATGGGTAATCCTAGTGATAGAGTCAGAGAGTGGGTCTGAATTCTTTATGGCGAGGTGGGTTAATCCTTTTTGATTTTGGGAGGGTGAGGTAATTTAACTTAGGATTCACCATCTCCGTGTAGGCTATATAATTTTGTGTGATAGGGTTGAGATGAGAGCAAGGGGAAGACTACAATCCTACATTTTCTTCAGTTGACGTTTAACCCTCTCCAAGCATAGAAAAGGTAGGAATAGTTGAACAAAAGCATGCTGAAATTTTCCACCTATGTTATATTTGTACTGTAATCACGTGAAGCTGTGATCTGAGTTGTTCTGTTGGGAATGCCCTAGAGGATGTAAATTTATTCAGCATTCCACACAAAAGCCAAATATTTGAATTTATGGCGATATATCAGTCAGTTCTTGTCTTGAAATGTTGCCGGAAATAACTATTTTGCCTAATGATATTTGATAGCGAAGTTAATATCAGCCCAGATTATTAGAAAAATGTTTTATTTGTTGTAAAGCTATGATAGAAGAAATGAAGAAGGATCTACAATTCTCCTAGAAATGAATGAAGAATTGGGGTTATGGAAGGAAACCTTGACTCTCGATATATTTAGTTTTTTGCTGTCACCCAAGTTTTCATTAAGAGGAAGATTGGCTCGAAAGGTTTGCATTGGGTGCAACCACTTTCGGCCAATTCCTTCGGTGGTCACTGGACTCTGGCTGACTCACGATTGTTGTGATAGTGCTTAAGATTTACTGCTTCACTGATTCTGGTGCAGAAGACTGCAACCATATAATTTTATAGGTCCTACTGTATTTCATATTTCTGTACTAGTAAAGATCTGAATAGTGTGCAAAAAAGTATTGAGATGGTGACCAAGGTTACATCTGTTTTGTAGGACAAGGCTAAACAGATAAATCGTGTCCGTTCTCTGTTCCAGCGCCAGTTATCAATCCCTCTTGCTGATTTGAATTCAACATTTCTTACTTACAAGCAATGGGAGATTGGACTAGGAAATGCTTGTGAAAACAGCTCCGATGAGTTGGATGTGATTCCGAAGAGTGTGGCATCTGCATATCAAAGGGCCTTGGACATGTACAATGCTCGTGTATCTTATGAAGATCAGCTTTCTGCTTCAAATTCTGCTGACTCTGATAGAATCCAGCATTTTATGGTATGGTACACGTCAGAAGGAACTATCCACATGCCATTCTCTTGCTCACAATTTTGTCTTAAGAATGCCTTTTTTCTTTTCGGGAGTTAGGTCTGTGTTATTAGCTGGTTTTTTCTTGTTTCAAGTTAATTAAGTGTTTATCATTCTTATTCGTGAAACGATATTTTTTTCATTAGTTATTTCTTGTTTTAGTTCAACTTCCAGGTTGATCTGCATTTTTTTTTCCTGTGTGTATTTCTGAGTCGATTATTTTATTTTTTATTTCAAACAATTAAGTTATAATCGCCTTGAAATATCTGTTTTTGGTGATGGATATATGGAAACTGATACGGATTACAATAATTTTTTGGTGCTTTGACATGCTAACCCTCTTTTCTAGATTCTCTTTGATTCCAATGGTTGTTATCCAATTGCTATCAGTTTATGCATGATTCGAAGGAACCAATGTGTAGGCATTTATATGTTTTGTTTTTTGGTTCCTATTCTTTCTTAAAGAAAGTAAGTTTCCTGTTTTCTGCAGTCATACATAAAGTTTGAGGATTCATCTGGGCATCCTGCTCGTGTTCAAACTCTTTACGAACGTGCTATCTCAGAGTTCCCTATTTCAAGTGATCTTTGGTTGGAATATACTAGTTACATGGATAAAACTTTGAAGGTACTTTTAAGATATATTAATGAACTTTTCGTGGTGGGTAATTGTGACAGAATATGCTTTTTCTCTTTTCAGATCCCTACTGTTTTGAAGGATGTTTATTCCAGAGCTACAAGGAACTGCAGTTGGATTGGCACTCTTTGGGTCCAGTACTTGCTTTCTTTGGAGCGTATTGCTGCTTCAGAAAAGGAGTTATCTGCGGTATGTTCCCATTTTTATTCCTTTCTTTGAGTGATCTTATTGGTGCTACGTATCACCTGATTTATTGTATATCATGATTTCCAAACTAAATCTTTAGGCTGGTACGTTCGTACTGGATTTTTTTTGAAAACTGTGTAGGATGTCTAAATAATGAAGCTTTGGGATGCATCTCATGTACCTCCAGCTTAGATGTGCTTTTTATTGGGATTTTCATATTTACCAATGAATATGTTCTTCTATACTTCGTATTCATGAAAATTGGGGCTTCAGTTTAAGAAATAAGAACTGTATATGATTTTCTAATCTTGGGATGTGATTTATTCCTCTTTATGCTGTCTCACTTTTCTCACAGAGTGAATTTTTGCTGTTTACCCTTTGGTTTGGGCTAGGGGCCGTTTGAATGCGTATTTTATTTTTTACTTATTATCCTTTGAGGGAATCAGCTTTATCTTTTGGTGAACATTTTTCTACTCTAAAGTGGAATATTAGGTAAGTTTATTTTTTAGGAGGGTGACTTAAATACGGTTATTTTGAGTTTCATTGATCATTGTCTCGTGAAATGGATATAATTGGTTTAAAATGGTTCGGTAAAGTTTAGGGTTACATATTTCTTGATTTACAATTGTGTTACCTGTGTAGGTTATACTATGCTGTAGAGTTTTTGATAGGTTTTCTATTTCTGTGCCTGATGGTCCATAAATGCATCATAATTAACTGTTTGCTTTGTACTTTTATCTTTGTTCTTGCGTTAGGTCTTTGAGCAGTCCTTGCAGTGTGCCTTTTCAAGCTTCAATGAGGTAAGTTACAGAGGATCCATTACATTTGTCTGTTTTATTTTCTCACACATCTATCTTTTCCTTGGACTATTTTGTCACTTACTGTTTGCCATTATAGTTTTTCCTGCCAACATGGTGATTACCTGTTGCCTAAAACAATTACAAGCAATAATGTGTATCTAAAGAGATAGGAAGTTGCTTGTATGAAATCCTTGTCATTACAGGTTGATCTGATAAAAATGAATTTGGGAAGCTTTTTGTTGTAAGTTGTTAGGCAGATGTAATCAAGGATGGCACCAGAAGCCAGCCAGAACACTTTGCATGCAAGTTCATAAGCTTTCTGAAATTTTAAACGGAATATAAGAAGTATTTAGAATATTAATGTATTGTGTTTAATTACGAAAGGTTTAAACCCCTGTAATTATCATCATTAAAAATAAATTCGATTTCTTTTTGTCAGAATCTGTGGAGCAATCCATTCGAAGTTTCTCTCTATTTTTTTTTGTTTGTGAATATTGTTGGTTTATTTCTATTGACAGTATTTTGCCCCTTTGGCACTTGCAGTATTTAGATTTATTTGTCACTCGTGTCGATAGTTTGAGACGAAGAATCTCCTCATGTGGGCTGAAAGATGATGGTCTGGACTACAGCTTAATAAGGGCCACATTTGAGGTAATTTGAACTTAATCTTCTCTGTGCATTCAATCAAGTATAACACGATTCTTATGAAAAAAGTACTGAAAATCTTAATCAAATGGCTTCATTAGTTTCTTATGAACTTGAGTGGCTTTGGAATAGTGCTAATCTTGCTTTTCCCTACAATGCCAAGCCAAAATTACACCATACTGTAATCTGTAAATTCTCTGAATACGTTTTCTACGTCAGAAAATGTTCTTGATAATTTCTTTTAGGTTTTTCATGACGCGTTTCTAAAATTTTTATCTGTGTTGTGGCGAACTGTAGCTCACACTCAAGGATGCAATCCTTGTCTGTACTCTAATAAATTGTATCGATTGTTAATGAAGAATTAATCCATTTAACTTCATTCTGCGAGGATTATAACAGATGATTTCTCTTGTATGGGCGGTAGTATATCAATTGATTGCTGTCATGTAAGCTGATCCAAATGAATGGTGTTTAGGCGGACACCCGAGCATTTGCTTTTTACCCAAAAATGATTTTTTAACCCTTTTACTACTTTTTCATTAGTATTGGACAAAGTTGTCATGCTGAATATCGCATGATTTCTTTAGTATTTTAGTATTTACATTTCATCGACTACTTTTTTGCTGTTCTACTGATTCTACTTCATTATAGGCGTGCGCAGACAATGATTCATATAAAATATTATTCTCAGTATGATCGTGGTACTTTGCATCAATGGTCACTCATCCTGTGCATGCCCGAATTCAATAGCCTTCGAGTTTATTGGAGAACTTGAAGTGGATTTTAGGAATGTATTATATTCAGTATGCTTTGATAATTTTTCGTTTTAAAATATTTGGGTAATATAGATGAGTTAAATAAAGTAAGGATGAAATTCAAAAAGATTAAAACTGCAACTGCAGGAAAATAAGTGGGTGAAGTACAAGAAATTATGGGTAAAATTTCATGCGTCATGAACTCATTCATGACCAACAGTCACTAAGAAGTATTTTATGATTTACTATGACTGTGGTTCTCTCCCACTCACATATGGTAGACCCAGCAACCAAATGCATTGGTTGCTGAGTTATGACAGGTTGTCCGATTTTCTTCTTTTTCTTCCCTTTCCCATCCTCTCCTTTCTTTTCATCTTCGTACATGTTTTTTCTTCCATTATTACATCTGCAGGAAATTTTCGTTGCTCTGAAACTGCAAAAGTTTATTATAGATATTCTGAAGTGTCGTACCAAAGAGATAAAGACTCGGATATTTGGTGATTTCTAGCTAGACTCTGAATTAGTCGGCGAAAATTAATTGATTTAATATTAGGTTGTAATTGAGAAGTCCCTCTAATACCTGTTGACTTTCTTGTTTGCGTTATTTTGTAATAGTGTAAAGTTGCAATTTCTTTCGACTGCTGAGCTTGGAGCTCTTTATTTTAACGAGTTTTATGGGATTATTAAGCATCAAATATTTTTTTACCGATTTTCCTTTTGTAATATTGTGATTGAATCTGAAAGTTTGCTATCCATGCTGATGAGATATCTCTGTCTCCTTGTAATGTTTTGTTTCTCAATTTTTGGAGGTCAGACCACCGACACTAAATTGGTTTTCTGGTTTTTGGACAGCATCTGCTTATTTACCTAATATGACCTTTCAATTGATGTCTTTCTGAACACCTGACAGCTATAACTGGGTATTTCTGTCTATGCTTTTGATGTAATGACGAGACAGAAAAGCATTTATGATGTGTTTGCTAGCTTATTTCTTTGCTCTACCGTCTTGATTGAATTTTGAGCATTTGTGTGGATTCTTCCTTTCTTAGGTTAAATTATTGGTGTTGTGAGTTGCATTTATTTATTTCCTGCCTCACTGACTGTTGGTCTGCATGTTGCCTTGTTTTGTCACAGCGTGCCACCGAGTATTTATCGTTAGAAGGGATTGGGATGGAGGATTCACTGCATCTGCACGATTATTGGGCTCGCTTAGAGATGGACCTGGGGAAGGATTTGATAGCAGCCCGTGGAGTTTGGGAAAGCTTGCTTAAAAAAAGGTCTTTATCTGGGGACACATTGCCAGCTGCTACTGCTTGTATTTGGCGAATTCTCATTTAAATGCGTAAACAACTGAAATGCCTGTGTTTCTGTTCATTTAGGATGTTCTCGCACTTCCAGCAACTTGTTTTGGGCTTCACGTTCTTACATTCTATACACTACTTACTGCAGTGGCGCTGTGTTGGAAGCTTGGAAAGGTTACATAGATATGGAGATCAGATTGGGTAATACAAATGAGGCAAGATCCATCTACAAGAGATGCTATAGCAAAAAATTCGTTGGAAACGGTTCCGAGGTATGTTTCTTTTTGCTTATAGGCTGTGTTAAGTAAATGTCATTTGCTTTTTCTTCATGTGGCTTTCTTTTTCTGAAATCGTAATTTTTATGCCGCATTTTTGCAGCTAATTCTAAATTCGTGACTCTGAATCTTATCTGGCTCATGTTAACTTGCTTCTGTTTGGATAATTCTCTTCCTATTATATTTGGTCTCTGTTAATATTTTTAAATCCTTAGTCCTAGATAATCTCCAAGATTGCTGACCCAGGAAATTATATCGCACCCTGTTTACAATTTTATTTTTTGTTCCTATTCATCCTCTAGGCAAACTCCAAGGATGTCCCTACCTTTCTCAAATGGTATATTTCTTTGTTATCTTTTTTTTATTTCCAAATTACTCGCTAAAATTTCTTGTTATAAAAGTTTAGTACCAATGATATTTAGCTCGTGTTAACAATTTGGTAATACATCTTGGTGAGCACCAAATTAAGGAAGGAATATCATCGTCCATTGTTTCCCTCGCCGTTTTTCAATGTAGTTTGTTAACATGCGAACAAGATCATGACATCTGACCGTGCCCCTCTGATGACCACTATATTGATGTATATCAAGTTCAATGGACGAAGAGGCTGGAGGAAGCTCCGTATTCCCTTGTTCCGCCATGGGTTCCTCCAATTTGTAAATTACATGAATTTCCCTCCTTGGACAAGTTGCCCCAATGTTTTCATTATCTGGGTTCTTCCATGCACCACTTTCGTACCCTGCACGTGCCAGCTGAGGTTGTCTGTCGTGGAATCTTCAGCTATGTTGTCCGCAGTGCCTCCACTGTCACATTGGCCATGGTTACGCCTGCACCTGCTGAGTGGGGTTATGTCCATCGGTGCCTATGTGCATGCTAGACTCTTTGTCCAAAACTTTTTTTTGGCTGAGCAAGGTTCAACTAACCTGGGTGCCCTAATGAGGGGGTGTGTCACAGTGTACTGTTTGATGCCTTCTCATTCTTTGCATATTGTGTCTTTTCCCAATAATTTATCATGTGGTGGATTTTGATAAAGAATGACTCAACTGAAAACTTTCATAAAAACCTGTGCCATAATGGGGTGTCATTTGCATATCTTTTCCCATTTATTCACGTTGTTAATATGTAATTTAGTTTTATGGCAGGACGTGACACTGTTCCTCTGTTATATGTTCTACCTGCTTTGGCATTCTGTCTTCGAAGATACACAATAATCGTTTCCTGCTAGTTTACTTATTTTCCCGTCTTTAGGTGTTTTTTAAGCTATCGTAATAAATTAATATTGTGCTTCAGATGATACCTGTCTCCTAAAAGAACATGGTTATTCAGGATATTTGCCACTCTTGGTTGCGGTTTGAAAGGCAATTTGGTTCTCTTGATGATTATGATCTTGCGATGAAGAAGGTAAGCTTTCTCTGGCGATGATGCTTCATGCATTTTATAATTGCTTTCTGAGTGGTGAGAGGTAGTTAGTTGGGATGTAGTATCTTCTGATAACCAGTTTATACACAGCTCTGCAACATGGTATTGAGCTAGGGGTGTGATACTCTGAGGAACCTCACCTATCCGCACCCTTGGATCCCCCTCCTATATAACACCTGCAGTGGACGCCTTTAGTTTGAAACTGCTACAAGCTGCGAACATGGCCACATACGATCAGAATGTTGAGTGCCTATGATATATATCGCAATGAGCTGGGGCATGATGTCATATCCAACCGTTAATGGGTGTATTACCATGGTGGAGAAGGATTTTTATTTATTTTTTTCTCTGTTGCGATCAAAGAAAACCATGCTTCCTTCTCTCTTGCTAAGGGCCACTTTCATTGAAACAGAAACCTGCTGAATTTGGGGTAAAAAAGGAATACTGGAATGATTACTCTTCTCATTCATGCCTACATCATGGTCTTCAACAATGGCGGAGGCTTGGCAAATGTGTAAAGAGAGCAGAACGGAGATCGATGAATAAGAGAAGTTTTCCCATGAAACTCATCCTATTGTGGTCGTTGGGGACCTAAAGCTGCTGTGCTGCTTTGTTAATCAAGAAAAATCAACGAAAAAGATATTAAGATGGGAGTCGGGGCTAACACAACTAAAACAGGGTGATCCTAATGAGGCAGGAGTCTATGTGGAATTGATGAACTGGTTAAAACGGGCCCTTGCAATCATTGGAAGATTTACCAAACAGGATATCCTCTACGATGTATTTTTTTGTGTTTATTTCATATTGACTTTCATCTATTGCCCTCCCTCAGGTGATGCCCCGTTTGAAGGAGCTCAGCATGTTCAGGATGCAGCAAGCCTCCAAGACTGGTTTTCCATCAACTGTTCCGAATAATGATGCTAACGCAAGAACTCCCTCCAAGAAGAGGAAAATGACGGACGGATCAATGGAAAAGCAGCTCTCTGCAAAGAGGCAAAAGGATGTACTTCCAGGACGAGAGTCTCATCCAGGTTCTGCTCAGAAATCAGGGCCCGTTGATGATACTCAAATGGTAACATTCATTCCGACCGTGTTACCCAAGTCCAATAAATCAGAGACAAAAATTGAGCAAGCCGCTGGCGATTCTGTTTCCAAAGGGGACGCCCCAACGTTCTACACGGATCAATGTACGGTGTTTGTCTCTAACCTCAGCCTAGAGGTATGGTTCTCTGGAAATTAATTTCTCAGGAGTACTTTAAAAAGTGATACAGAATGAAAGAGAATGCATCAATAAATAGGTAGCATGACTCGTAAAATTTCTTAACGTTTCCTTCGTTTTTTTAGGTAAACGAGAACCATCTGGGTGAATTCTTCAATGACGTTGGTGGAGTGACTGCTATTCGATTGTTGAAGGACAAGTTTACTGGTAGACCGAGGGTGCGTGCCCAATCACACAAACAATTTACAGTCATCGATTTCTATTGGAAATTTCTATTAAAAGTATAAAAAGAAATTTACAGCGATTTTCTCGCCACTTTTCCTGCATTTTTATCTCATCTGATCCTCTTTAGATGCAAACTGTTAAAGAACATGAGTTATTTCTAGTCTTTTTCAGTTGCTGTGTGCTGTACGTGTTCATCTTGTTTCCATCTACAACAGGACTTCATGGCTCGAATCCTCAAGCCCTTGTTCCTTTCTCGACATTCTTTAAAATTCGGAAAATCTTTCGTGGTCGAATTAAAGAAACGTTATGTTTTTTTTTTCCATTATTTTTTCTCGAAATAGATGATCAAATATCTAAATTTTATCTGAAGTTATTTCTCTTACTGACTTGCATAAGGTCTCTCCTCACGGCTGCTTCCTGAACCCTTGTTTCTCTATCTTCTACTTCACCAGGGATTTGCATATGTAGACTTTTCTGACGACGAACATCTCCATCTGGCGATCGCTAAGAACAGACAGACTCTGCTTGGGAAGAGATTGAGTATTGCCCGGTCAGATCCAAAGCAGGGTCAGAAAAAGGGACTTACCCGGGGTGGATTTGCAGGTGGTCGTGGTACGTCACACAACCATGCCGTCATTCCCTTACGTAATGCACTGCATTTATATCTCTATACATCGTGGGATATTTATCATATGGTAGAGAATTTCCTTTCCCCGTCAAGCAAACCTGTGTAGCTCTTACCATGCTAGGACACCTGAGTGTTAACCACGCGCCACGCGCAGTCACTGAGCTGCAGCAGTTATTACCGCAGCCATGAACTCTTCTCCAAATCCTCCCTAGGCCATTCCACCCAAGATCCTCGTCGCTGTTCATACCTAATGCTGCGATATTTTCGAGACGCTGAAAGAAGGGTAGATCAGATTTCATGCTGGCGATGATGGCGGGTTTTGATCCAATCATATGGTGTGTTTGTTGCCGTTTCTCTGTTCTTATACAGGTCGGAGGGCAGCTTCCGTTGAGGACGAAGACCATGGCAGGGGGGAAAGACAGGACAGGAGTTCCATTAAGTCTGCTTCCCACAGGCGCGGCGGTCACGTACAGTTGACCGGGAGCGCCACGTTTGCGGTGCCCAGATCCGTCAGACCCCTCGGCTGGTCCAGTAGCGAGGCGAAGCCAGCGGACGGTGAGGAACAGCCCAAGTCAAACCAGGAGTTCAGGAGTCTGCTCATGAAGAAGTAGCGCCGTTTCTGTGCAGTTCCTCGTCTTGGGATCCAGAGCTCGGAACTTGAGATGGAACAATGGAGTCATCTTGTTTTCTCTGTGGTTGTTCTCCTTTCTTGACCCATCTTATCAACTGTGTTGGAAGAAAAAGGGCGACGGAAGAAAGTCCGTGGGCGGGGGGTGGCGGGCTGTTCTTGGGCTCGCCGCCGGCGTTGTCGGCCGTCCTTTTGCTTTCTCGAGGAGGCTGCACCGGCGGCGGCGGGCTGAGCAAGCCGCGTATGCCGTTGCATTAGCTTCCCGAGGGCGAAGATGCGGCCCATCATCATCATCATTGACGTGAGTTGTCCTACGCAGGCGTGGCGAGATGTGGCTGGTCGGAGATCGGCGACGGCGACTGATCATAAGACCCGCCGACCCCACGGCGGGGCATCCGATTCAATGGAGGCCTTCTGTCATCCAGTGGCGGCCCGGGGCAGCGGCGCGTGCGTCTCCTCGGATCACTCACCTGACCACCGAGTTACCACCGATCATTACCTCTCTTTCTCTCTATCCATCTTTTCACGGTGCTAATGGTGGCCGTAGAAGGTCGGTCTTTGCTTGGCGAATTCTCTTGACGTTTGCGAGCTCTGGTTGGAAGGGGGGCTATTGTGGGGTTTAGGATGGTGATGAATGGCGCTGCGAACATCCTCTTTGCAGCTTAAAAGCAATCCAGCGTGCGCTCGCTCGCTCTCTCTCTCTCTCTCTCTCTCTATATTTCTCTCTCTCTATCTCTCTGTGGGTCTCTGATGTGGTTGCTTTTTTCCCTGTCGGTTGGCCAGGCTACCGACACCGCCGCAACGGGCGATTGATGCCCAGCCAGGTCCGTCCCGTTCAACCCATGGGGGTAACACAGGATACAGCTGAGAGTTAATTCCCTGTCCTCATCAATGGAGCCACGCCCCTGTGATATGAAATAAATGGTGGCAGTTGCGGTGGTGGCCGGCGCCCAAATCTCACTGAAACCCTAAAGCTCCCTCCTTCCATGGCGCCTTTAATTCCCCAACAGTCTCGAGCTGGAGAACACCTAACCCCATTCACTTCCATGCCTTTGACCCCCCCACCTCCTCTCCCCTTCTCCGAAGGAAGCTACGGCGGAGGTCCACCACCGGAGCGCGGCGGAGGAACTGAGGTCCCCCTCTCCGTCAAACCTCGCCGAGCTCACCAAGGAGACCGAGAGCAGCAGATTCTTCATTAAATGTAGTAGACCCATATAATTAACCGCCATTTCATGTCACGTATCATCATCTTTGCGCCGAACAGAAGAGGAAAGGCAGAGAGATATGCATCCTCGGGACGATGAAGTGAACATTCTTCGCCTCGGCGGCCGACCGTTGGGGCGGAGGGAGAAGACGCAGACGGTCTAGAAAGAGACCGGGGGTGGTAGCAGTCCCCGAATCTTTTATCTTATCCTTCCGGCACTGTAGCGGAATTCCCCTTCTTTCTCCTCCGCCTGCGGACAAAAACCCGTCGTTATCCCCCCCGCCGCCGCAACGGCTACCGTGCCCACCCCCCCCCACCTCTCTTTCTGGTTCGCTTTTCCTTTCTTCTCCGCCCTCTCAGAGACGGGGAGAAGAAGAGACCAATGTCAAACCTCCATAAACCAGCGACCGAACCTGGGGGAAGGGGGGGAGAGGGGGCATGACGTCTCCGCGACGGCGGAGGCCGCCGCTCCGAGAGGCGGGCGGAGGGGTGGTCCTGCCAACAACCGGAGCAGGCGGTGCAGAGCTAGAAAACAAAGCTGATCGGAGCCCCACAGGCCCGCCGCTCCCTTTCTTCCTCCCCTTCCTCCTCCTCCTCCTTCCTTTTCTTTTACTTCGATCGGCGCCGCATTCATATCCCGGATGAGTACATAACCAACTCCTGCAGAGCGCAGGAGGGCCAGTAAAGATGAACACATGACGAGCATTCAATGCACAGACGAGGGAGACGGCCGCCTGCGGGGGAGCTCTTCCCCCGGCGGCGCCGCCGTCCCCACCGACGGCCGTTCAGGGTCCGAACAGCAAGCATCCTGGGGGGGTGATTCCTCGCCGCAACGGCACATTAAATTGCCCTCGTCCCGTCCTCCCCCCTCCCCCGGTCCAAGGGGCACCGCCCCTCTTTGCCGAGGTGGGTCGACTCCGGTGAGTTCTACAGAGGGAGCGACGGCGTTGAGTTGGGATCAGCGACGGGGACGCATCAGATTTGACGATGACATTTTTCAAAAAAAAGGCTCTCTTTTTCGAAGAATCATCTCCCTTCCAAGAGGGTGAGCAACGTTCTGTCGACTGTGGGGGACGACCTGCCATGTCCGCCTGAGACCCGCATGTGGAGGGAGATCCTGTGGATGGATTCTGTAAGAAAGATTTTTTTTTTAAAATTAAAATAATATAATTATTGGACGATAAATATGATATCAACCTGATTTCTACGCGGAATCGTTCGCAAGTGTTCTTTTTTTGTGTTAAAAGATTCATTAACGCGAGTAATGGGAAAACAAAAACGTTGGGAATTATTTTCAATAATAAAGCGGGGGTACAAATACTGACAGAGAGGAATGACCATAATTCTTCTGCCATTCCCAGTCAAAGGTGTGCCCGTTGACCGGCGGCGCGTGGGCTGGCCTTCGCTCCAGTCTCACGGGAAAGATCCCCCCCCCCGGATGTGGTCGGATTGAGGGCAAGTCACGTGGCGGCGACGGCAGGAGGAAGATTTTTCCACCGGAGGGCGGGGGAAACGGTGGTCGCCGGCGTGGATCCTTCAATGGATGAGGAGCGCCCTGGCTTCTCCGGCGGCAGGGAGATGGCGGCGGGACGAAGCGTGGAGTAAAAGCAAGAGAGAGGCTTTCTTGGCGTTCTCCTCCGACGATGATTTCCATGCACAGGAGAACCAGGGAGCTCTCCCCGCCTTCAACAGAGCGGAAGATAATGCAGGAGGGAAAGCGGAACCCCCGTCCGTTCTCTTTCCGGAATGGGAAATCCCCTCCGAGAAGCTCCGAAGGAGCACAGCTAGCATGGTCTTCGCCGTGCCCTATTTTTTGGGACAGCCATACAGAAAAAACCAAGTTTTCCTGTGTGTGAGTGAGGGGAGAGAGAGAGAGAGAGAGAGAGAGAGAGAGAGAGGGAGGCAGAGGGTGTCTGATGATCAGAGGCTGTCATTAATGGAAATGGCAAGTTGCACCCATTTATGAGGAGATAGCGTGAATCTACGGCACAGGGCCTTTCCTGTGATTAGCGGGCGCCCATGCCCCGCCTTTCTTGGCACGCCACATGGTTCCATCAGCTTCATCAATAGGCCCGCCACCTCTCCCCGGCGAGCAAGCTCATCGTCCAGAGAGGAGCTCCAACGATCCCCCGGGTAGCGAAACCGCCTGAGGCCCGAGTTCTCTCCATCTCTCCCCCGAAGAAGAAGAAGAAGACACGAACAGTTATGCTTTGCTGAGAGTCGTAGCCAGTTCTAGTGTGAGAAACCCGGGCGGTTCCTTGGGAAGACGCTCACGTCTCCAACAGAACCACGGCAAGCCCACGAGGTAGCTCCAACGACGACGTACCATCCGTCGTCTGCCTCTCCGACACAGAAATAGAGAGAGAGAGAGAGATGTGAGAGCGACGTTCGCTTGGAGGAAGACGAGTCGCTGAAGCAGCAAAGGAGACAGGGAACGGGACAGAACGCAATCAGAACAGAGATATCTTCCTGCATGTGGGAGCCGTGAGAAGCGAAACACCCATGAAGGTACGAAGGTACGCAAGCAAGTATGAGCAGGCCATGTACGCCCTACAGGGGCCCACAATGTTTCCACTGGGGCCCACCATCCGGGGCGCCCCCGGATTAAACTAGAGTACGTGATTTTCCTGTAAACCCCCTGGATTTTGGAATCAACCCGTCTAAATGAGCCTATTAACGAATGGGCTTTCTACGTAAAAATGTACGTTGACAGAGAAGTGCTTAACAGATAGAAAGAGAAAGACTGAAAGAGAAAGGTCGGGAGAGAGAGACAGGAGAGAAAGAAAGGTAAGGTGGGTGTGGGAGGAGAGAGAGAGACAGAGAGAGGGGTATATATAGAGAGAGAAAGGTGGGGAGAAAGACAGACAGGGATCCAGAATAGAAACCAGGGAGAGTGGGATTTAGAGAGAGAGAGAGAGAGAGAGAGGAAGGGACCCTTGTCTACCTTCGGACAGCGGGGCGGGCCTCGTTCGATAAGATGACGTGGAATAAAGTCGAGGGATTTAATGGGGAATAAAGCCCACTGGGATGCGTACGATCCTCGAAAGGCGGCTCTAGAGGCCGCTCCCTAGCCACACGTGTGAAGGCAGCCCCGGAAATAATAAATCATCAGAAATTAGCATTCACCCGCGACCACGTAGGTGCTTGTCCTTCAACAGTCACATATTTATTGATTTATTTTTGTGATCTGGGAATGGATAATACCACGCGTCGTCTCCCGATTGGTCTTTCTATCCGTGCAGGTAAATTCCACTGAGAGAGAGAGAGAGAGAGAGTGGGGTGGGGGAGATAGACGTTGAGTTAAGACGTTTGACTGTCCAGGGCATGGGTTGACCGTGAGCCATTTTCTGCCGGCCGAGATAAGACGCAGCTGGGGTGCCGCGTCAGCAAATTCAGATTTTTGCTGCTAATTTTTATGTTTTTAAAACTCTTGACGTAGGTCCCATCTCTGCCTTCTCCTACCCCTCTCGTGTTCTGACATGCTGCTCTCTCTCTCTCTCTCTCCCTCTCTCTCTCTCTCTACTGTGTGGCGTAAGCTCGATTCCTGATTCCTGATAGTGCAAGCAAAGCGAACGGCCCCAGCTTTATTTGTATGGCACACTCTCTAAATCCTTCCCCGTCGTCCTCTTTGTCCGTAAGAAGGGAGAAAATCTCCGGGTCGCTCGGGCTCCTCACTGTTGCTGTTACAGGGGCTCGCATCCGCTGCCGGTTCGTCCAAACTTCTTCCTCCTGCCGCCGTTCTCTCTTCTGTCGATCTGATTTCGTTCGAATCTCCCCGCACACAGACGATCTGCCTGTTCTTCCGTCCCCGTTGAAGCCCTCCTTGTCCACTCTCGCCGTAGAGCTCGAAGCTGGAGCTTCCAGCTCATTCCCCCAGGGGGAGATCCTTGTGGGTCACCGCCTGCGGGCTGGAGGGAAGACGCAGGCAGCGTTTCTGACACCTCTAACAATCTTCTTCGCCTCTTTCTCTGTCTCTCTCTCAAGCACTTGTGGAGGAGGAGAGATTGGTTTTCGCAAGAAGGAGCAATATTATCCCGTTTCATTCGGAGTGCATAGGGTTTTCACAGCCATTGTAGTCAGATCTCCTTTCCTTCCAATAAAGCCAGATCTCTCCGCTGGTATTATCGTCAAGTATTTGTTCAGCTCCTCACCTCAAGCTAATCCAGTCGGAGAACGGTTGCTCGTTCGCTTTCTTCAGCTACTCGAGGATTCTGCATGCAACGGAGGAAGGGGGAGAGGAATTCCCGGCCACGAAGAACTTCTCGGAAGCTCAGACAGCAGAACGGAGCTGATTCTCCGTCTAATCCGAGTTCAATCCGTCCGTATCTGTGCTGTGACTGGAAAGGCTGAGGAGAAAATTAGGGCAGACCAGCTGCTCTGCAGAATATCTCCGTCTCTCTGTGGAAAACCAAGATACAAAAGGGCAAGAGTGGGGATTCTCTGCTCCCCTAAGCTCACTTTAGCCTCGTTTTTCTTCTCCTTGGGTTTCAGAGAGCAGGGTAAAGGTCCTCCAATAAAATATAGCTTGGACACAGAGAGAGAGAGAGAGAGAGAGAGAGAAAGAGAGAAAGACAGGAGAGAGGAGAGAGAGAGTGGGAAGAATGGACCTTTCTTGCCACGAAGGAGAGATCCCGCTCCCGTTAAGCAGCAGCAGTACATATGTCGGCGGCCATGGCCACGGGCACACCATCATTCACGACCCTCCGCCCCTCCACCACCCAACCAACGGCCCATCTCTACCACCGCCCGCCGCCACCAACACGTCGGAGGACCACAACAGCGCCACCGGAAACAGCAGGAAGGGAGTAGTGGCGGTGAAGTACAGGGAATGCCTGAAGAACCACGCCGCCTCCATCGGCGGCAATGCCCTCGACGGCTGCGGGGAGTTCATGCCGAGCGGCGAGGAAGGTACCCTGGAAGCCCTCAAGTGCGCCGCCTGCGGCTGCCACCGGAACTTCCACCGGAAGGAAGCGGAGGGGGAGGCGGCGGTCTCCTACGACATCTACCCATACTACCACCACCTAAAGGGGAGGAGGATCATCGGCCAGAAGGGAGTCCTCATCTCTGGCGCTGAGGCTTACGGCTACACCCCCGCCGGCAACAGCCTCATCCCCCGGCCATCCCCCCATCATATGATCATGCCTCTGGGTGCCATACAGACCTCGGAGTCGGAGGAGATGGAGGGTGGCGTCGGCGGTGGCTTCTCGAGGGCGCCAGTGAAGAAGAGGTTCCGGACCAAGTTCACGCCGGAGCAGAAGGAGAAGATGCTGGACTTTGCGGAGAAGGTGGGGTGGCGGCTCCAGAAGCAGGAGGAGAGCATGGTGCAGCAGTTTTGCCAGGAGGTTGGGGTGAAGAGGAGGGTGCTCAAGGTCTGGATGCACAACAATAAGCACAACCTGGCCAAGAAGATCCCCCTCCAACTCGAGTGATGCAGCTGGCAACTTCTAGTGTTCAGTTGTAAGAAGAAACCGGATGGGTAGCCAGCCTCTTCCTGTTTCCCTTTCCTCCTCTTCGTCCTTGTTCTTCTTCTTCTTCTTCACGGATGGTAGGGGTTCTGGTTAGGGTATTCGATAGGCTTAAGATCTTGGGTGTTCTTCCTCTCTCTCTCTCTCTCTCTCTCTCTCTCTCTCTCTCTCTCTCTCTCTCTCTCTCTCTCTCTCTCTCTCTCTCTCCCTCACTCCCTCCCTTCCTCTGGGATATTCTGATATTCTTAACACGAGATGGGCATTTGAGTCTCGCGAGCTTCTACGGCTGGAAGGGAGGTTTCCTTCTCCTGTATGTTCCACATATTTCTATTACAAATGTCGCTTCTGAATCCATTTCACCGCCAGACCTCTCGAAAGATTATGTTTTTCTGTAGCTCCTCCCGTCTCGCTTCTAGTAGGCTCACTGTTCGACCGGAGCCCGTCTGGCAGACGCGCTTCCTGGATTACTTCCATCCTTATGCTCCATTACCATGGTCGTCTCTTTGAAGAGGTGGGCCGCGATCGACCTCTCTTCCGCTCTCGCCGCCTTCCTCCTCTCCTCCTCTAGGATTTATCGGCTTGCTCCGAGGAGGATCGTCCGCGTAGGTTAGATAGAGATTAACATACCGCCCCAAGGATGCGTGGATAATCGCCTTCGAGCCTGCTGCTTCTCTCTTACGCCAAATTATAGCGTTCGGTTTAAAACAGACTGGGGATCGGCCATGATCCTACCCCTCCCAGGAGTTTCGAGAGATCTGAAGTACCTCCCAGCGGTGGGTGGTCTCCTCCTCTCACGTCACGTCCGGTCGTCTTCCTCCCAGCGGAGGGGAAAGGCTGTCTGAAACTCGCACTGAGAGACACGCCAAGGCGTGGTGCTGATAAGCGACTAATCATGGGCGAAAAGTGTGGGTCTTCGCTCAGACACGCTCAGAGGAGTCTCTGGGGGGTGCATGCCGCCTGGTCTCTGTCTCCACGGCCCTCCACTGTTCTTGCATGCGGCTTACGCTCAAATATCGCCGAGAAACAGTGGCTTTCTTCTGGGCCGGTCGGCGTTGACCGCCCGGAGCTATTATGAAGCTTCTGAGGAATACGATCCTAGACAGCGACGGCCCGCCGGAGGGCCTGCTGTACGGCGCCGGGGCTCTCCTTCCGGTCCTTCACGACGGCCGCCGGTCGATTACCCGCCGGACGGAGAGGAGTCCATTAACTACTCATTCGTCTCTCAGTAGGCGTTACGGCTACGGCACACGTGCACCGGCAGCCCATCTCTCTCTCTCTTCACGTCCCTGGCAAAGCTTCATGGGGATTCTGAGGCCCACTCATAAAATATTGAATCGCCGATCAGATTGCCCGCATTTGGATGGATGAAAACAGCCCCAAAAAGCACAATAATTTGTCATAAAATTAGCCGATGGAATGAGGAGTATGAAGAAGACAGTGGTGGTGGTCTCCCTCTCATAACAGATGTCTGTACAGCTTTGACTTACATCATGTGCAGCCTGGTTCCTCCGAGGAACCTGGAGATCGGGTGGACATTGCTGTTCTCCCTTCCTCCGTCTCTTCCTCCGGCACCTTCAGCAGAAAGGAGCCTTCTTTCTTCTCGATCGTCGGCCGGAACGGGAAAATGTCTCAGACCCAGCAACCTCATGAAGCTGCTCACAGCACACTAATCTTCGGAACAAAATTTCTCAGGCCCTTATCGGCTTTGATGAGTGAGAAGTGATATTAGGAAATTGGAGACAGAAGAGCGCCAGGAGGGATATATATCCGATGGAGAGAACTCAGATGGAGCTGTCGCAGCTTGCCGTAGCCTATCTCGCTCTGGCCACGGCACCTCGAGCTCACGAGCTCGCCGGAGAAGATGCTACTCCCCCTTTTGCCTGATCAGTAGTCTTGCTCTCCCAGGGTTCAACAGGGACTCAGACATGACCCATCCCTGCCAAAAAAAAAAAAGGTCCCCACAGCGTCATCCAAGAACTAGAGCCGATTAATAAATGGGCAGGGAGATGGGGAAAAGCTTCTCTGCTTGATGAGCAAGACAATGCTGAATAAAATTTACGCCAGGAGACAGATGGAATGGGAACGTGAATTTTTCTTTGTATGGCCCGCCTGGCTCCTACGCTCAATGAGGGAGTGCTTGGCCCAAGACTGGCTACTGTAACATATGGAAACTATTTCTGCCCATTGGGTCCGTGCAGGGCAAAGGATGCGTCTCAAACTACTGATCCAGACATAAATATCCAAGTCATGTGATGTGATATGGTAGGTGATTCGGGTCATTGGGCATCACCATGGGTCAGAATTCCCAAACCACTACTGTAATTGTGAGATACTGTTGGTAATTAGATCGGCAACCATGGATTCCGATTACTATTTATAGTGAAGACCACAAATGGGAATGTCAAAGGGGGAGAGAGGCCAGCAATCACCTGTTCCGCGGCTTTCCCCTTGAAATTTTCGTATAAAGTCGACACAATCTCACAAGACTCCACAATTTGAGCGTCAGGATCTACAGTGAAGCTAGGACTGCTCATAAGTTCGTTGCTGTCTGGGCTCCCGGGTTTGTTGAGCTTCTTCGGTGCTTGTCTTGCATTTAATGAGCAAATGTAGTGGAGGACATGGGCCTACAACACCGGGCGATTTCAACATCAGCGAAAAATAAATGGGACTTTACAGCATGACCAACATTGTAGATGAGAACTCACATGGAAAGCAGCCTTCAGAATGTCATCAGACTCTGCTTGATCCTTCAGCAATGCGTACACTTTGTTTTTGCCAGGATTGTACGTGATAATGTATCTTTCTTCCTGAATCAATCCAAAAATAGACAAAAAAAAAGGAGTTGGAGAAAGAAAAGCAACCAGAAAGATGAAGTTGATTCACGAGGATCCCAGCAGAAGCCGAATGTAGCCACATGAGACGAGGATTGTTCAAAGGTATGTACCTCAAACAAAGGCTTTATTCTTAGAAATGAATCAGGGTCCTGGAAGGCTTCGCCGAATCTTGAGCCTGCCAAAATTGGGATCAACTTGAGTTCCGTGAATTCAGATGTCTAAATCTAGCCGAGTTCAAAACGTACCTAAAACAACAGGCGTATTTTTACACCATGGAGGATCAAAGATGTGTTCCTTTGAGTTTCCTTCTGCTAATGATGGCACATGACCTGCGGAAGACATTACAGCAATGAGAAGAGAGAGAGAGAGAGAGAGGCTGCGATGGCGATTACAAATGGACCTTTGGTTCATATTCACAGCAGATTGAAGATAATTAAAAGACATGCATTAATACTACAGTTTTCATTACAAAACTGGGGATTGGTACCCACACCGTCATGCAGATGCAAGCCATCTTAGACACAAATTCCGGAGAAAATAAGAGGAACAAATATATCAACTTTCCGCAATTAAAGTTAAATCTTCCAAGATAGTGCCTAATTATATAAAGAGAAATATACTAATCCGAAGGTGGAAAGTTCTTAACGTAATGGTTTAAAGGTTTTCTGCAAAAGTACACACAGAAACATATCATACCATATAATATGCACGTACAGATATGGATAAATGCACATCCAACCTCTGCGTTTGTATATATGTAAGGGAGGGAGAGAGAAAGAGGCCCACGTATCATGAGCCCTCTACGTGCAAGGGGTATGCGAAAAGTAATAAATATTATATCAAGTACTTCCATAAAAAGTATACTTGCACATGTACACAGTAATTAGATAACAATGCTAAGTGCGGTGGCTCCCTAGCTTACCAGTTTTAAGGAAAGATTCCACTGCCACCGTGAATCTTGCCCTGTTCAAAGTGCTCAGTACGACAGACTTTACCTGTAAAACGAGAGAAATGTGATCAAGATCAGAACCAAAATTGCCATCCTAAGAATGCTCATTGAACGTAGGTTTTAAGACGAAATAGAACCTCTTGATATGAGCTGAAGACATATCCGCAAGAAAGTAGCGCGAAAGAAACTACCAAGGATGGTTTTCTCTTTGAGATCAAGATGCTCAATCCAGTTCCAAGCTTCGCATATAAGAAAATGAAAATGAAAATCAGTACACCCATTTCAATTAGAGATTTGCGCCATTTGGCAACAAGATATGATTATAATAAAAATTAACTTCAGGATAAAACTACCCATTGATAAGTCAACGAGGTGCTAAAAGATAATTTTATCCTAGTTGCTGGCTAGCTGTAGAGTTATGTACTAAAGATATGCCCAAAGGTCTGGGGATAATACCAGATCTGCAACATTGGCGACACACTCTCCTTTTGCAGTTACATCACCAATGTTTTCTCCCTTTGCAAATGCTTTATAAATCGGGGTGCGGGTAGAGGTCGAGGTCACAGCTGCAACATTCTGCAACGAGGGGAAATGTATGAATCCAAATGCACGGTGATCATCAACCAAAATGGCCTCTAAATTTAAGGCGATGGATCGCACCTTGGCCACATTGGCCGCGCAAGCCAGGGGTAAGAAGAGATGAGGCACTGCAGCAGTCACCAGCTCAACCCCCGCACCTAGCTCCATCAAAAGGTCACCAGCAAAGCGAAGCTGAAGAACGGTTCAAACCATGGTTCAGCATATTGCTCCCAGCCAAACAGTTTCAGACGAGAACCACCCATCAGGGGATGAAAAGAGTGGGATATGGCAATACCTGCTTTAAGTCGTAGTCAAACTTTTTCCCTTGGCGTGCGAAAAGCATTTTTCCAACACGGCCAGCTCCATCCTACAGTTGATGGGCACAGTTACGAAGCTTCAGAAAAAAAAAATCCTTTTTCTAAGTTATAAAAAACTATTAGAAATCTATAATTCAACCAGTTGTCAAAGGGCAAGAGCACCTGACTGCATTATTCAACATAGAGACAAGATATCAAGGGATGACAAATTCAGAAATAAATGAATTTACTAACAAGATATAGAGATTCCAGTCAGTATCCAAACCAAACGATGACTCAGAACAATGAAAGACATCTAAGAAAGTTGATGGAATATGGGAATAATAATTATGGTGGATGAAGACCTGTTCTAGGACAGAAAATCTATCAAACATTAGAGCACATTTTGTATTGCCAACAGATTAAGATGAAGATAATGTCGGATTTACCTTCAAAATCCAGTTAATGGCAACAGCACCTGACGCTGCTGTATTTCTGGAAACCCCAACGGAGCTCAGAAGTGTCTGTGTAGTGAAGACGCTCATTGCTCCACCAAAGAAATACTGAGAAGACGAGATATACGATGGAAATAGCATGTTATTATTAGCAGATCAAGAACGACTATGGCTTGATGACACCAATGTGCTTCAAAAATAAAAACATATATATATATAGATAGATAGATATGTATGCACATTATTACCTTTAAAGCTCTCCATGTCATGTATGGCACATATGAAGGGGGAACGCTATGGGGGAATCCTTCAGGGACCACGTATGACCTTATGAATGAAACCAGTTCCTGCAAGATGGCATTCATAAGATGAGCGAGGACTAGTTTGGAGTTTTTCTGTCGCTTTTTTTTTTTTTCAAAATAAAAAATAAACACTGAGATCGCTCATAGAAAACTACTTTAATGGGGAGAAATGGCATTCATGAAATGAGTAAGGACTAGGCTTGAGATTATCTTATTTTTTATTCAAAATAGAAATAAATAAATAGACCTACATTACGAGGAAAAATCGGCCATTCATCTCGTTCAAGAGGAAAAAGCATCGCATACAAAAGAGCGATGAACATCTTATCATCTTTCTTCCAGTTCCAAACTCTTCGGTGTTTCAATATCACCGCAACTCAGCGACCGCTTTCACCAGGAATTTAATCATTTACATTATTGATTTGGGAATTATTAAGAACATAGAATAAGATAAGGGAGAGCACGCGCATTGAAAACATGAGAATGATAAGAGAATTCGTTATTGTACCTTTTGATTGTTAGCAGTGTGATGCAGGAAGTAGAAAAACCAGACGGGGATGTTAGAATAGAGTCATCAACCGGGGGTTATGATGGAAGTAAAACCAGGAAATGGGAAAAGGATGTCCGACCCTCAACCAAAGAGAACTGGCGGAAATGGGTAACCCACCAAAAGTTAAAAATAAGCTTCAAAAGGAGCGAAAAAATTGGAAGAGAAAGCGCAACGGGTCAGTCATGGAACACAAGGAGCGAAAAAATTGCCTGACAGTGAATTAATGGAGAGAGAACAAGGAGCCATGGCCCCGTCAAGCAGACTCACATCTACAGGAGCCATGGGCGAGTGCTGCAGTGAAATTGCCTTCACTGACGTTCCTCTCCTCAGCTTCCCAGATCCCTCCTCCACAGCCACGTACTTCCACTTCTTCCCGTCCACCTCCTCCAGGCAGACAACCTTCAACGCATCTGGCCTCCCCAGCAGCCCCAGCTCCCGCCCGGGCAAAAACCTGAGCTCCGTGTCCCTCACCTTCTCCGGCAGCGTCATGAGGGGAGGCGTGGAGAGAGGCGGCGCCGAGGCAAGCGTCGCGGCGGCGGTGACCCGCATGGTCTCTCGGACGAGGATCCGAGCGTCCTGGGCAGCGGGGCGCGCGAGGGTCGGAGCCGACGCGGGGGAATTCTTAAACCGAATGGGAGCCATCAATCGAAGATGGCGGCGAAGACGAGAGAAGAGGAAGGAAGAACGGGCGGAGCGGAGGAGGGAGCCGCGTTTCCCGCAGAAACGGAAAGAACTCTTCTGCTTTATTTGCATCCGGAGAGACCTCTTGGTGCTGGGGGCGATCGACAACGACCCCTTGAGCTTTGGTTTCGCCGCCGGGGGGCCGTTCCCTCCCCCTACTAAACAACGAGCACAGCTGTTAAAAACGGGTTCCCCATCACATGCCTGATGGGGAACCCGTTTTTAAGAATCGGCACCACAGCGAGTGAGAGAGCGAGAGAGAGAGAGAGAGAGAGAGCGAGAGATTCCAGAGCTCCACAGCGAGTGAGCGAGCGAGAGAGAGAGAGAGAGAGAGAGAATCGGCACGCTGATACGGACCGGGCGCCCACCCAGTGACCGGACTCAGTGTGCCGAGTCGGTCGCCTGGCCGCTGAGCGGCGGCCGTAATTCGTCGACTAAAAATAATTCTCCGAAGTGGTTGACCACCCCCACCGGCGAGCTCAACTTGTAATCACGGTCAACGTCCGGAGGGGAGAGGCGGCGCCGCAACTGCCGCTCCACGAATGGGATCGGGCTGAATCCAAACTTGTGGACTGGCGGCGATTCCGGGCCCGCCACGCGAGATGGAACTGGGCCCACCTCGCTGGTAGCTGCTGGCAATCCAGGCGTGTGGGGGAGGACGGTGCCTGAGCTGGGAGGCGGGCCCGCTTGTCCACGTAAGCCCAGACTTCTCCTCCGCTTGGCGCTTTTGAGCACATCTCTTTTGACGAAACGCGCGTCGGGCCTCGCGGCGTCAATCCTTTTCAGCACCCAGGAGCGAAACGCAATAAAAATGGCCCCTTGGAGTCATTCTAAAAATCACGCGGCGGTTTATTGTAATTTTCCACCCCCCGAATCCGCAACCTGTACAGGAAGAGGAAGCTTTGGACGGTCGCCATGGCGGGTAAGATGGCCTCAGAACTCGGTGTCGAAGCAAGCTACCATGGCCTTGGTGACCATTGACCGAGCGAAAGGAATGTAGCTGAGACTGTACCTGGAAGAAACAGCCCCAGAATGGAGAGATATTTACTATTTAAGGGAAAAAAAATGAGCCCAGAAAAAGAGTACCAAGATCAAACTGGGTTTTAAAATAATTTAATCTATTTCCATTTCGGGCATAAAATCAGATATAAAACGAAAGTATTATATTTCGTATGGAACAGCTTACCAGACGAGAGCACAAAACTCCAAGATGACGGCCAGAAGCGTTAAGGCTTTATTGTGCACCTGCCCATTGGAAGCATATCAATAATCTCATGGCCTGGAGATGGGGAGGATCCTGTGAACTTACATAGAAGGCACAGAAGAGAGCCATGATGAGACTCGCGAGGTAAATGGCCGTTGCATAGATTCGGACTGGATCCAGCATCATGACCAGCTGCCGCTTAGGTCCAATCAGGAAGGCTGTGCTGGCGTACACCAGATTCCAAGTTTAATATCAGAGAGGAAAGAAAAAAATAATGCAACTTGTGGGGATGACTGAAAACACTGAATGGTGTCAATCTTTTCTCATGAAATATCCGTCATGAAGAAGAACCCTTAAACCCTAAACCCTAAACCCTAAATTCTTAATGCTGAAAGAAAACGGGGGGTGATGAAGAATTATACGTCAATGTATTATATTATACAACAGTGATAAATAACATACGTGTTTTGGTGCACAACGAGGAGCAATTTATGTCATCCATGAATTTAGAAAAGGTCTTTTACCATGAACTATGAGATACTTTGTTAAACTGGATATGACCTGTTTAGTCAGCATGCTTCCTCCCATTTAATATTTCACACCAACTTTAGCATTTCATTATGGAAATTAGAGTCTCACATAGTCTGTGCCAGCAACCGCCTGTTTAATCTAGAGAAATATTAGTAACCAATCTCTCATTGATCAGGAGATTCTCGGCCAGAGCAGGCCTTTTAGCTTCTACAAGTGGAGGGAAAGAAGAGCTGAAAATTGTATCTGCCAATAGAGGGCAGAGGAAGGAGATGAAGAACAGGAAGATGATGCCAGGATAAATTTCACAAGAAGAACAGTGAGTAATAAGTAGGTTCCATAGCCAAAGCAGGTGCAATCACGGAGATAAAACTACAGGCTGCTTCTGGCGGTTTTTACACAAAATCGACCTAGTGCCGGCAAGCTTCAATCTGATTCGGCCCAGATTGATCGGGAAAATGTAATGTTCATTTACAGCCTTGCCAACATTTGGGGTTTAAGAAAATATGCATCAACTGGCACTCTAATCAAACGTGAGAACTCATTGTTATTGATGGGGAATGTTTAGGAAATTATTATCCTGTCTGGTATTTCACCTGATGAATAGTCCCTTGCACTCTCGATCTCCAAAGGAAGTTGTTATGTGCTCATTATCTGATACATAATCCTCCTATTTATGCTGACAAAAAAAGTCAACATTGTAATGATGACAATCATCCCACTAGAAAGCCATAAAACCTTAGGACAAGGAAAACCGAAAAAAAAAAAAAAGGCAAGAAGTTTGGCGTAGATGCTCAGCTTTATTTCCTACTTTGTTGGTACACAGTTAAAATCATGCATAGACACGTCGCATCTCACATGCAAAGAATTCGAAAACATAAAAACTGACAGACATTTAGAAACTGGCGCAAACCTTCCAAGCGCACAAAGATTGCCAAAGGTGAAAGTTATCCCAAATTTGATTGGATTGAAGAAAACAAACATCGACTGCAATTCAGAGCAGGAAGGAAGTCAATGTGTATGAAATGTTACTTTCACAAAAGCTAGCAGCATAACGTACGGTTTGAAATAACATTTGCGAAAACCATACATCAGATTACCTAAATAATGGAAATGGGCGTGAGCATTTATCTAATAAATAGCTTCTAGAATATTAGATGGTCGTTCGAAGACTTGTATAATATGCAGTGTATTCAGTCAATTCATTATTCTTGTTACTTCTGCACTTCAATTTTATTGCATTATCATTTGAAATAATCGTCTTAAGCACTTTGAAGAAAAATCTAAAAAATATAAATACAAACGTTTTACATGATCCAAGTCTTTAAACGCAAACAAGGACATTTCCCAACGGTTTGAAATTCAAGCCCAAGAGAAAGTATGCTTCAAACTTACTCTCTTATCTTCATCACATTCATGTCTTTTCATTGGATTTTTCATTTCTTGGCCCTTCTTTATAGAAAGGGTTCCTAGTCATTTTTATTTGCGAAAATAGTTTATTCCGACCTCATATGCAGCTTTTAAAGGAAAAAAATAGGAGCAGTGAGACAGCGCTAAATGAAGTAATAGTTGCACTACTTGATTCTTTAATGGTCCAGTGCTAAACAAATTAATAGTCGCACTTGGCGGAAAACAGAGTTTGGCAGTATCATTGGGGAATTTATGAGGCGTGTACATGTACTTTGTGATCTAGCACGGCATCATCAACCCAATGCATTAGAGGGCTGTCATATTGAAATGAAGTCCTAAGGAGAGTCTTGGGGGGTGGATGTAGACTTGAGGATTGGTAGGGCCACTATAACAATCTTTTTCTCCTGGTTTGGTGCATTTTCTTTTCCCATCTTCTCATTCTGATAGGGCAAATAGCCAAAAGGTAATTTTAGTTCAAATTTCTGATTACGCAATTCACCTCCCTCCTCGGGTAGCCCTTACTATGTTCCAAAAAATAATAATCACAGAAAACAGAAACTAGATTTTAATCAATTACGGGGTCAACTAGGGTCTCCCAGCATGGATTCGAATGATATATTGTCTGTAACAGAATAAATATGAAGCTTATATCTATTATTCGGACCGCATTATTATAGAGTTTTAAAGACTCGAATACAGGCAAATAATAAATTCGAATGCAGAAGTTGGCCGGCAATAATCAACATAACAACAATTGAAAGCAGGCAAATGTCTCCAGAGCACGCACATGTGCTTGCACGTAATAACGAAAGAAACAGACATAGCATAAAGAAGGATGTGGTGGAAATGACTTACCAAGAAAGTGCAAGCCAATCCCACAAACAAGCATGTCGCAAAACCATACAATCTCTGACCAAAGTATGAAAATGGAAATTAGATTAATGCCAATAATCAATATCGATTTGTCACGGGAATATGCAACTAATTAAAAATGAATGGAAAGGATACCCCATCCTATTTTACGTCCTTATGAAAATTTGTCAAGAGGTTAGGCACAAATTGGTTGAAATCATGAAAAATAACTTCCCACCGGCTGGGTTTTTCCATTGCTCAATTTTTACATTGGTCAGTTGCTAAGAGCGAAACCTGACAAACATTTTAAAAACTCGGTTTGCAGGCTTAACAAAATTTCTTAACAAACCAAATAAACTCGGTTTGGAGGCAATTTCAGTGCATCAAGGAATTAATAGCTTAGGAATTCACTCAATTCAAAAGCTATCTTTCGCCTCATATTCAGAGAAGTAATCAGAAGAAGGGAAAACCACATAGGATAGAAGATTGGAACACAAGTAGTACCAATAGGTATCTATCACCAAAGCCCTAACGAGCCACAATCATCTGGTTCCATTACAAAGCATCCTGCTCTACATTACAACTTTAAGAAAAAATACATTGATGAACGATCTAGAAGAATTCTGAAATTTTAAAGAATCAAGAGAGATCCCCGATAATCATCTCCAACATGGATAGTCACATCGATGGTAAATCAGACCTAAAGAGGGAGGGAGTCAGGATTTTCTCTGCAAAGACAGATAAAACCCTCACGAAATATAGTACACGCCTTTGTATATAGTTCACCTAAGGTAGGGCATTAGTGATTATAGACGGGGCCACCCTTTGAGCACCAGCAGTCAACTCATACCTACAAAATGGGGTTCACTGCAATGTCCGGGGTGTCGTCTAGAAAGAAAATTAAACTGTCGGGAACACTAAAACAGGTGATCAGAGGACAGAGTACAAGATGGAAAACCTCATTAATTATAACAAAAATTTCAGGAAAAAAAGTTAAAAACGAAACCGGAATGACCAATAGAAACAAGCAAGATCTAAACAAAACTATCCGAATCGATGTCCGCTCGATCGCAAATCCTAGATTTCAATACAAGAGAAAAAATCAAACTAGAGAGGGAGGTCGCCCTATTAGAATCATGGATCTGGCGGCGGGCGCCAGCGGATCTCAGGCAAGCCAGAAAACACAGATGAGCCTCCTATCGGTTATAGACGCCTGGAGCCACATAAAACATCTTAAGAGCAAATGACAGGAGGGGAGGAATTGGGTATAATCGCTGGAATGTGGGAACTACCTGCTTGGTCGACAAAGTGCACTGGCGGTTGAAGTCGTCGAGGAAGGAGCTATCGGCCCCGTCGTCGGCGCCCTCTTCGTCTACCTCCATTCCCACCACCATCTTCGCCCTCTCCAGCACCCTGCTCATCTTGTCCATTCTCCCTCTCCTGCCTCTCTCTCCTTCGCATGCAGAACGGGCCGGAAGTCAGGAAGCCACACTCCGGGGTCCTGCTGATGCACCGCGGAGAGTACGGGACCAACAACGAAGCGTTCTGTACCGGTTATACGAAGCGGCGGTATCTCATTCTCATTCCTAGAAAGCATTCTCGATGCTGCTTCATTCCCCTAACGCTTGATCTCTTGGCAGGGATTAAGAATCTCCATTGCATTGAAATTATTGATTAAAATAATTTAATAATATTTTTAAGAAAAAAAGAGGGAGAGGAAGATTATCCAGCCTCTTTATCTATATATATATTTTTTAAAATAAAAACGATCCAATTATGGAGCATTATTAGGCTGGACGAGGTTGGGAAGAGAAGAAATGAGGGGTGGCCGGATGCGAGCGTCGTGTTCTTCTTCCTTTTATTTATTTATTTAGTTTTCATTAAAAAAACCAGATGTGGGTACGTAAAAAACATCACTGAAAACCACGCCGTGCAGAAATCCAGATTAAAAGATGGGTTCTTGCGAGCCCTTTTATTCCAGTCTTTGGTCAACTCGTTCCCACTCGAAAGTCTTCATGCGTCTGATATGAAGTTGGGATCTTGACGGCGGTTCTCGTGGCTCAGTTGACCCTGCGGCAGTCCCGGCGGACCTCCCCGCCGGCGCCGACTTTGACGTTGAGCAATCCCATTTTCACCATGGCCTGCGAGAAGTCGAAGAAGAACCTCGCCTGGTTCATGGCGTAGGCGTCCACCAGGCCCCTCGTCTCCGGGCTTGAGAACAGTGTCTGGTCAGAGCTCAGGAGGCCGCCTCCGACAGGAATGGCCCGGAAATAGGCGTTGTCGAAGAAGGTCCTCGTCGAGTCAAAGGACACCTCGGAGCTGTCGCCGGCGGCGCAAGCTTTGACCAGTGTCTTGGCGAAGCTCTGGTCGAGGGACGGGTCAACCCTGTTGACTGAGTCGAAGTTGCTCAGCCGGTTCTTGAACGACGAGCACCGCGCCACCCCGAGAGTGTGCCCCCCTGAAATGGCGATCGCCGTCAGACGTCTCGAGCCGGAAATAGAAAAGACGTAATTCGAACGTTACCGCTCAGGGCGACCATCTCCTGAACTGTGAAGCCGCGTTGACCGAAAATCTTGATGAGGGCCGAGCTGTTGAGAGTCGGGGGAGGCAGGTTGATGGTGTCTTCTATTCTGGATCTCCGGCCGTCCAGTCGGCCCTTGGGGATGTCGTAGATCGGACCTCCGGCCTGGAGGACGGCAACAACGGCGGGTTTAACTATGAAAGTCAACGTTTTAGTCGCAGACTCCGAATTTAGACTATCTGGTCATTTACCCAGAGGACTGCATCCCTGGCCGCCATGGCGACGATGTCAGCGCAAGAGACGACTCCCGGGCAACGCTGTTCTACGGCCCTCTTTGCCTGGTCGATGACCTCGTAGCCCCGCAGGCTTAGATTCGGAGGAGAGTCTTTCTCTGCCTTGTTACCCCTCGTGCTATCGATCAGAACGGAGCCATCGCATCCCTGCACCAGTCATAGTCAGAAGATCGCTGAAGAAGAGGTAGAGGATGAAGAAGAAGAAGAAGAAGAAGTCTAGACCCTAAACCCACCTCCACGAAGCAGTCGTGGAAGTGCATCCTCAAAAGCGGCCCAGAGAGTGTGGGATCCCTCCGGAGAGCTTGATTTACTGTGTCTCTGACTATTATTTCCACGAAAGGGCAGGAGGCTGCGTAGTAATTCGTCGACAGAGCTTCCGCATCGAGTCTGGACCCAGCAATCACCAACCCGGTCAGCAGCAGCAGCAGCATCTCCATCAGACGAGAACTACCCATCAGAAACCCTACCAAAAGTCCAGAAGATCAGGGAAAGGGAAACCGATGTAGATGTTGCAGAGCCTGGGGTTTCAGAAGAGTGGAAGGGATGAGTAAGCTGATGTTCCAAGGAGAGGACGAAGGCTGGCTATATATACCCGTCATCTCCATTGCTTCTGGCTCTGGATCCCCTTATCCCCTCCTGTGTGGATCATATAATGACCATTGGTGACGAAGGGCACACAGAACTGGAAGCTGCTTTAGTTAAAAAATCGGTCGAAAAGCTCATCCCATTCGTCGCTCATCGTCATTAGCGGGGGGATGCCGCCAGTGCAAGCACCTTCTGTTACACAGATGACGACGAGCAGGAGTGGGTTGACCATGGTCAATTCGAGTTGCTTTCCAGTTCGATGACGATTTTGATAGACTTCAAAAATCATGTGAACTGAAAGTGACGCTGAGATAGGTTGCAGCTGGTCTCCACATTCGGATTCTCTCTTTATCTTCCCCGTCGTCATCATCGGCCTTTCGTCCAAAGTGGCGCCTCCTCGAGAAAACACCTCCCATCCTCGTGACGGAATCATGTTTCCCATAACCGATGCCGTCACCGGCGAGATGTGGCGGGGACGACAGCTCCAGAGAGCTGCCGAAGAGCTCGTCTTTCCAGCATTATAGCCGTCAACTTCTTCTCCCTCTTCTTCTCCAAGAGTAGCGAGAATGGGACCGGGACAGATGGGGAGAAGCTCTCCCATCTCGGCCGCCTTCTGGGGGCACTTGTCTGACTGGACTTCCTTCTTGTCGACATCACGCGGTGGCCACCTCTCCCCCGCCGAGTGCCTCCACTCCCCCTAAAAGCTCTACTTTCTCGCGGGGCAGCTTTCTCCTCGCCGGGTCAAAGTTCCCGGTTCCCACCAGCCTCTTGAACCGATTATTGAACACTTGGCCCGCACTGTTCATGTGTACTATAGAATTAAGGTCGATTATCCTATCAAATAAGGTCCATGGAGCTCGGCCTAATCCGCACAATGATCTTTTAAAGTTAAAAAATGAGGTTGAGAAGAGTGTGTGTGTGTGCACTTATACTTATATATTCTTTTACTTGGCCATAAAGTTGTAGACATGCGAGAGAGGGACTAAACTGATGTAAGACTATTTATCAGAACGAGATACCCTTATAACATCATGTTATAAGAGTATTCATATATTGATTTCACTTTCTCATGTAAGTAGGTGACCGATAAACGTTCGAATCTCATTAAATAAAAGAATCTTATGATTCGTAGAGTATCGTTACTAAAATTGTCAAATGATTCTAGATAAAAGAATCACGAGTTTATCAAGTAAATCATCTCTAATTAATTAAAAAATAAGTTGTCATCAGAAAGAGACGATCTATTAGGAGACTAGTCACCACCTCTTGAAAACATACTAAATACAATAAAGAAGCTCCTCTTATTATGTAGATATGAGGATAAAGCTTCTTAATATGCACCACACTTTCATCTAACTTGTCTATATTAGATGACAGTTGTCAAAGATTCATGAAGTCATTTTTTCACTCTACTAGATGATAGTTATTTGAGACAATTCATCGACCCACCTCATCAATTTCTAGACTTCACAAGAATATTTAGAGATTGTCAATGTTGTTCTTGCCTAATGAGAGCATTTGAAGCTATGGACATCACATGACAATCATCCTAAATGACCATGATTCTAACACATCACTGTCACGACATTAGAACTTTGTTTTATCATTTTTAACTAATTTAAATTTTATTATTATTTTTTGAACTTTGAAAGAAGATCCGATGAATGCTCAAGTCATTCATGTCCAACAAGAGTCTTTGAAGTTGTGGATATCATTTGATAATTTTTACAAACACATAAAATTCTAATGATCATTGTTACAAGGCTAGAACTTTGTCTTTTCTACTTTCAACTTAATTTTTACTTTATTTGGTAATATTATGTGCAATTTCAAGTTTCTAAAGTTTTTTTAATTTAATTATAGTTTTTTTAGTTTTTACATATATTAATTTGACTAATTAAATTATTTATAATTATTTACATAAGAATCGTCAAATAGAACTCTATTTTCTTTCAATTTGTATTCATTGGGTGTTGACGTTATCATGACATCCACATCATTATTTTTCTTTTTTAAAAACTTTAAATATATTTTATATTCATCATTTAGTCTAACAATCACAAAAATTATTTTTTAAAAAAATTTCTAAAATATCACATGATATTATATATCTCTATAATTAACTTAAAACTTAGAACTTTTATTGAATTATAATTTATATCTTTATTCAATAATACTTCAAGATATCTAAAATTAATATTTATACTTATATAAATATTTAAATTTACGTGATTTATTATACAATGATTAACTTGTCAATCACTCCAAAATATAAATCTACATAAGAATTTCATACTTTCAATGTAAAACAATTTAGTAACCTATGATAACATTACACCATCATTCACACAATTTCAAGAAGAACTATTAAAGCATATTAATGAATAGTTTCTTTTATTTTGATGGACTTAGGGACCACACCTATGTGAACTCAAGTAAAAAAATGTAAGGCCTTGAAGGCAATCACAAGTAGAATGAGTTGATCCTCTATCACTGGTCAATAATCAAAAGCGATCATTCTACCTTACATACAATGTAGTCAGTAAATTATCATGTCAAGAAGAAAAGGAACATAGAGAAAATAAATTATAGTTTACATACAATGAGAATTATGTTGGAATCTTACTTTCATTGATGAAAAAGTCTAAAATATTTAATCAACTTATTTAGCTTCCATTTTTGGATGGCTTGTCAATTATAGATTGAATATTTTAGTTTTTAAAAATTTTAAATTTTCAATTTTCAGATATGATTAGAAGTTTTAATTGACAAGCTTTAAATTTGCTTGTCTACTATGTATATCATTATGATCAGTTCACTATATGATTAGAACTGATCCAAAATACACTATGCCAATCATATGAAGAAAACCTATTAAGAAGCCTCCTCCCATTCTATAATATAATTTTCTTGAGTTTAATCTAAAAGACAATATCAATTCAAAGGGAGAGAGTTTTTCAGTTTCCTATACCATTGCTCCTTAATTAGGCTCTTGTCTTCCAATCAATAGAAAAGGAAGAAAATAATCAAGGAGTATGTGATCATTTTGAAAGATGGAATTTAATAGTCTCCAGAGAAGTGATAACTAAGCGCTTGGAAATTAAACAAATTATGATTTAAGTTATTTTAAACACTTACCATCGTGCAAAAAAAATGCTTGAAAAGATTGGTTGGTACTCTCCCTCTCTATCCCTTCTCTAACTACATTACTATTTTAGGAAATTTCTAGATATTTTGAGAATAGATTCCTTCCTCTTATCTTCATTATGATAATCATTATTATGAAGATTTTATTAACTAATATAACTAGAATTCCTTATGATACATTCTTTCAACTGTCATCCTTGCAATTTTTATCACAACAACTATGCATGTTCTTATTCTCGATTCTAGTTGCGGCATTAGGGATCAAAGGATCTTGAAAACCTTGCAGTGAGTAGTCCTACTACCTCTTAGTCTAGAAAGAGAAAAAGAAAGTGATATATCAAGAATGCATGATACTAAGCCGAAAATCAAGTGAAGCTGGAAGCAATTGATAAATTCACTAATCAAAGGTTGCATAAATTGGATGAGTCTCCTCATGGAAATATTAAGGATTCTAGATGTGAGGATCAAGTGCCAATTTTACTAAATCATTGAAGGGGGGTTTTATATATGGGCTCAAAATAAGATTTGGATTTCACATTTTTCATAAACTGTATGGTAAGTTGTCTAAATTGAAGCAAGTTCTATCACTCAATAATCATATTACAAGTATAAGATTTTATCTTCCCAAATATGACAAATTCTTGATCAATGATTAGTCAAATGGCATTTGAGTGAAATAAAGGAGAAAATCTAATGTGAAAGAAAGGTTTTAAAACATATAAATCTACATGTAAATATGTGGCCCATCAAACCAAGAAAATGTATAAGAAAATAAGAAAAAGAAAAGGAAAACCTATAGCTCTTACCTATGAAGATCGGGTGTATGAAATTCGCTTCAAACATAACCCAAATAAAAATCATTATATATATAGATCAAGGAGCAGAAAATAATGTTGACTAGATCAAAAATTACAAGCTACAACTCTGGTTTTAGAACGAACCAATGGTCATAGTCTGTGTTTTGAGCATAGTAGAGAGAAAACATGTAGAAGCTGCATAGCTCGATGATATGTTACTATCTATTTGCAAGGTGTGAGACTTGTTCCACACCATAACTATGCAATCATGACTAATGGGTTATGTCTATCCAAGGGTGTAGAGCCCAAGAACATATACCTCTCACATGGGGATGATATGCTTGCAATGTGAGACGAGTTCCATACCCAGAAAATGGAGATAAGTTTTCTAGGGGAATCAAATGCTCAATAGACACATCTCTAGAGAAAAGAATGAAAAAAAAGGGGGATAATCCGCAGCCACCACTTCTACCACCATCACCTCCTCCTCCTCCTCCTCCTCCTTCTACTTATTAGAGCCACATCATATCCCTTACACATTTTTACAGCAGGGATAGCCCATGTTATGTGCCAACTCCCAGCTCTAAGTCGTAGACTAGGGTTTGGCCCATAGCCCTTTTTTTTTCCAAATGGAAGCCACGCACGCATACCCGTCAGCATCCGTAGCAAAGTGGGTGGATATGGGCCATCTATGCTGTCATTTTAGGTTGAGGGGGGGGCTTATGGGCCCCAGCCTGGCCTGAAGTTCAGAACCTGTTGGGCTGGACCTGTTGGTCTCGCGACAAAGAACCCAAAAATGGGCCTAATCCGATCTAGGCCCAATTATAAGCATCGTCGTCAACTGGACGTCGTCTTCTTCCACCATTTGAAAAGGCCGCGTACTGCCATCTCAGGGAGGACTTCCTGTCGTGCTCCTTCCGTCCGTCCTCGGTGGGCATCACCCAGAGAAGAGAGGACTGCGGAGGAAGAGGAAGAGGAAGAGATGGTGAGGGGCGGGGATCCAGGGGATGAGGATGGAGGGAGCAGAGAGAGCGGCCCGTTCTGGAAGCTTCCCGTCTTGAAGACTGGGGACCTCGGCAAGCTCGGCCCCGGCGTCGGCTTCGGCGCCGGCTGCGGCGTCGGTTTCGGCGTGGGCCTGTTCGGAGGTCAGCTGACTAGAATAACCCTTTGATCCCCTTCCTCTTCCTCCATCGGCCGACCCCCTCTTCTTTCCTTCTCAAGAACTCTTATACTATGCGGTTTTAGTTTAGGGTTGCGCCGGGGCACTGGTACGCTTTGGCCTAATTATTGCTGAATTCTTGTGGTTTATGATGAAAGGTGCTGGAGTTGGGCTGGGATTCCCTGGCTTGAAGTTCGGGTTTGGCGCCGGCGCGGGTTGCGGTGTCGGTCTGGGATTCGGCTATGGCCTGGGGAAAGGCGTCGCGACGGATGGGAACCAGAGATTTTCCAATGTAGGGTACGTTATTGGGGATCGATCTTCTCAGTGAGTACATCACGATACCTCAATCTTCGACTTCATAGACAATGTGCATGAGCTTGGGGATATGGATCGATTGAAATTTTCGATATCAGGCCGCGGCTGCAGCCCTGTTTTCCCCTACCTGATTCCTTAGATCCGAGATTTGAATGTTCGTTTTGAAATACAGATTATTGGTGGCATAATTTCGTAAGAAAAGGACGGAGAAGGAACATATTTTGCAGATAAACAATCGACTGCTATTCTGAGAAGATCATTTCAAGCATTTGCATAGAATAATTGAAGCGGAGAAGGATTCAAGCAGCTTTTTTTTTCACAGTTTTTCAACTGAGCCCATGAATTGGAAAAATGCTTTTGTTTCATACCTTGCAAACAGTCGATTTCCTATCAATTCAAAAGTGAAGATCATATTAAGTATCAAGTATGTAGAAGATTACGTCCTAGCAATGTGTGCATAGGAAAGATCATGAACCAGGTTGACTTCATGAGTCAAAAGAGGATTTCAGTAATGGGCTGGAAGATATGCTTCCTGAGAACGATTTGAACGGTGACATCGAATGTCCCTCCATGATCCACTTTAGAACTCGATGGATTCAGGATTTTCGTTACAGCTCTTGCTGTTATGAAAACCAGAAGCCTTTTTCTATTATTTCCTCACCTCACCGTCTTTCCTCAGCAGATGATGCTTGTTCAGGTACCCCAGTGGAGTCCATCTGATCGTATGAACTGGCTTCCCTTTCCCCAGTCCACAAGTGCTGCTGCATTCTCAGGGACATTTCATACAAGATTAAGATGAAGAAATTCAAGAAGTATTAGATCTTTGATATCTTTCTCCATTCTGGAAGATGGGGCTGGTTCTAAAGCAACCACCTTTTAGAAATGAAAAAAATGGCCTAAAAAATAGTCATCTGCTCTCTCTCTCTCTCTCTCTTTCTCTCTCCTTCCCTCTACTTGTTTTCCAGGAATTAATTATTTTTTGGATTATTTATTTCCCCAGAATTTCGCAAACTGAAATGTGGCTTTTTGTTTTCTATTTTCTGGTTATTTTCTGCGCTCCCAGGGACCGGATCTTCTCTGTGCTTGATGACCTTGTGGAGAATTCCAAGAGTGTAGCGAAGGCTGTTTCCATGAGCATTGAAGAGTGGAGGGCGAAGTGAGTGAGCCACAGCTTCACCCCTATGGCTTGGCAATTTGTGCTTATTTCACGAATGGATATATATATATATATATATAGATATATATATATGTGTGTGTGTGTGTAAATGCATGTTATTTTCTGTGATAAATATGCCTCAATTTCTATGATTCGGTAAGGACGTTCTAGGTAGAAGGAAGGTCTTGATTCTTAGTTCCGAATTATTTATCATTTATTTGATAATTTCGGGTAATGCTTTTAATATATATATAAATAAATGCATGTTATTTATTGTGGTAAATATGCCTCAATTTCTATGATTAGGTAAGGGCGTTCTTTGTAGAACCAAGGTCTTTAGTTCCATATTATTTATGATTTTATTCGATAATTTCGGCGAATATTTTTAAAATATTGGATCTATTAGGGGAATTACTGAGAACATGGAAAAATGGCGTCACTGGATTAGCCGACACCCAGTGGTGGGCGGGTGAGGGTACGTGGCTACCACGGAATGCCCGAGCGAGATATCTGAACCCACGAGTTTGGAGGTCGTGGTTGTGCCACGTCATGACCGTAATCTGCCAAGTCATCAGGAACCAAATCCGGCTCCAGATTACAACGCGACTCCCCACCAATGAGGGTACTCCAGGTCGGCCTTCCCATGTCGCCACCACATCCACGGGATCCTGCATTTAGGCCCCTCTCGCCGCCGCTGCCTCCTCCCACCGCCACCTCGCTCCTGCAAATCCTGCTCCCCCCCTCCTCCTCTCTGTTCTCCGGCGCGGCGGCGGGTGTTTCCGGCGAGAGTCGGAGGGACACATGGCTTCTCTCGCGGCGGCGGCTCCCGCCTCCCTGGGCGTGTCGGAGATGCTGGGTAGCCCCCTCAAATTCGCCGGTTCCTCGCGCTCGGCCCCCGCCCCTTCCGGCGGCGCGGCCACCAAGGTCGTCGCCCTCTTCCCCAAGAAGAAGTTCGCCCCGGCGAAGGCCAAGCCCCCCCCCGCGAACGACGAGCTCGCCAAGTGGTACGGCCCTGACCGGAGGATCTTCCTGCCGGAAGGCCTGCTGGACAGGTCCGAGGTGCCCGCCTACCTCAACGGAGAGGTCCCCGGAGAGTAAGTTCCTGATTTCTTTCTCCGGGTTTGTAGTTCCTGGTAGATGATCGATCTTCTGATCTTCTTGTTCTTCCCCGCCGTGCAGCTACGGGTACGATCCCTTCGGTCTGAGCAAGAAGCCGGAGGACTTCGCCAAGTAGGTAGACCTTCCCCAACCTCCGTTAATGGCGGAGGCTGTTCCGTTACCTCCCCTCCTCGTTCTTAACCCCCCGGTCACCGTCTCGTCCAGATACCAGGCATACGAGCTCATCCACGCGCGGTGGGCGATGCTCGGCGCCGCCGGGTTCATCATCCCCGAGGCCTTCAACAAATTCGGCGCCAACTGCGGCCCCGAGGCTGTCTGGTTCAAGGTAGGTGCCCACAAAATGCTCGCATCTCCCCGCCGAGGTTGCTCAATTTTTCGAGGCTGAATCACCATTTTCTTTCTCTCACACACAGACCGGCGCGCTCCTGCTCGACGGGAACACGCTGAACTACTTCGGGAAGAACATCCCCATCAACCTCATCGTCGCCGTCGCGGCCGAAATCGTCCTGGTCGGCGGGGCTGAGTACTACAGAATCATCAACGGACTGGTAAGAACTTCAGAATATCCTTCGACGACGGAGGAGCTTGCTCCTGAGCGTAGAACATGGTCATGACGTGATGGATGCCATTCTCGCCGTGATTTTCTTCAGGATTTGGAGGACAAGCTGCACCCCGGTGGCCCATTCGACCCGCTGGGGCTGGCGAACGACCCGGACCAAGCGGCGCTGCTGAAGGTGAAGGAGATCAAGAATGGACGGCTGGCCATGTTCGCCATGCTGGGCTTCTTCCTGCAGGCCTACGTCACCGGTGAGGGCCCCGTAGAGAACCTCGCCAAGCACCTCAGCGATCCCTTCGGCAACAACCTGCTCACCGTGATCTCTGGCTCCGCCGAGAGAGTCCCCACCCTGTAGTTTCCATGCCTCTGTAAATTTTTCTTACCGCGGACTGGATGCTTCCCTCTCTCCGGCGACGTTATCCTTCTCTCAACACGAGCTATCTGATACGCCCCTCCTCTCGACGACAGCCGTGCCTTCCATCTGCTCGTTCTACAGAGCGAGAGAGATAGAGAGAGAGAGAGAGGCGACCATTGCTGGCGGTGAATTATTGGCCTAGATGGTCCGAGTGACGCAACCCCATTGCAATTGCCTGGAGAATTTACCGATCTGATCAAGTCGTGCACGAAGTCAATATCGAAGTTAGTAATTTCGAGATTATATTTTTCTCATTAATGGGATTAAAAACCCTTTTTTGCTCGTGATCCACTTCACTCATTGCCTAATTTCGTTGTGGTAATCTGTTTCTTAATTTACTTTTTTTCTCTATTAGAGTGATTTTTTTTCTTTTCAGGCCTGATGATAGATGACCGTACATTTTGATCCTTGCGAAGAACTGAAATCATACTATTTTCCATCCAAAATAATTAGCAAATAATTAGGTAGATCTCTTCGTTGATAATATTTATTTGAGTGACTACGATTTTCTCTATTTCTCTCTCCAGAAAATCATACAACTGAGAAATTAGCAGCTATGCGAAGGGTACATGCCAGAAACTAGATCAGCTGAAAAATTGGATCAGCTCCTTGTCGTGATGTGGTGAGAGAAAACTTAAATCCGCCGACCACATTGTGCCACGTGATCATCTGCTAGGTCAATTGGGATTTTTTTATTTAGTAGCTTCGGTGTCCCACCGTTCAGCTGAATTATGACGTCATACGACTTACAATTTGACGGCAAGTTACGATGATTATCATTTCAAGCATTTTCCTACCCTCATTTTTTTAAAAAATAAAAATATTATTTGCTGTTCTGAAAATTTTAAATTGAATTCCCAAGGAAAAGTATAAAAAAACCCTTCTTTTCGCCGGCATCCAAAGATCGGGCTTTTGCCGGGGTGCTCGGAGCTGGGGCCTTTTTCACCGGCGAGAAGAATCTGAAACTCCGAGAAGGACCGACACTCCGCGCGGTAACCCAGTTTGACCTTTCTCGGAGGTAGGCCAGGGGCTCCTCGGCTCGGCGTTTTGTGTCGGACGATACCCATGGACGCAGATGGGCGAGATCGACGCCCGTGGGGGCGGCGGGGAGGAGGGGAGAAGACGGGGGTCCACCAACCCCCGGAACGCCTTTCTCAGGATTCCAAGTTTCCATACCAGACGCGAGATTAAAATGGGGATGCGATTTAATCATTAGTTGCAAGTGCACACAATTCGGAATCCGAAGTCCCCTCTCTCTCTCTCTCCCCCCCTCCCCCCCCATATAAACACACACCGGGTTCTACTAATTGGCTGTAAGAGAGAGCAACAGGACGCTCGACCCGAGGCGAGTGTAGATCCTCAAGAGGATTGTCTGGGCCGAAGATCTTCCCTTGTTCCGATTCCTTGACCCCCCGGATTTCTTTGCCCAATTCTCTCTTCGCAGTTGGCGGGAGGAGTTGGGAAATCGGGTTATGGATGAGAGGATCCCCTCTGCTTCTTACTTTCAGTACTCCCCGTCCGGAATCCATTCATCGCCGCACAATTCTCTGAGGCCTTTATCCGCCTCCTTAGAGAGAGAAAGGTTTGTCATGTTCACACTTGTTGCTTTTCTTACACTGATTTCGCTACGATTTTTGCGGGATCTCAATTATGTTCAGAGATTCTGCGCACTTTTCCTCGAATTATGTGCGCGATTCTCGATGTCGGCATTGTGACTTAGCAGCTATTCATTATTTTGCCATTTCCATTCATTATATTTGTGGTCCTCCTGATTCGTTGAAGTTAGGGGGGACGTCTCTCCGTGAACATTTTCTGCTCAGACTACCGTTGGAACACATGGACTGCGGCGATATTCTTCAGACCCTCTTCTTGATCGGTCCCTGGACACCATCTACTCCATCCATGGTCTTCTAAACCCCTAAAATGGAAGCAATTAAGGGTAGAAAATAAGCGACGAATTGAGATCTTGGGCTACTCCAGTAAGCCTTTCCTTTTTTGTGTAGCAGTTCAGAGGAAGAAGAAGTGCTTATGGGTCCGTTTGCTAACCATTCTTGTGAACCTTTTCTCCAATTCAGTGTCAGACGATCATGTGAAGATTTTTCTCATGCCCGGAAATTGGGCTAGAGAGATTTATCTCCATACTGACTGGCCAACAGGAATAGTGTGGAATGGATGATTCTTTTCTTGGATTGATGCTCGACATTCATTGTGTTTCACCTTTCACTAGTTGATTTTACAAACGTTGTTCCTTCACGACTACCTTTTTCTATCTGTTGTGGATTTCAATAGGATCCATCTTCACATCTCTGTTACAAATCAGTCTTAGTTAATGTTTTTTTTTTCTTTTTGGCGTTCTCTGCTGTACTATATATGCTTATGGTGTCTCACAAGATGGCCTTTATGGTTAGAAAAGAAGCAGCGTGACATGAGTCAGTGGGAGTGGAGGGAGGAGAAGTCATATTTTTGATATTTATCCACTCTCTTTTTGTTTCTGCTGGACTTGCTGATACTGTTGGAGACCTTATTTTTGAATGGTTATTTGGTCATATTTCAGACATTCTTTGTTAACGCTACCTTCGATCCAGTTTTTTATCTGTTAGGGAGATCCCACATTTCACAGATGTTTGTGATCGGCAGCATGTGCATTGTAAATAAAATCATTATTTATTGAATATCTACCAATGGTTTAGTTATTTTACCCTATTTTATGCCAGGAATTTGAGATCAGTTGAGGCTCAAAAGAGGGCTTCCTTGAACATATTTGTTCATCAAGATTTACATTAGATTGAGGTTGTGAAACTTTTCTTGAGTGTTGCACCATATCTCATTATTTATGGTCTTATAGCTGAATCATGGTTAGAGGTTAATATTTCCTTCGTAATATTTTTTGAAAAACTACAGAATCATACTTTTCACCACACATATTAATCATGCAGTATAAACTGAGAAATATTTATTTTTCATGATCTGATCATGCTTATGGTTTAATTGACATGCTGTTCTCTGAGAAATGGTTCTGGAATTTCCTTTCATGAGACATCGGTAGTTGATGAGATTGTTCTGCCTCACATGACAGATACTTGGCTGAACTATTGGCTGAGAGGCAGAAATTGGCACCTTTTATCCAAGTTTTACCATTTTGCAGTAGGCTTTTGAATCTAGGTAGGCAGCTTCTCTGGTTCTTCCTCAGTACTCGGACATTTGTTTTTAGTCGATGTACAAAAGATTCCTTTATTGCTTGAACAGAATGGGAATGAAATAATGTTTTCTTTATATGGTTGATTCTAGCTTTATTTATCTGAAAAGGACTTTTGACACCATTGAAATAATACATCCTTCAATGTAAAATATTCACACCAAATCCAAGAATTTTCTTTTGACAAATGGAGTCTGTTGTCTGTATTCTCCTGTGTTATGACCGGTAGAATTTCTTATGTTGAGTTGATGGAGAAAACACAGCTCACCGTATCCCATGAGTCGAATTAAGAGAATCATACGTATTTAATTATAAGTCTTTTGATCATTGGATCTTTGTGACTCAGGTGTACAAATAAAAGTAGCAAATGACAAGAATGTCTCTTCTAAAAAAAAAACAGTTTTCGATCAATCGCATCGAACAGTTCTAACCGGAATGATCCATTTAAACTACTTGATCAGTCCCCTTATGGTGTCAACCAGTCCCCAGATGAATGGATGCGTCATCGTCCTCTTCTTTTCTCATATCCTCCTTTCTTCCCTCTCAATGATCATTGTTCATCTTTAGTAAGAGGCATTTTTCTGCTATACAATCAGAGGTTCACCTTATATTATTTGGAACCTGTCTGCCTGTAAATTCCCTCAGTTCCCATGATCTATGCTTATGATCTTACAAGGAACTGCGCATAAAATCTGGTATCTTTCTTGTGTTCCTCATGTTTCGAGATGAATATCTGACGTAGTTCAAGCAATCACTTTAAATTTTTCCTTTTTTCGCTTTCTGTGGAAAAAATGGATATTTCTGCCAATTTTATTAACAGATAAATTAGCAGTGCAGCATACATCGAAGAAACAGAGAACTTACCTGGCTAATTACTTATTTATAGACCTATTGTGTTCCCATTGCACAGAAAAAAGTTGGACAAATTGAAACTTCGGACATAGAAAACATATAAGAGAGATCAGATGACAATTTAGATAATATGCTACCGATAGTGATCTACATCATATTTATTTCCGGATCCCTCTCCAACCGTAGGGCAGCCAGTGTGATTTTCATTTTTGTTAGAAAACTTGTAACAGATACATGCAAATGAAGATTTGGAATCTCCCAAAGTATGCATCCTTTCTAAAAAAAAATCCTTCGTCTTGAATTCTCACCAGATTCCGTCACCTTAATTTCAAAATTGTTCTTTCTAACTTGAAAAGGGGATGCCAGATTTTTGGAGAATTATATAAAATTTCTTGCATTTCTTTGATGACTTTCTGTTTTGCGAAATACTTCAGAGATTCTTCGGGTATCTGGTTTGGCTTCTAATCAAAGTTTGGATCCGGAAAGAATTGAGCATGGAAGCCCATCAAGGTTCTCGGGTCATCATTCGAATGGTGGACCGATGGATTTGGAGGTTTGGTCTGGAATGCAAACAGAGGTAAAACAATAGTAATCATAACTTCCAGTGATTTTCTGACACGATTTCTGATGTATTATCTCTGATTGTGCATTAAATAATGCATGTCATCTTATTTTAACTGACTTTTCCGCTGACAGTGTGATTTTTTATTTTTATTTTTTCTGATGGGATTGCCTTCAACCGAGATGTTTGTATTCAGAGGTGTGGATTGGAGGGGACATTTATCTTTATGACTGGGATATATTCATCAACGCTGAGTGATGACGGATGATCTACAGCCATCAGTTGCCAGAAACAAAAATGTCGACATCCTCCCCCCCCCTCCCCCCCCCCAAAAAAAAAACCCATTTTTTAAAATGCTAACAAAATTTTCTGGCGCTAAAGCTCGGTAAATAGATGCTCTAGCGCAAATTCCTACCATGCGAACAGTTCTTCTGTCGCATTCGTGGGCTGATCTAGGATAACTAAATTGAAAACATCTGAATGAGAAACACACCAGGAAATGGTACTGATCAATACAAAACTAAGTCTTTCATGGTGATCATTATCCTCAATCATTTTAGGCACTCAAAGATCGTAATTTTTCGCAGAAGGTGCAAGCATCCCCTTGAAAAATAGATATATATATATTTTTTCACACGTTTGGGTCGAAACCTTATCTGTGACTAAAAGCCATCTTTGGCTGTATAGTCAAAATGCTGCGTAATTAATCTTTTTTTCTTCTTTAGGATAATGGCGGTTTTCAGAGAATGGGGGCCTTGCAGACTTCTTCAATGGGCTGGCATGGAAATTCCAGCCTTCCTACCACTTCTGTAGTAAAAAAGGTTGTGAGACTCGATGTCCCAGTCGACAAGTTTCCGAATGTATGTATAATAATATCTTGTGAATTGATATTACATGCACATCTTGATTCTTCTTCTTCTTCTTCTTCTTCTTCTTCTTCTTCTTCTTCATATGGTTAAACCATGCTTGAGTTTGGTGCTCCAGTACAACTTTGTCGGGAGGCTGCTAGGACCACGCGGCAATTCTCTGAAGAGGGTCGAAGCTACAACGCAATGCAGAGTCTATATACGTGGCCGTGGTTCAGTAAAAGATTCTGTGAAGGTCACTGGCTCTCTCTTTCTCTTTTCCATTTTCCCTCGTCCAAATGATCATGGAAGCTTTCTGCGATATGCGCAAATTAATTATAAAAATAATTTTTCTCCCAGGAGAAAACTCTTTCTTTTAGCTGTAGGTCGAGTTATTGATCAGTTGCTGTGTGCGAAATCTCTGTTGTTGACTCAGGAAGAACAATTGAGAGAGAAGCCCGGCTATGAACATCTCAATGAGCCGCTGCACGTGCTAGTCGAGGCTGAATTTCCGGCAGAAGTGATCGATGCCCAATTGAATCAGGCGATATCCATCTTAGAAGACCTATTGAAGCCCGTGGTATGGCCATTGGTCCTCTCCCTGTCCTCCCCTCCCCCCACTCTCCCCCGGCCCGCCGTCGACATTACTGAAGGTGGATATCATGCTTTCTTGCTGTCAGGACGAGTCCCTAGACTACTACAAGAAGCAGCAATTGAGGGAGCTGGCCCTGCTGAATGGGACTCTAAGGGAGGACAGCCCTCATAGAAGCCCCAGCGCTTCTCCGTTTAGTGGGGCGGCAATGAAGCGGGCGAAGACAGGGCGGTGACACATTCTCCGGCAAAGACAGGACGAGGTTCTTGCGGTCCAGCTTGCTGCTGCACACCCCCCCCCGCGGCCCTGTCCTCTGTGACTCTCAGAAACGTAGGATCTTCAGGTGGGTCGTAATTTTATAATATTTGCCAGAATCTTTCGTTCGTCATTCAAGCCCTTAACCGGTCCAAGATTCTTTCTTTGTGAAAAAAAAAGGGAATAAAACAAGAAATATGGGGATTCCCTCCCAGTCTGTCCTCTCTCCGTCAGTTGTTTAAATCCTGTTGCTGTAACTGGGATGCCAAAGCCTTTAGTTCTTGTGCGTTTGAAAAAGGGGGCATTTTTCTCTCATTCGACCACAATTGCTCTCTAATTCTGTAACCTGAGTGCGTTACTATCTCAAAAATGGTGCTAAATATATTGAAAAATTGTTTGATTTGCTCCTTCATCTTTGATCCCATGCTTAAATCTGGGCCCAGCCCAGATCGAGCCCATGCTTAAATCTCAAAAATGGTACTAAAAATAGTAGCCTTTTGTCTTTTTCTTGGCAAAAGGATTGAATCGTTTTGATGGAAGGATCTGAAATTTACGCATGTGAGAGAATTTCTAGTTAGATATAGACAAATATCGTATGGCTCGATCTGAATTCAATCACGTGTACCAACCATCACATGTATATGGGCCCAGTCTCACATGGCCTAGTCAATTTAGTTGCCCTTTTTTGGCGATGAACATGTTAAAAGGACATAGCTTTTAGATGAAATAGAATAGACTTCTAGTAAATGGTTAAAAAACCGAGAAAAACCTATTCCTAAAAGGAGGTCTAATTTATCGTAGCTAAATATTAATAAACCCATAACTACAATGATTGGAACAGATTACTCGTAATATCTTTATTAAGAGTACGCTGGTCCATTGCCATCAATTTAATATTATAATTCAAAAAATGACTCGTTTTATGTTATCCATGTGATAAAAGGCTGTTAAGTTATGCTTGAGGGGGAGTTGGTCTGACAAAATTTGGATGACCGACCAGCTTGCTACTCTCTAAATGGATCCCATGGACTGATGATATCTAAACAGGAAAGAAGCTCGGAACATGTTTTCTCGTCACATTAAATAGATCCATGTGGCCGCTCATCTCTCTCTCTCTCTCCCTCTCTCCCATATTATATCCTGGATATTCAGATATAAACAATGGAATAGGTCCTGTATGGTTCTAGGGTAGTCAGTTTCATAGGAGCTCTCTAGGGTAGTCAGTTTCCTTCTCGATTTATCTCTGACCTTAGGCTGAAACTCAGCATTGTGTAAAACCATCATGAATGGGGCGAGCAAAAATAGTAATTTTAGTTTTTAAAAAATAATAAAATAATGTCTTGTACTATGGTCTTGTAGTTTATTCAAGCAAGAAGCTAATTCGAAGAAATAATCGGGCGGGACTGAGCTGATCATGCCCACAGTGTTGTCCTCCTCAGAGAATCAGTCCTGCCAATCTCTGAGCATCCCACTTGCTCTGGACTGGATCAGACAGCGAGCAGCTTGTTGCACCACAACCTATTTCTCTCTCTAGAAACGGGGACCTTATCTACATGTAGCTCGTCGTCGATACCATCTTCCTCCTCCCCCTTCCCCACGTCAGAGCTGCCTGAACCAGAAGAACCGGTGATCGGGGAGCGCGTGCGGAGCACCAGCTTCCGTTCCCGCCGGGGGCCAAATGAGGACAACCGTCCGCGCCGGTCCGAATACGACAGCCTCTGGTACTCTCCAAGACAGGACCCTTGCCTCTTCTTATCTCCCTCTCCACATATTGGAGCAGTAACGACAGCGGAGACGGGCCGGCTTGCACGAGGGCTGACACCATAGCTGCTCCAGGGTACGACGGCGGGAAGGACGGCACGTGATGGTGAGGGAAAAGAGAAGGTCTTCCTCCGAATCCTTCTCCCTACTGGCCGGCGGGTGTTTCGCCGGGGAATTAATTCGGGCAGGTTCCTCCTTTGTTGGGTTAACCATCCCTTGCCAGCTGGGACAGGAGGACAGAGTTAATGAATCGACTAAAATATTAAAAAGAGTGTACAGTCTAATCAATTTGTGCGATTTCTTCGTTAATCCTGAATTACTTCTGGATTAGGATGCTCTTTGACGTTGCCAAGGAGAAAATATATTACTATGATCAGATAGATACATGAGCTCCATTCGGACTGACGTACACAGTTTACTAAGAGCAGAAAGCGTTACGGCGGACGACTCGAACGGGGAGGCCGCCGGCGAGGGAGGCGGTCAAGCCCGGGGAGAACTTGGGCGAGCGGCCGCGGTGGAGGGGGTCGAGCCGGAAGCCCCGGAGGACGGAGGCGACGACGCACTTCATCTCCATGAGGGCTATCTCCTTGCCGAGGCAGCCCCTCATGCCGGCCTGGAAAACGGGATACTTGTAGGGGTTCTGTGGCGAGAAGGATCCATCCGCTGCAAGCCACCGCTCCGGCTTGAATTCCATGCAGTCGGCTCCCCAGGCGTCCTCCATTCTCCCCATGGCGTAGGCGTGGTAGGTGACCCTCGTGCCCTTCCGCACGAACGTCCCGTCGGGGAGCACGTCGTCGTTGACGGCGAACTTGGAGTCGAACTGCACCGGCGGGTAGAGACGCATGCTCTCGTACAGCGCCGCATGGAGATAGTGCATATCCCAGAGGTGGTCGTAGGTGGGGACGCTATCCCCGTTCCCGTGGCCCATCACGCGGTGCGTCTCCTCCACTATGGCCCGATCCACCGCCGGGTACTTGTCCAGGAGGAGGAAGAAGCTGGTGAGGGCGGAGGAGACGGTGTCGCGGCCCGCCAGGAGGAAGCTGACGATGATGTCGCGGAGGTAGCTCTCGTCGTCGACCGAGCCCATGAACCTGGAAAGGAGGTCCTCGCCGGAGAGGAACCCTATCTTCCTCCTCTGCCTGATGACCTCCTTGGCGAGAACGTCGATCAGCCTGATGCACCGCCTGAGCTCCTTCTCGGAACCAAGGTTGAGCAGCCGCTTGAGCCTCCACACGCCGGGGTAGGTGGCGGCAGCGCGGCTGGCGGAGATGCTGGATGCCCTGTCGAAGGCGGTGGCGAACTCGGAGATAGGGAGGGAGAGGTCGAGGCAGGCGGGGTCCAGCCCGAAGGAGATCCGGCATATACAGTCGAAGGAGAACCGGCGAAAGATGTCCTGGATGTCGAGGGCGCCGTCGCCGGAGACGGAGGCCAGCAAGGGGAGCAGTCGGTGGCGCACCTCGCCGGAGACGATCTGGATGGCGTAGGACCTCATGGAGACGCTCCCCAGCTCCATGAGGGCCATCTTACGCTGGAAGACCCAGTGCGCCCCGTCCACGTTGAAGATGCCCTTGCCGAGGAAATCGCCTAGGATGGAGGAGAAGGGCTTCCCCTTGGGGTAGTTGTCGAAGCGGCCGCTCAGCATGTGCTCGACGTTGGCCGGGTTGGCCGTGATGGTGTTGCCGAGCACGTGGACGTGGATAGTGTGGGTCGAGGAGCGGCGGAGTAGCTGCGTGTACCAGTCGCAGAGGTTGTCGAACTCGGCGGCCCACCCGGCAGTCGCATACTTGTGGCACACGTCACATCTGCACCATAGCCGCCGCCGCAACCACCAGCGCTTCATCAGGAGCGAAAGCCCCCCGACGAGCAGCATCGCCGTGGAGAAGAAGACGGGAACGAGGATCTGGAAAGCCTGAGGCCACCCCTGGCTTTCGCCACCGACAACTCCTCCTCCCATCTCCATACCTCCCCACACCGGCGGAGGTGCGCCTCCCTCTCTAATTTTTATCAAGTGGGGAAGACCGTCGCTTTCTGTCTGTCTGCCTCTCCACAACCTCTCCCACCCCCCGCCCCTCTCTCTCTGTCTCTCTCTCACTCACTATCTATCTATATATCTATCCTCTCTCTCCCTATCTGTATATCTATCCCTCTCTCTCTCTCTCTCTCTCTCTCTCTCTCTCTCTCTCTCTCTCTCTCTCTCTCTCTCTCTCTCTCTCTCTCTCTCTCTCTCTATCTATATATCTATCCCTCTCTTTTTCTCTCACGGTCTTTTAGGCACTGTCTCTTGCACGTGAAGAACGAGGGCTGCCGACATTACACGTGTCGCAACGGAAACGCGGATGCCGCAGCAGACTGACGTCATGGCTTAGGTCTCTTCCTCGCAGCTCACATGGATCAATTACGCCCCTACTCCACCACCGAGCCAGTCATGACTCCCCTGTCGGGAATGATGTTTACTTCGACGATCTCCCACATGGAGAGTTGCGACTGATAAGGAAATCTCAGTCATGGCAAGGTATGACTGAGATTAGGCGGCAGTGGAAACAACTGAGATTTGCGAGTTTTGGTACTTCCAGGGAATAGCAACCCGGCTCCATGATTAAGCGAGCTGTGCCTTTCTCGCAAAAGGAACTAAGACTTTGAGTGCGGCCCCGCCTGGCCTGGGGCACTCATCTGAGCTCGAGCTTCCGAATGAAGTCCGTGAGCAGAATTGACCGACAACCCCCAGCCTCCCCGGTCGCTATCGGGTCCCGGATTCCGTACGGGCCAGACAAGGAGTCAGCTCCCCGGGTTCTTTCGTCGGGATCATACGAAAGGACGGGCAGGGGAAGGGGGGGGGTGTACCTGGTCTACGCGGATAATAACATAAGAAGCGCCATGAAAACCCAGACTTACCTCAGATGTTCTTCCTCGCGGTGTGAAAAGAGAGCAACACTTCGAGAGAGCCTTCCTGTCAGAAGAGGGGAAACCCAGAAATGGAGGTGAGTCCAAAGGGTGGGGTGAGGTGGAGGTCCAGCGAGCGGCAGTCAGATGCTGTCTTTCAATTTGTACACAGAGAAGATGCCTTCTTATGCTTGGAAACGGGGCGGGGTGGTTCCGCCCTTGGAAGCTAACCATAGCCGGGACTGACACGGGGGCGTCTTCTTCAGGAAGATGGGTTGGACTTCATCTCGTAGCCGAGCTGGAGGGCGGTCTGATCCTGGTGGGTCGGGTAGTGCTGGGAGGGATCGAACATCTGCAGGGGGTGGTAGTAGCTCCGCGGGTCGAAGCTGGGGAGCCCATCGAACTCCGGCCCGGGTTGAACCAGCTGATGGGTGCGCTCGCTCTCCGCTAGCTGAAAACACAAATCCGAACAGAGAAGATTACTCTCTTGCTAGAGGGAACATAAATCTCCATTCATTATCTATGCCCCACAATCTCTCTCTCTCTCTCTCGTCCTCTCCCCAGCAGATAATGGCGCACGAGGCCGTATACGAGTAAATGGAAGCGATGGGTGGCTGTGGAATTTCTACTATAATGCTAATTTCAGGTAGATAGGGAGCTCAAGTGATGGCTGACCTTGGATCTGAGGAACATACTTTCGTTCTCCAGCTCCAACTCCTGCACGGGAGAAGAAATCGTTCGGTGGGAGCTAAGCTCGACAAAGAAACGCATGATTAGAGGAAGGGTGGGGATCGGTTTATTACCCTTTTCTGCATGTACTCAATCTCAGCAAATAACAGCTCTTGCTGTTGACAGAACAGAAGATGTCAGCCACTGGAAAAAACGCTGGTTTGAGCGAGCGAGAGAGGGAGAGAGAGAGAGAGAGAGGAACCTTCTTGGATCTAACGCGGGCGATTCCTCGTTCCAGTCTATTTTCGAGCTGCTTGAGCTCCTTCACGTTGAGAGAATCCAGGTGCTCGCCCATCAGGTGCCTGTTCACAGTGAGAGGAGACGAGGGTGAGAATACAGAAAGACGACCTCCAAATTTCAAGAAGATCACTTTTCGGCGCATGTGCATGGGCGTCCCCTCCAGTCCACGCGTCGCCGCAGCTTCTTTCAATCTCACGGTGAATGATAAAAGGTGGAATCCTGAAACAGGGTCACCTGTTTGAGTTCTGCAGCATCTGTATCTGTTGCCGTAGCTTGCCTGCTTCCTGCTGGTAGTGTTGCTGCAGCGAGATCAAAGGCAGCGTATCAGACTGCATCAAGCCAAGGTTTCATTGAAGGCCAACTAAATTTCTGTCTTTTGATAGAATTCCAAGACGCCCATGAATGGATTTGGTGTTATATAAATATATATGCACACACACACACACACACACACACACACACACACACAAATATAAATGCGTGTGCGCGCGCGTCATATTCCAAGCAAACGAGTATTTTCAGAACTGGGAAATCAAGGGTGCAGTCGATCTTCAGCAGCTGAACGAGGAGAGCTGCAGCTCCAAATTTCTCACATCTTCAGCATCGTGACGCGAGTGCAGTACCTTCCACCAGGCAATTAATAGATAAAATGATGTAGAATATGTGCCAATTATTAGCTACCCATAACTGTTCTGCCTCAAATATCCGTACTGTTTTTCTGTGAGACATCCATTTCCGGTTGTAAACGAAGTTATCAAAGAAGTGACCAACAAAAGGAAATGTGGGCAATTGCTTACCTGAGTTTTCACCTCGGTTATAGCCCCAGGGTTTGAGGCAGAATGAGACTTCTTGTATCGGTCAATTGTTGTATAAATGCTGGAAAAGTTATCACAATACAAGATCACAGTGGATTAAAAATGTTTGTCCAAGGTGAACTAGAGATTTGGAATTTAATATAATACCATACTCAAAATAATAAAAAATGGAAACACGGCACCGACTGGCATGATAAACGATCATGCCTATTTAAGTAAGACGCTTGGAGCATCTCTCAAGAACCACGAACAGGTGCAAAGCAGCTTGTCAAGGGGATTCGATTTTTATTATTTATCGAAAGAAAAACCTCTTGAGTTGAAATTAATGGATAGGGTGTGATGTGATTGATTGCACATAAAAATAGAAAATTAACAGTTGCCCATAATTCCTTGAATATAGTCGTAATAATTTTCAGTGATAGTGCTTCTGCATTGTTTTTGTTTGATGTGGGTATTTGTGCCAGAACGATACATAGTAATTACTATCCAGCAAACTAAGTCACATGGATTAGATAAACATTTGATACAAAAACTGATTTCATGATATAAACAGTATTATATATGAAATATGCATACAATCACTCGAAAGTACCTGAATGTATCACTTGAATTTTCGGTAGTGACATCCATATCATTGACCAGAGTATTTGAATGTTTGAAAAAATAGGATAAGCTATATTTAATGTAAAAAATGTACTCGTTTTTATCCTGGCGATATAAAATATCTATTTGAGATGAAGAAACTAGAAATTTCCATGTGCCTAGGTAGTTTCATCATTAGATTGGTTTTAGACGAATGTTTTACCTAGCTTATGTGTGCTTCTATTATTTACAAGACATAGTAATTCCAATCTACTAAAATTACGTCCACTTTCATCAAGTACACAATCCTTAATGAGGTCATTTTGACATTGATCAAGTATATAAGGAATGGTCAGTCATAGACAGGCTACATATCATTTTTTAGGCCATGGCCATGATATTTTAAATATTATGCCATCACTACGTTCGAATATTTATTGTTCTAGAGGCGGTAAAAAAGAAATGAAGAGAAAAAGGAAGAAGTTAGGTGCATGTGGCTATACCTTTTGGTTCACTTTTGTTGACTTAACGGAAAACTGTATCGTTTAAATAAATGGGAAGTAGAACAAAATATGAGATTGCCTCTCCATAGGGTGCTAGCATCTAATATGCAGAAATCTTTCTCTACATAAATCACTCCGGAATGGGATATTTTCTCAAAACATGCAAGATGATTTCAACAAAACCATATTGATCGCCTCATAAAGGGAAAAAGGGATTTGACCCCTCCCTTTCGGCACTCACTAGTCTTGCAAGAAAACTTCAGGGGAATTATATTATCGTGATTCTTCAAATTGGAGCGACACAGTTTCAAACATGCGGGGAGCTAGAACAATACAAATAAAGTTCTGTGAACAACTCTAGAAATAATCCAAGTTAACTGCAGGCCATTCATATTGATTGAAATTCGATGTGAATCCCTTGAAGGCATAAAAAGAACATTGATTGTCTCCTACTTCCCCTTGAATAGAAAGTGGAGTGATTATATCCTAGTAAGTCTTTCTTATCTTGATGAAATCCTGAAGTCCTATTGAGTAGTATCTGCAATGTTAGATGAACTACGTATTAACGAATCAAAGGTGCTGGACTTTATGATAATTCATACACTGGCGAATCTGTTGAAGCTTATTCACCGGAAAGGAGTATTCATCCAACATAATATAGTTCTTCTCATGTTAGGGATAACCATGGTTGAAGGAACATCTAGTATATGGGATCATGCCCCGTGGCTTACTTATCATCTACAACTCATGCTTTTGACTTCAACAACCATTCACCAAAGAAATATCTATTCTCAAACAAGGGTCCTAAAAATCCAACATGGTTTAATACCCCTGCGTATGAAAGCAAGTTCCACGTTCAGTTCACTCAGATCTCTACTTCTCAAAACACAGAGAACTTTAAAGCCTACTCCTTCCATGGCGTCTTGTCGCTTGTTCGTCAGCATTGAGTTGATCTCCTCCGATGACATGCTAGCGTCCCTGTACTCTTCATCCGTGGCCTTTACATTGACTAATGATCATTCCAAGTGCTTCCCATGAGAGAAATATATGCATACCAGACATCAAATCCGTATTCGTGCCGTCATCTATCGTTTATTTCCTTCAAAAGGTCAGAACAATAACTGGTGTTCGAAACTCCACAAAGTACCTCATTCGAATTTCGAATTCTGGTGTAATAATATATATGCATACTATTCTCCTGCTCATAATGAATGCCTTATGCTGTCGTTTCTTTTCTACGTCTCAGTCACAACCCATGTCACTTCGAGACATCAAAGATGAGACCGTATCACGTCCACGTCGGATCAAGATACTATTTTATCTTGTTTGCTTATCATAGATAGATTCGAACAATCAGGAAACAACCTCCTTGCATTGATTAACGCTTCTCCACTAAAAGCTAATTGGCAATATTCCTGCACATTGACCTCAGTTTTTAAGACGGCGTCCTCCACTAAAACTGCAACTTAATATAAATCTTTCGTGTCATTTCGACAATTAAATGTGTTTACTTTAATGAGGCAAGGAAACTGCCGCTTCTATTAATAGTCACCTCGGAGCGACATCACTGGCGAAGAAAATTTGCAAGGGCTCAAACACCATGTTCAGGTGTGAGGCGGCAGTCGTATTAAAAATAAGCATACATCCATCGCCGATGCCATTCAGAGGATCGCCTCCTCCAACTCAACCACTAGAACACCATGGTTTTAGCGAGAAGACGTGCATGGGGGCGCGGGAAAATAAATGGGATGGCGGGCCATCACCGAAGTGGAAACTTTCTGCGGTGACACCCGGTTTCCTTCGCCGTGTAAGGAGTATGTGGAGGGATGGGCCATCTAGGGCAGCAGCCTGAACACGTAGTGCGGGTGGAAAACCCTAGAAACTCTGTGAAAGGCGTAGTCTGAGGACATTCAAGGAGAGGACGATGCATCGAATGCCATCTGAGTTGCAAAACGGAGGACAAGGCAGAAGGAATGATGGGTGGAGGGGAAGGCGAATGGATTGAATGAACTGAGCCGTCAAAATGACGACATTGCTCTGAGTAGGGAGTAATTATGTTGATGAAGCTATTGCATAGATCGTGCAAGGATTTGGCAATAGGCCGTACAGAGTTTACAATACAACAGGATGTAAAACCATCTTATCTCAAGGAGAGACGATGACAATGGAAGAAAGGAGGAGCATTGCTGAAACTCTGAAGGTGCCTTCACAAAGGAAGATGTGACCGATAGCATTGGAAGGGAAACGGCAAAGAGGAAGGAAGAGAAAGAAGTAAAAGCTGATGTCTGCGGGGCCGTAAATCCCTATGTTCTCTGCAACTTCTACCACAAGATATCAGTGCAAGAAGCTAGAGATCTAGAGATCTAGTGATTAACTGGGGCCTCGTGGGAGTTACAGTGCCTATCATCACCCTCGTCATCACAAGAGCTCTCCTAATAACTGTGTTTTTCCCGTAGACCTCTGAGTTGATCTGAGGAGAAGCTGAAGGCTGAAAAAGACCGAAAAGTACTAACAACTAAAGAAAACGAAGAGATGGGAGGATCATCGATCCAGTCTACATTCTTCGGAGATGTATCATCAAGCCCCTTCAGTCTGTTCCTCCTTACCGTTCAGATCGGCTTAAAATCGGAAGAAAAATTTGAAGGTCTACCAATGCTAAACCTAAAACCCTATAATCAGAGGAGCAGATGAGTTCGATTCTGAAGAATTTCAGATACAACCTCGATTCGTAGAAATAATTAATGGATGAAACAGTAGAAAAATGATGTGTGATGAGTGCAGATAAGAAAACAGACAAATAAACCAATTAGGAAATATTTCAGAATGTAAGATCTGATGCAGAAACAGTAAGGGTTCATCATAGAGGGAGATTGGTCTCACTTGCCGCAGGAAGAGTACTCATAGAGTCGCCCCCGGCTGGAGAAGACTATCAGAGCGATCTCGGCTTCACAGAGAATGGACAGCTCGTAGGCCTTCTTCATCAGCCCGTTCCTCCGCTTGCAGAAGGTAACCTGGCGGTTGGTGGTGTTCTCGATCCTCTTGATCTCTATTTTTCCCCGCCCCATATTGCTTGCAAATACTTCTTTACCCTCTTTCCTCCTCTTTCTTCAGCTACTGTGAAAAATAATGAGAACAAGAACAAAGAAATCGTCAGTAAGAGGGACGAATTACGTCTCAGAGTGTCCATTCTTGGTGGAAGATGGAAGAAGATGACTTTCACAAGCTCCTATGAACCTGGAAGACCTCTCACAAGGAATTTGCTTTTTGCGAGGTGCAAGAAAATGGGATTATTCTGAGCAATAAGAAACCCCTCTCCTGTCTACCTTTCTCTACCTACATCTCCCCCTCCCGCTCTATCTTCGTATTTACTCCGATAAAAAAACAAGAACATGATGGGATGTAGTTGGATAATGGAAATTTCAGGCGCAGAGAGAGAGAGAGAGAGAGAGAGAGAGAGAGAGAGAGAGAGAGAGAGAGAGAGAGAGAGAGAGAGAGAGAGAGAGAGAGAGAGAGAGAGAGAGAGAGAGAGGGAGAGAGGGAGGGAGGGGGAGAGAGAGAGAGAGAGAGAGAGAGAGAGAGAGAGAGAGAGAGAGAGAGGGAGGGGGAGAGGGAGAGAGAGAGAGAGCAAATCACAGCGATATTAAGAAGATAAATGTAGAGGATGGGAACCAAGAAAAGACTTCTCAACGCATTACGTAGCATCCTAGGCTCCCTATGATCACTGTGAAAGATGTTCGAAGGCAAGACAAACGAAAGATACTCAGAGGAGAATGATCTTTACAGCTCGACTATGCTGGTGATCATCGTGACGCTCCGTTGTGAGACTAGCGCTATCGGACATATCTCTCCGGGATCCAAACAGGAGCTGGAAATTTTAGAGTAGAAAGTATAACAAGAAGAATGATCCAAAAAATGTGTTAAGATCATTACAGAAAGAGACTGGCTGACGGTAAAAAACAGTGAGCCCAGGGATAAAGATGGGAGATCGATCTCATCTAAGGCATCAATTCACTACTCCAATATCTTAAAGTGCTATAAGGGATTGGAGTTTCTCGACGAACCCTATCTCTAATAGGTCAAAAAAAAAAAAAACAAGAAACGGGGAGAAAAATCGATCGGCTGGAGAATTAAGCTCGCCATCCGCTCGCTTATGATGCTAGCTATCTCAGATTGAACACTAGAAAACCTAGCTGAGATGCCGAAAAAAAAACTTAGACAGAAACAAAGAGGAAGAGCAGAAAAGCCGTTCAGATCTGCGGTCCGAGGTTAAAAACGAGGAACCCCGTAAACAGAGAAATAGAACTAGCAGTAGCGGCAGACTTGCCTTCCGAAGACGGAAACCTATCGAGAGTGAGAGAGATAGGAAGAACGAGAAGACCAAAAGGAAAGCGAGAGAGAGAGAGAGAGAGAGAGAGAGAGAGAGAGAGAGAGAGAGAGAGACAGACAGACAGACAGAGAGAGAGAGAGAGAGAGAGAGAGAGAGAGAGGAATGATCGAAATCGATAACTATTGCTTAGAAGCTCCTTCGCCGGAGAGGTGTATCCTGAAATGGACGTTTTCCGGGTTCACCTTCCTCTTCCCCGAACAGGAGACCACTCAGCAGACACCGGGAAGCTCCGCTTTGCTAATTCCCATGAAAGATGAGCTGAGATCACTCTCCCTCTCTCTTTCTCCCTCTCTCAGAGCCCCCTTCTACCCTTCCTTCTTTCTGCTACTCTGGTATGATCATATATATTTATAGCTGCATGGGGATGGCATGTGGGATGTCCCCAAAGGAAATCATCACCCCGGCCCTTCCGCTGTCCGCCGGCGCATATTTACCCTTACAGACACTTCTCTCCTCCCGGCCCCCATCTCTCCTCCCTCTTCTTCCTCTTCTCCGCCGGAGTCAGATACTTCTACGACAACCGCAGGAACATCTGACTCGGCCTTCTTCTGGGAGCTCTGCACTGGGCCCATTGGGCCTCCACCAACGGCCTGATACTATGTACGTCCTCAGACATATTAATTATGCCATGATTACCACCATCTTGGAGAACTAATCCAATTTGGACTGTTTAGGAAAAACCCAGAAAAACAATTACTTAATTTTCTGCTCCTGGAGAAGTAGAGCTTGCTACAGCTTGCGCATTGAGCGTTTTTTGGGCGCGAAAAGCTTGACAAGACCTCCACTGATGAACTCGACCTCTGTAAGAGGAAATTTTTTAGAGAGAGAAAGAGAGAGGAGGGGGGGGGGAGAGGGAGGCAGGAGAGAGAGTAAAGAACTGAGACTCGGCCGAGGAATGGTGGTGGTGGTGGAGCTTGAAAGCCGCTTTTGACTGGAGATTTGAAGGATCGGCATCGATCGGACGATCTAAAGGAGTACTTTGGCCGGATGAAGAGGTAAAGTGGGACTCAGAGGTACTTCGATCGTACCAAAAACAGAGTGCCGGGGCGGCGAACCAGACCGGTAGAGGGAAGAGGTCGACGGCGAGGTGGCGGAGCTTGCAGCAGTTCGTCTCTCTCTGCTGAGGCGCAGAGAGAGAGAGAGAGAGGTTGGATTTTTGGAGCGGAGGGGCACGTGAAATCTGCCCACAATTACTGCCATGGGGTCCGTTTATGGGAAACCTTGTCGCAGAGGAGCGGGGTCGCTCTCCTCTTCCCATTTCCGTGATACGTGGGGGATTCCGCTCTCCCTCGCTTTCTCCCTCCCCGCACGGCGTCGACATGCCCGTTAGGGTTTGCTTCTTCGACCCTCCCAGTCTCTCTCTCTCTCTATCTCTCTCTCTCTCTCTCTCTCTCTCTCTCTCTCTCTCTCTCTCTCTCTTTCTATCAATCCATCTATCTATCTCTCTGTATATCTATCTCGTGTGAAGGTTAAGCGGATCGCTGGAAAGCGAAGGGGGACAGGGAGACGGCGGTTCATCTCGTCCTGTGCTTCGCCACCTCCGCGTTCACAGCCGAAGGAGCGGCGAGCTAACTCGTCCCTCCTTAGGCAAAAAGAAACGACAGAAGATCTTCCCAGCTCCGAGAGAGAAAAAGAGAAAGCTGGTCGTCTTTATTCGCCTTTCACCTTCACGGGGAAACCTTGTGCCGACTGAGCATCAGAGGGCCGAGACCCTGCTTGACCATTTTCGTAGAAGCTCACTCGGAACGTCGTCCTCCTAGAATCCCCTCCGACCCCGCGACCTGACGTTCTTGCCGATTCTGCCTCGGCAGCCCGTTTGACCCTCCGAGAGCTTGATCCTTCTTCTACCCATGAGAGTGTCCCTTGCTTCTCTGATGCTCCGGCGACGTATTTATTTGGCATTTCCGATGATGCCTCTCCTCCAACTTTGCCGGCGATCCAGGTGGTCGGAGATCACCTCTCTCTCTCTCTCTCTCTCTCTCTCTCTCTCTCTCTCTCTTTCTCTCCGCGACTCGCATGGAAGAGGAGCTTAGAGAACAATAATGATATCATCTTCTTCTATGGGCAGAAGAATCCCATGGCGCAGAGGATCCACGTCCCCATCTCACTAACCACATGCGTGCACGGTGGAGCTGTCAAGGGACAAGCTGCCCCTCCGTCTCCGTCGCAGGCGAGGACCACAGGCCCACCGCCGTCCCGCTCCGCCCTTCGCCGGAAACAGCAAGCTTTCCCTCTGTTGCACCGCCTCCCCTTAAATGGAACCATTTCCCGATGTGTCACCTAGACTCTCAGGCGTGTCACCAGGTCCCCCCTCCGCACCACCAGCCACCTTCCCCTTCCTCTCCCACATCCGGCCTCAGTGGGGGCGCCCTCGTTAATGGCTCTCTGCAACCGCTGCTCCAAAAACCTACTGCTTCTCCCCGCAAGCTCCTCGCCACAGGCAAACAGTCCAGCGAGGCCTCCACTCCCTCTCTCTCTCTCTCTCTCTCTCTCTCGGTGGCGTGCTCCGCCGAGGAAACTCACCTCCTCCCAGATGAAACACAGCAAGACGGTCGTCTTCTCTCCTCCACCTTGATTAAGACGGCGAAACCCAGGCCGGAGGGGTCTCCCCCGTCGCTCTCAAGAGCGGTCTCGTATCGAATAAATGTGATTAGCATACGCCATCAGCTTCCGGTGGAGCCTTCCTTCTCCGGCGCGATAACCACCCCACTCTTCTTCTCTTTTCTGTAACCGGCCATCATGGGGGTTGCAGAGCCGGCCCACCCTGCAGCAGCTGGACGAGAAACCCTGCCACCTGCCGCCGCTGCATGGTCGCTCCTTCTTCCCTGATTCGTCCAGAGCGGATTTCCTCTCTATGCCGGCTATCTCGGCGTATTACCTCGTCCCTACTTATTTATTGGTCCACATGCCGGTAGCCGCCGCCGCTTCCTCCCGGCGGCTTTCATTTGAAGGATGAGTAGATAGATAGATAGATAGATAGCGAGAGAGAGAGAGAGAGAGAGAGAGAGAGAGAGTGGAAAAAGTTCTAGGTATTTTGATTTTGAGAACAATATTAATTCTAAAGGCATTTTTATAAAGTCAACTAGTTATCCAAATCCTCACAGCTGATAAGCTAATGATGTAAACGTGAAAGAGGGGCGGAGTAGCAAACGTGATCAACTCAAAGCAATCTCGAAGAACGAACCATGACCATTATCATCCACGTGGAAAACCATTAAAGATCCACATCGTAAAAGGTCCTCCCTACCAGGCCTTTGGACTAGGGAAAATCAGGCCATGGAAACCCAAACACAGCAGGCCACACAGAGGGGAGAGAAGGGGTGAGAGAGAGATCACTTGAAGCATTTGGCGTCCAACAAGGCCTCACCCTCGAACGGCTCCTGATCCTCGATCATGGTGTTGACCCGCTCCTTCTGGTCTTCGTCGGTGATGTCCACCTTGGTCCACTCGTACAGCTCCATGTCGTAGCACTCGTCGATCACGAACTGCGGGATCTCCTGGCCGCGGAAGAGCCACAGCCCCTTCACCTTGAACGGCGGCGACGAGCCGATCACCAGCATCTTACCGAACGCGTACTTGCGCGCCAGGTCCATCCGCTGCAGGAACCCCCCGACCTTGTTCAGAGTCACGAAGGAGACGGTGTTCTCGTCGTTGTACTTGTAGTTGCAGAACCAAAGGGAGTAGCCCTCGGGGTCATACATGTCCCAGAAACCTGAAAATAGTAAACATAGATATGTGTATGTATATATGGGTATACGCCATTTACTAATAATCTTTGAAAAATATATCACAATGGACAACTTTGCAGGTATCTAGCAGATGCCTTAAGAAACATTGTAATAGGTATGCCAAAAAAGATCTGAATTATTGCTGTGCGAAAAGGGCCTGACTCATAGTTGGATCAGGCATACCACTAATGATAGAAAACCTAAGATTTAACAAGGAATTACAAAATCAAGGAGGGGCTGGGGATTACAGTCCAACTAGACCTCTAGAAGAAAGCAGGGAAAAATATAGTGAACATAAAAGCTGTTTTAGATTTTGTTGGGCAGCGAATCCTGCCAAAAATCAGATTATGGCAAAAAAAAAACCAACGAATATGCAAAGTAGGTGGAGTACCAACGGGTAATTTAGCTTAAACCAAACGAGACAAAGTCTCCACTTCTGTTATTTTAACAATGCAAATATAATTCTTACTATTTTCTATATTTTTTAACATAATCACTCCAGTTAATTAAATTATAGAGTTTAGCACTTCATTCCTTCTTCAATCTAACCTATGATCATTATTCTGACTAGCTTAATTCATACGAAGGGACATGATTGAACAGAGCACATACCCTTAATTGCGACTTCACGGAAGTTTGTTTTGGTGTTTGAGTACAGTCTCTTCCACTCGTCTAGAATCATTTTGCTCGGGGGCAACAGGTCAAGAGGATTTTTGGGTTTTGGCTTGGGCGCTTCCTCTTCTTCCTCAGCAGGTTCTTCCTTAGGCTTGGCAGTTTCCTTCTTAGCTTCCTTCTTACTTTCCTTCTTAGGTTTTGCTGCTTCCTTTGGTTGTGCAGGTTTCTTTGCGGTCGTTACAGCTGGGATAGCTTCAGCCTGCTTTACTTCACCAAGTACCTTGGTGAATTTTGGTTGATTGACAACGGTCCAAAAGTACCTTTCCACATGAGGAAATTCTGAGGTGAATGCTTTGGTCATGATACGCGTAAACCCTATGAACAAGTTGCAGCCCATTATAATGTCTGCCAAGGTCACGGCATGCCCCACCAAGTAAGTGTTTGTTGAAAGATGTGTGTTCAAAGCCCCCAATGCCCTCTTCAAAGCGTCAATTGCATCTTCCTCAGCCTATCATATTACAAACAATGAACACTAGGAAAGAAAAAATATTTGACAAACATGATGTGAATGAACTTATGAACTAACCTGAGGAAGGTAATTACGAATTCCAAATCTTGGATAAAGCCATCGTCCAATATTTACGTCTATCTCCGTAGAAGAGAAATCCATCCACTGTTCGATTAGACCCTAAGGAATAATCAACAAACATTTGTACAAATCAGTAATGAATGCCGAGAGAACTTAGGGAGTTTATAAAGTAGGGGTTATTAGGTGGAAAAAAAAACTCACATATTCAATTAGTGATGATCCGTAAAGTGGGTTGTCAGCCTTCAGACGGGCAACTGTAAAAAAGAGAAGGGGAGTGAATATAGCAGTCAAGAGCTTAGGTACCCATTATCTCTAATATTGGAATCCGACTTACCATAGCGAGCTATAGCATTGCTTTCGAAAATGGGGCCATCAGGTGTCTCCAAAACAGGAACCTGTAGGCCAAAAACAATTAATATAACCAATGTAAATCAAGCAATAAAATCTAAAAGTTTATAATTTAACCTTTCCAATTGGATTCATCTGAAGAAATTCTGGGGTCTTATTGGAAACACCGAACTGAAAATTCTTGATTTGCTCGAGAGCGACTCCGGTATATTCTGCAGCGATGAGTGCCTTGGAACCATTTTTATTTCCCTCATTTGCGTGCAATACCTAGAGATTGACGTACCAATGTCCAAGAAAAGATCAGAGGAATTTCGTAAACGCCCCCACAAACACCTCTTATGTTTTTCTAGAAAGAAATCAGTGCTAGCAAAGAAACCACACATAGTAATATCAACTGGTCTCCCTTTAGAAATATTCATAACTTCCTGGAGAACTAGACAAACAAGCTTCCTGTGCTGGGAGAGATACAAATTTCTCTTTTCGAGGGCATCTATCGTTCACATATCCAGGTCTGCATTGTTGCTAGCTATTTTCACAATGAGTCAACACTGGACAAGTATGCTAAGATAAAACAGAGTCCAAGAACAGAATGAAATGGAGATACATTAATTGTTAAAAGAAAAATGTTCAAAATTGGTGTAGCTTTTTCATATCGCAAACAACAGTAACAGCAAGGAAGAGTTTCAAGTCCCACATGGGAATTAGCTGAACAGCATGCAATCATGGAAAGACGTACATAAAGTTATTGTAACTTAGAATCAGAAAAACTAGAGGTTGGGAAGTGATAACGTTTAATTCCAATAGAAAGAAGTACACTTTTTCAGCATGGGGTAAATGACTACATTCACCTACAAAATGAATGAACAAGATTCCACCGATTGCAAAGGTCGGCAAATGTAATATTTTGCAACATGAATAACAACACAACAACCTTGCCGTAGTAATGCCGATAGAAAAGGACAGTACGATTAAGCAGGAAGATACACTGAATGCTACGAAATCTAAATTAACTGTTACACCGGATACGGATCCAGGAAAAATTTTCAGGGAAGGCTCGAGCTAAATCATATTATCATAAAAAATGAAATCTATTTCATGCAAGTTACCTCACAACACAAACCGCAATGAACATATCAACGACAAGAAAGAGAACTGTGGATGAGGATTATAAGAGACAGGGGAGAGATCAAGGAATCTCCATGCACGCACGGGGAGAGACTGTAGGGCTTACCAGGACCATCGTGGCTTCAAAGATGCAGATCTCCTAGTTCGAGTCTGAAGAATTCACGATGAGATATTAATTCCAGGGCTGAACATATATACTAGCGAGGGAAATCATGGCGTATGCACAAGAAACTACGAGACGTGGAGAGCCAACCTTGGGGAGGAGACGGAACAGCTGAGCGTTTTCTTTTCGAGGTCGAGAGGCGCCGCTAGTCTCCCCGCACCGATGTCCTCAACCGTGTATTTATAGCCCTGACTAGGGCACCATCGAAAGGAAAGCGTCCAGCGGATGTCACCAAAGAGACCCCCCACGAAATTCATGAAAACCACGAAAGTGCCATAAATCGGAAAATTAGATACTTTAATATCTGTATGGGATTTTATCACCTCAAAAACTTAATTTCCGAAGCTCCTCTCTCTCCCTCTCGTCTCGGCCCGTCTGCCCTCTGTTTCCCTCAACCCGCCCATCCCTCGCCTTCCCTTCTACGCTCCCAATCCGGCTCCTCGTTCTCTCCTAGACCTGCACTGGAAATTGGGTTTGGTCTGTCTCCAGGGCCAACCGGAGGCGTTTCCTCCGCATACGGCTCTGTTCAGCGTTGTCTATTTCCAGGTCCGGCATCTGTAATCTCTCCCAGACGCTTCCCCGGGTATGCGTAGCAACAATCTTTTTGGATAGAAATTTTTTTCCTTTGATAAAATCGTAGATATGTGGTGAATTATTCATGGTTTTTTGAAAAGGTTATCTTGCCTAATGGGATCTAGGATGAAATTGAAGATTTACCCTCTTGTTCTATGTGAAGAGGGGCTCGCAGGCGCATGCTATAACTTGTGATTCGTCATCACTTGTAAACTATGAGGAATGGAAAATGGCAAACAACCGTGTTCTGAGAACACTTTTTTCAGCTCTCTCCATGCACAAATCATGAATGCTGTGCCTCGATGGTGGGAAATCCTAGATTGGAGATGGACTGGAGAAGAAGCAAAAGGACTTGGAGTGCCCAAAGGGAAGAAACGTAGTCGCTCTAAAGTCGTACATGGGACGCTTTAATAGGGCCAATGAGATTGGAGAGTTCCATTATAATGCCCCTGCGTCTGCTTTTATATTTGAGAAATTTTCAGGAAATTTCTATTCCTCTGGAGTTCAATTTTTTATGTGAAAGGCTCTGTCATTTTGTCTTCTTTGTGTGGGTTTATGGATCTTGGTGGGTAGGTTACATTTTTCGATTTAGTTTTTTAAAAAGCGGTTAGATCACTCTTATTCCCTTTAGTCCGAAGTCTCATTAGAAACTGTCAATCAGTTTTCCAAGACGTATCCATACACATCTGGATTTATATCTGTAGCCCCATAATCATCGCAAGTCATCCTAAGTTACTGTATGCCTTTACTTGATGCATTGGGTTTTTTGTTCATATGGGTTAAAAGAGCCTATTGACCTAAAAAAACTATATTTTCATTTTTAGTTACGTTTCATAAAATTTTGATTGCTACAATAAAAGCTGGGAAAAGTATCTGGCTTACATTTTTTAGAATTTTTTTTCTCATTACTTGTGGTCCTTGGCTGGTTCAGTTGTCGTTATATAGAAACTGCACCAAAGCGGTACTTTGTCAACTGTGTGCAATTCATTATAGGCTATTAACTTTTAACTTGTCCGAACCATAGTGTTAGCACCTCATATTTTTAATTATTCATGTGGCCACATCATCTGCAAGTGGATGAACATAACATCTGCTAGAAGGAACTGATAGTTATTACCTCACAAATGCCTTGCTTTGACTTTGTATTATTTCCTATTTTATCTCGGTCTGTTCTCCATATCTATAATTAGTTTTTTCAACCTTGGAAGTTTTTCTTGTGCAATTTTTGGTTTAGAGTCGATGTTCCTAGGTCTGAAGAAAAGTTTGTTTTAGCTGTAGACCTAAGCGACTCTGTGACCTGACCATCCCTAATAATTTCTCTTTGGTTTTGCAGTTTTCTGAACCAAAACTAGAAGAGAAATGCATCCGCCTCTCACCCTTCACAGGCACCCAATGTGCGCTGATGTACGTTTTGTCACTAACTGTCTCTAATTCTATGCAGCTTTTAGCTTATGTCACTTCATTGATTTCTTCTCGCAGAGAAATCAAAGAATATGCTTCCATCAATATATCCGATTTAGGATTCTACAACCTGACAGCATGTAGAGTGATCACGTAGTGGCGAGATTTTGAGTGGACTTTTGGTCCTCAACTTGTTCTTGGCTGGTTTTCTTGTGGATTGACAGTGATCAAGTCACAGAGACTTGCTGCACCGCTCAGATAATCCTCAAGCCATATCTGACTCGTTTTCGTTCTTAGAGATCCGAGTTGTGGATGGTTCTGATAGAGCAGTCTTTGTCACGTAGGTTGTAATTTAAACTCCTTATCTGTGATCTTTGGCATCTTACAGTAGGATTGTGTGTCCTTGGTCCACCTTTTAGCTTAAATCTACTGAATTAAATATGGCATCTCTCAACACTTCTCTTGATAATCAGTACTAGAGGTTAATCATTCACTCTTGCTTGGAATAATCAAGGGAGGAGATTCCTACGGACTTCCTGGTTACAAAGCGTCTTCTTTGAAGAGTCCTGCTCTGATACGTCCTGTTTATTTCAAAAGCCATGCTACCTAAGCATGCTATTGCATTCTGCAAAAAATATGCATATTCAAAGTAACACTATCTTCGAGTGACACCATGGCTTGATTGTAAGGTAAATCTTACGCAAATTATTTGCCCATTTGAAATTTCTAGATTTAAATCAAACGTAGGGGAAACCATATTAAACTTAGGGAGAAGGAGTGGAGAGAAGCTAGCTGGAAGATTGGAAAGCACTACCTTATTAGTACACAGTCAATCCATTATGCATGAATACACATTCCGCATATTTAATCTGCTCAAATATCTCTCCATTGAGCGCAAGCTCTGGATGTGTGCCTGCTCGGTAAATTCGATGCTTCTTCAGTCAAATACAAGCTACTGTATCCTATTTTTTTCCTATTTATCAAAAATCAACTATTTTCATGGAAACCATTCAAAAAACTTGCATGAATTTTAGGGTCACGTTTGTGGCTCTCTTGTCTCAAATACTGGTTCGTAACTATGAATAAATAACTCAGCCAACTACTTGCACATCCGTCCCATTCATTGTCTCCCATCTCCTAAGCTGAGCCAGATATACTTCATTAACCAATACGTGGAAGGATTATCGGCAGCGATTCGTTTGAATTCTTCAACACGATGAGGAGACGTCTAGAGCAATTCCCTCCACCCTTCAACTTTCAGAGAAACCATCAAGTCATTGTCATAATTCATTTTTTCAGTCCCCACCATGGAATTCATCAGGCCTCTGTTTTATTATCTGTGCAAGATTTCCAATGAAATGCTATTTATACCCTTCTCGTTCTGGTCGTAATCCTCAACATCCATTATATATCAAACTGAAACTGCAAATCCAGCTTTTCTCTCTCATAATCGGGCACATGTTCCAGTGGGAGACACTCATTCCAGCTGGGGTAGAATCACACAGAGCGGAGCCATCAGGATTCAGTTCAGGGATATCCTATCTCACACAAAACTTGATTGGGCCCACATTATCTACTAACCCATAGTCATGGTTGTCACATCAATATGGATAAATAGAAAGGGGCAGAATAGTACTTGCGTCAATGATCGATGACAGGCTGGATTAAAATTATTTCTTCTATTATCCTTGATCCATCAGCTTCAACCCTGAGATAGTGATTGACTGCTACCGTAAGCCACTCCCGTCAGCTATCCTTTGCGTAGCACACTCAAGATTTTCACATGTGCTCTTGACTTTATGTATCCTTCGCCCAACCTTATACTACTCCTGCAGATTATCGAAGAATTCCAGAAGTGCCATGCAGACCATCCTATTGCGAAATTCTTTGGTGAGTGTACAGAATTGAAGATAAAATTGGACCGTTGTTTCCGACAGGAGGTGTGTTGTTGACTCCTTGGTTTACCATTGATCATCCTCATCTGTGGAATCCTCAGCGAGTCTGTGCTTTCTTCCCCATGCAGAAAGCCTTGAAGAGGAAGGCCAATTTTGAGGAGAGCATGAAGTTCAAAGAAAGGCTACAAGCTTATAGAAAAGACGAGGCAGAAAAAGACTCGCAATGAAATTCCACAGGCAGCGGTGTGGTGCCAACCCTCTGGGCATGAGCTCGCTGCGGAGGGTGCACATTGGCATTAGAGCTTGAAAGTTTTGATTTTTCATGGAACCCATGTTTCCATAAAGGGGACTGGGCGTGGCGAGCCTTTCAGAAAATGCCATTTTGTTTTCTGTACAGAGAGGAGGGAAAGAGAGACAGAGAGAGTGAGCAACTGGGACAGCTTGTCCTCGCGAACACACAAAAGCCAGCCAACTGACACGTTGTTCTGTCGTCAGTTAGGTCACTGCGGAATAGATTCCCCTGTCGGCAGGCCACTCAGCGTAAAGCTGACTGAACTCGATTGCAAATTAGTAACCGCAAGTTGGGGACAACCGGCCGCAACGGTCGTCTTCAGCCCCCGAGATTGGAGGGGCCCGCCGCCATCCAACGGTGCACCGCCCTGGTTGGACGGGTGTGACCGTAGCACCACCGCTGGTGAGCCCTCTGGTTCTTCCACTATCCATCAATTCTACGGTGTTCGAGTGCGCCACGCAAACCATGGCGCTGCCCATCTTCTCTCCCCTCCCCTCCGTCGGGCAATCCCATATCCAATTAGTCTAGGTCAACGCAGAGGAAAATAACTCAAGACAGGACCACTTGCTCGATCGATATGCGAGTTGTGAGCCAATTATTGTCATATTTTAGTGAGAGAGTGATGTAATCGTTGATCTTCCCTTCTGCATTGTTCCTCGACTGGCCCCGTGTTGAAGCTCTATAAGCACCTCAAAACAACACGACACGGAATGTACACAAGGATCTCTTGCTAGAGAGAGCAGCGAGCCGAGGGCGAGAAGATATGGCGGAGATCTCTCTCCTCTCCCCTTACAAATTGGGGAAATTCGATCTCTCTCACAGGTCGGTTTGGAGTTCTATCCGGATTTCTTTTCTCATCTTCCCTTCGATGGCCGGGAAGGAAATCTCGTGGGGTCACACTGCTTGATCCTGCTGAAACTGGCTTCCTCCGGCAGGGTTGTGCTTGCGCCGATGACGAGGCAGAGGTCTTACGGCAACGTCCCCCAGCCCCACGCCGCACTGTACTACTCTCAGAGAACCACCAACGGTGGCCTTCTTATTACCGAGGCTACTGGTGTTTCAGACACGGCTCAGGGGTAACCCGAACCTAGCCCCTCTCTCTGTCTCTCTCTATTCATCTATCTATCAATCAATCTATCCGTCTACATACCTATCTAGATAGCTAGCTAGCTAGCTAGCTCTATCTCTGATGGAAGAGATGTATCGTCTCTCTGGTTTGAAGGTACAAAGACACCCCGGGAATTTGGACCCAAGAACATGTGGAAGCGTGGAAGCCGATTGTGGAGGCCGTTCATGAGAAAGGGGGACTCTTCTTCTGCCAGATTTGGCACGTCGGAAGGGTTTCCAACTACGGTAGGTTTAGTTTCCTCCTCCCCCGACGTGATCGTTTCCTCTCGGAGACACCAACGGAATCGAGGGTCAACTCTCTGGCAGGTTTCCAACCCAACGGACAGGCCCCCATCTCCTGCACCGACAAGCCGGTGGTGGTCGAGGAGACAGGGCCGGATGTGTTCCCCATGGATTTCTCCCCACCGCGGCGGCTCAAGGTGGAGGAGATCCCCAGCATAGTCAACGACTTCAGGCTCGCCGCCAGGAACGCCATCGAAGCCGGTGAGCCGCCGCTGTCATCTCCTCGCGGATCTGATCTGAACGCCGCCATGACAATCTTCCCCGAGCAGGTTTCGACGGCGTGGAGATCCACGGCGCCAACGGTTATCTCATCGAGCAGTTCTTGATGGACCACGTCAACGACCGGACGGACGAGTACGGCGGCAGCCTGGAGAACCGCAGCCGATTCGCGCTGGAGATTGTCGACGCCGTCGTCGGTGAGATCGGCGCCGACCGGGTGGGCTTCCGTCTCTCCCCCTTCTCCGACTACGTTGACTCCTGGGACTCGAACCCGGTGGCCCTCGGTGTCCACGTGGCGCAGGCCCTCAGCAATCGCGGCATCCTCTACTTCCATGTCATCGAGCCGAGGATGGTTCGTGTCGACGGGAAGCTCCAGATCCCCTACGGGCTTCGCCCAATAAGGGAGGCCTTCAAGGGGGCCTTCATCGTCTCCGGCGGATACAACCAGGAATCCGGCAACAAGGTGGTGGCGGAAGGATACACCGATCTGGTGGCCTACGGACGGATTTTCTTGGCCAATCCGGATCTCCCCGGAAGATTCAAGGTGGGAGCCCCCCTGAACAAGTATGACAGGACCACCTTCTTCACCTCCGACCCCATCGTCGGCTACACAGATTACCCCATTCTTGAACCAGCAGCTTAGAAGGAACACATCCAGCCTTCTCCTGCACCATCCCTTATCGTCTGCTCATCCACGGAGATGATATTTGGATCGAGGGACAGTAAATGATGTATTGAGAGGTGATCCAAACTGTTCATGCTATCGAATAATTGTCAAAGATAAAAAAGTGTACATTATTGACCGGAAAATAGATCAGCAAGTGGCAATAATGGAGACGGACCAATCCCTCCAGAGTGGATACCCAACGGCTGAGGAGACCTCTACGTTGTCCCCTCCCATCTCGCCGGTCAGCTCCTCCACTGCGGTGCGAAGTGTCCTGCAGCGTGGGAGGAGGATCTAGAAGGCTTCTGCCGCCTGAGTTGGGGCCCGGAAAAAGGTCTAGGTTCATCGCTGAGGGGAGGCTGGGGGGCTAATCGGAGAATGATTCGGGCTCGGGGCGTGGGCATTATTAAGTCAAACGTTTTGACAGCCATCGTCGCAGCCCAAGATGACGGCAGCGCTCACGTCTCGGTGGCGTCCGGAAGAGACAGCATAGATGCTGGTTCATTGGATTCAAAGGATGCATGCGTTGTTAATGCCGATGTGGACGGTACTACGTATGTGATGATGTCATGAAACCGCAAAAAGTTGGGTCCAAATGAAGAAGGAAATTTACAGGCAATTTCTCCAAATGAAAAAGGAAAAAAGGATATGCTCCAGGACTACATTTTGATCTCGTTCAACTGCAGGGACGACTGCCATTGCCCGCCCCCCGCAGCAGCCGGCCACTTGGACAGATGCTGGCCATATTCCGCTGGTCGTTCGGCGGCGGAACCGGCGGTCCACGGTTCCCCCCTCATCACTCTCTAGCCGACAACTGGAAGACCTCGAGAAGGCCAAGCCGGCGAGCATCGCCGCCCACGCAGTCCCCCATGCAATAAAAGACATCCTCGATCACCACCCATGGTAGGTATCGGAGGAGAGGAGAGAGGCACTCGAGGTCGCGGCGGAGGAAGAAGAGCGACGGAGATGGCGCCGGAGACGCTCCCCCTGCTTACTCCTTACAAGATGGGCAAATTCGAGCTCTCTCACAGGTTAGTCTGAGCTTTTCCCCCCACCGTTCCTGTGATGGATCCAGGGACGACCCCCTAGGAATCTCTCGTAGTTACTTACTCCCCGGCCATCTCTGTCCGTGGTCTTCATTCGGATTGCCCGTTTCATGGTTTCAGAGAACGGGATTCTTCAATCGGAAAGATAAATGCCCGATCAAATCATTCAAATTTCGTTCTTCAGTACTGAGATTTTTTTTCTGCTGTAATCCTCTTCAGAGTGGTGCTTGCTCCGCTGACGAGGCAGAGATCGTACGGCAACGTGCCCCAACCGCATGCGGTGCTGTACTACTCGCAGAGGGCCACGAAGGGAGGCCTCCTCATCGCCGAAGCCACCGGAGTTTCAGACACCGCTCAGGGGTATTCCGATACGCCGGGGATCTGGACCAAGGAGCAGGTGGAAGCGTGGAAGCCCATTGTCAGCGCCGTCCATGACAAGGGCGCCATCTTCTTCTGCCAGATATGGCATACGGGGAGGGTCTCGAACTACGGTGATCCTCCGTTAGCCTCCTTCATGTTCCTGGTCTCATCCTCCCGCAGGAAGAGAGATCGGTCCCTCCTCACGCATTTGTCTCTGATATGTGGAGTTGTGTGCAGGTTTCCAGCCCAATGGGCAAGCTCCAGTCTCCAGCACAGACAGAGGCATCCTTCCCGTGGCTCAGCACGATGACTCCGTCGCTGAGTACTCTCCTCCGCATCGTCTGCGCACAGACGAGATTCCTCACATCGTCAACGACTTCAGGCTCGCAGCAAGAAACGCCATCGAGGCAGGTCGGCTCTTCCGTCCCCCTCCTCTTGTCTGCTCTGCTCTCTCCCTCTCTATCCTTCTATCTCTCAGTTGAATGGGACTGTCGACAGGGTTCGATGGGGTGGAGGTCCACGGGGCGCACGGCTACCTGCTGGAGCAGTTCATGAAGGACAGTGTGAACGACAGGACGGACGAGTACGGCGGTAGCCTGGAGAACCGGTGCCGCTTCCCGCTGGAGGTGGTCCAGGCCGTCGTCGACGAGATCGGAGCCGACCGAGTCGGCATTCGCCTCTCCCCCTTCACCGACTACATGGAGAGCTGGGACTCCGATCCGGAGGCCCTCGGCCTGTACATGGCGAAGGCCCTGAGCAAACTGGGCCTGCTCTACTGCCACGTCGTGGAGCCGCGGATGACCATCGTCGAGGGCCGCCGGAAGCTCCAGCATGGCCTCCTCCCCATCAGGAAGGCCTTTCAGGGGACCTTCATCGCCGCCGGCGGCTACGACCGCGAGGAGGGCAACAAAGCCGTGAACTCCGGCTACACGGACCTGGTGGCGTTCGGGCGGCTTTTTCTCGCCAACCCCGACCTCCCCAAGCGCTTCCTCCTCGATGCCCCGCTCAACAAGTACAACCGGTTGACCTTCTACACCCCCGACCCCGTCGTCGGCTACACCGACTACCCCTTTCTCGATTCCTCGGCCTGATTTTCAGACTCCATTCGTAGACCCTACAAATAAAAGCCCCCAGATTTGCTACCAAGGCCCCCGTGCTGCCCTTGTTCTTGGTCTTAACCTGTGCTTGTTCATGGTGTCGACATGGTGTCCTCTCTGTGACGCGAGCAGTGACGTCTGCGCCGTCGTTTTTTTATCATATTATAAATCAAAATTTCAAGCGGCGTATTTAACGATTTAATTAGCAAGCGATGAGCCCGTTCTTCCTCTTGGTTCTCTTTTATTTCTCTCTCCTTCCCCCCAACTTCTCTCCTAGGGAGCCAGCGGAGGGGAGGAGAGGTTGGGGGGCGGTCGGTGCGGGTGGTGCCGCAGTGTGTGGAAGCGCTTGTGATGATCGGAGCAGCGGCGAGAGGTTGGCGTTGGGAGAAGAGAGAAGAACGGGGCGATCGTGTCCATGGCATTTCTCGTCGCCCGCCACCGGGGGTCGGATTGCATCGAAGCCTAGGTTCAACTTGTTGTCCCCAGGGATCGGAATTCACGATGACGAACGCACGACGCTGAAGAGGGGGAGAGAGAGAGTGAGAGAGATGGGAAAATCTGTTCCTCTCATCACGCCATACAAAATGGGCAAATTCGATCTCTCTCACAGGTCAGTGGGATAGCATTTTATTTCTCTAGTTATTGGTTGAGTTGATGTGCAGTGGCCTCCATGTCCTGTAGGCGTTCGACGTTTTGCCTCCGAGAAATAGTGAAATCCTCCATGGCCCCATCAGCCGGGAGAATGCGGGTTTATGAAATTCTTCCAAGTCAGCAGGAGAAATAACCCAAATAAATGGCTCGCATATAAAACTTGCACCAGCCTTCTGGTGACAGTAATCCATTTCCGATGCAGTTTTAGCTGATGGATCTTGCGATTCTGATAAAAAAATTCCCTTGAAACTGTGAATGATATATGGTGAGATTGATCGAAATCGTATCTATTTCTTGACGCGAAGTTCGCTGTCGTGCTTGCATCCACCAGAGTGGTTCTAGCCCCGTTGTCGAGGGACAGGTCTTTCCACAGCATCCCCCAGAAACACGCAATCTTGTATTACTCTCAGAGAACAAGCATGGGAGGGCTTCTGATCGCAGAAGCCACCAAAGTTACAGACACGGCCCAAAGGTGAAACCTCGAATTCATGCTGTAGACCAGTGGAGAAGTTGGTGAGAGAATTATTCGTCCGTTCTATTTAGCGTGCTCTGCTGACACTGTAGGTACCCTCATTCCCCTGGTATTTGGAGCAAAGAGCAGGTGGAGGCCTGGAAGCCCATTGTGAATGCAGTGCATGACAAGGGCGGTATCTTCTTTTGCCAGCTATGGCATGTTGGAAGCGCATCTCATTACAGTAGGTGCTCTCAGTACGACCTCTCCCTCTCTGCGCTCTTCCTACTCCCTGACATTTCTTTACTGGAGAGGAGCTGGACGGTCTTGATTAAGCTACTGGGCCTGGAAGATATTCACGTTATTTCCTGGGATTTTCGTCCTATTTGAGCCCATGAATCAATTTCGTCCGAGCTATTGTCGAATGTGGGCGTGATCTGGTTTGATGGAGCCAACGGTGCTTCACTCGATGGAGCTAATGGCAGAAAAGTTTTTGATTTTTGGTCGTTCTCTCTGCTTGGGTTCCCACAGGTTTCCGTCCAGATGATCAAGCTCCCTCCTCCCTACTGGTTCGGGCTAATGGTATTGACACTGCAGAACTCTCCATTGCAAGCCGCTTGAGAACGGATGAAATCCCTCTCGTTGTCGATGATTACAGAGTGGCTGCGAAGAACGCAATCGATGCTGGTAATGAATCTATTCAGCTCTCTGTTCATCCCGTAGATCTTATACTTACCACAAGGGGAAACTCTGAGACTGGCTTAGTGTTTTCTAGGGTTTGACGGTGTAGAGATTCACGGTGCCCACGGCCTGATCGACCAGTTCTTCAAGGACCAAGTGAACTATCGGGCCGATGACTACGGGGGGAGCTTGGAGAACCGCTGCCGCTTCGCGCAGGAAGTAGTCGAGGCTGTCGTCGATGAAGTGGGAGCCCACAGGGTCGGAATTAGGCTTTCCCCTTACGGGAGGTACGGCGAAGCGGGGGACTCGGACCCGGATGCCCTCGGTGTGTTCGTGGCCGATGCCATGAGCAAGCACGGGATCTTGTACTGCCATGCGATTGAGCCGAGGACGAAGAGAGTGGGAGAGAAGGGCGAGGTCCCGCGGGGCCTTCTCCCGATGAGGGAGGCCTTCAGGGGGACGTTCATCGCCGCCGGCGGTTACGACAGGGATGACGGCAACCGAGCCATCGCCGAGGGCTATGCGGACCTGATCGCCTACGGCCGGTTCTTCCTGGCCAACCCCGACCTTCCTCGGCGGTTCGAGCTCGACGCCCCGCTGAACAAGTACGACAGGAGCACCTTCTACATTCCCGATCCTGTCGTCGGCTACACTGATTACCCATTTCTTGATTCCTAGGCCTTCTACCTTGGTCTGCTTCCTCTTCTATGACCAAAGATCCTGAATATTCCGTTGTCAGCTTCTTTTCTGAGGATCTGGGTCAAACCCCAGTAACGCCCGATCAGGCGAGAGAGAGAGGAAAAGGTTACTCACATCAGACGATACAAAATGGGTCACTAGGATCATGCGACTCACTTTTATTCAGGTCTGTAGCTGACTTGATGTGGACTGGTATTCATATCCTTTGAGCGTTTGCTGATGCCCTCATGCAATGCTTAGGAAATTCTCGTTAATATGAAATGAGATTTAATGGGCCTTGTCACAGTCGTTTATTTTTTTGATATAAATATCATTATTGTCAAGGGACTAATCTTTCCAACATCCTCAAAATAAGACAATATTATATTACTTGTATGATGGATGAGAAAAATATTTGTGGAGAGAAAAAGGGAAAAGAGAAAATGACTCTCTTATTCATGACTTTCATTTCCTCTCGTATATTGAATCACTTACACATACAAGGGACACTTGTTCAATATAATAAAAAGCAAAGAGAACTAACTCATAATGATTTGATGGAAATGTCAACTAATTGATGTTTCTCTTGAATTCAAAGTACTTTGATGAATTTAACAATTAGCTTAGAATGAACAAAATTTTAGTTGATCTCATTGTGCTTGCTGAATCAGAAGTAAGATGAATGAGGGCTTGTTTGTCATGAAACAAAATTGTTGAAAGCAGTCTTGTGATGCGAAAATCCAGCAAAATCTAGTAGTGACATCTAATATTCAATATTTGGCTTCAAGAGTTGAGAAACATAATGTTGATTGCTTCATCATTTTCAAAGAAATTAGTGAATCTTTAAGAGAAAGGTAATAATCAGTGACTTATTTATGAGAATAAGAATATGAAACCCACTCATTAGTGGAAAATATGTGAAATTTTAGAGAAGGTTAAGTGAAGAAGAATAATCATGGAATTAGACTTAGTAAGGGAAGCAAAGGACACAAAGTTGTGATACATGAATTAAAACTAGGTGTCGATGGTGAGACATGCTTTTTTAGTCTTTGAACTACAAAGATGATATCAAGTTGTGTAGTGCTAAATAGAAGAGTCTTTCAATCAATTTTTTACATTGTGATGTATCTTCAAGTATTTATCTAGTGGTGAAATCTAAATAGGTATGAAGGTTTATAAAGATAAAGGCAAATTAGAATCAATAAATCTGTATCTTAAAATAGATATAGAGTGTATTAACACTAAGAGATTAATTCATATTGATGAATGTGTAAATTCTAAATCCAAAAAAAAAATCTAATTTCCAAGATCATTAATCTTGAATCAATGACTCATCAATGCTTTCAAAATATTAATGTTAGTAATAAAAGGTCCCTTTATTATAAATCATTGACATATGATACTCTTTTGTAAATAATAAATAATCCATTTTTTTTATTGAACTTGAATGTAGTCAACAACATTGATAATTTGAAGTACCACTACTTATACACATGTCAAATCTTAAAAATTGATTTATGTAATTACAAATAACAATAACTTAATGAGCTGATGACTTCTCCTTACAATGATAATTCAAAAGAAAGTCTATGTAGCCTACCTACTTCAAATATGTCGCAATTGAGAATACCATTTTTAACATTTTAATTGTGTTTGGTTACAAATATTCGTGTAATATACTAGTTAAAATTTGACAATATGATAAAATTTCCTAAAAATCAATGCCTTCTTGAGTGTATTTTTTGACAAAAAGACAAGCTTTATGCTGTCTGAGCATCATCAGATCTATATTTCATTTTGTAAATCTAGTGACAACTAATAATATGCTTGTAAGCTAGTAAAGGCGCAACTCATAAAATATTAATCAATTCTAAATTATGTAATTAAATCTTCATTGCCACACATGAATTAAGGTATGCAACAACCTGATTGCAAAATTAAGATTCATAGTTGGAAGAAACAATAATGATATTTTTTTTATGAGAACTTGATAAAGAGGTGTGAGAAAGGGAATCTAATATAAGTAAGAAATTATATTTGTGTGTGATAGTATATACATCAATGTCTAAGGTTTATACACATAAGTGGAGTGTCACACTTAGATAGGTGGTTGTAAGACTACACTTATATATTTATGATTTTGATGTCACAAAGTTTGTATCTTTTTATTATATGAAAGTGTCAAATGAAGAAACAAGATCTAACATATAGTTAAAATTTAGTTTGATGTATGTGAAGGGTGCATGCAAAGGCTAAGAAGCTAGTGACTAAAACTATGAAATAATTAATCTGCTTTTAATATAATAATTCAGATATATCTTTATAATTGAGAACATGCAATGGCAGTCTATTGATATTAAATGTAGTGGAGAGAACACGATATATACAAAATTATGTTAAAATGTGTAATTAAAAAAAATAATCTAACTACATAGAGTAAGTGTTGGCACTTGATTTTTACTTAAAGTTTTGTTGTGCTCTATCAACATATTAATAAATTTCATATCCATTAATAAAATATTTGAGTCAAGCTCTTTAACATTATCACATTAAAATTATTTGATGTTGTAGTCAAATTGAGTGCATATAATAAAAAAATTGAGGAAAGTACTCTTCGAATCTAATTTAATTTTTAGAAGAAAATTTAATGTAAAGTAAGTTGAATAGTCAATAATAGTAAAATGACATTACTAAATTGAATAACTTGTGGTAAAAAAATGATCCATGTATGCCACAATTCATTGAATTAAATTAATAGTTTGAAAGATAGTCATGATGAAAAAGGATAATTGATGTCATTTTTTTCAAAAGACAAATAAAACATGGAATTAGCTCATTATAAGTTGAAAAGACAACTATTAAATTACTTTACAATGCCTCTAAGATATTGAAAGACAAATGTCTAAGCTTGTTATTTTATATATGAATAGATATAGTGTTGGTAAATAATGTACTTTGCTAGTGTTACTCAAATGATGAAAAAGTAGAACTTTCAAAACTTAAAAACCTTTGCTTTTATCACCATTGTTGGTTATTTTCTTGAAATGTGTATTTAAAAAAAAAACATCAAACTGCAAATCAACTATCATGGTACTCATAGAAGGTAAGTTGTAGTTAGATTGATAAATAAAGATGATATCTTTGAGAATCAAATAAGATTTTAGTTTGTCATCACAACCTAAATTAAATGTAATATGAGCACTAATGGATAAGATAAAAATTGAATGTCATATCAAATATAAACAAATAAAAGTACTATCATGTGAATATGTGTGCCTTGATATACTTTATTTCACTATCCAATCTTTGGATGAAATTGAGTCCAAACAACAAAAAGTCATGTACTTACTAAATAAGATGTTATGTCTTATTTTTATTTTATATTTATTGACCAAGATATATGTGTTGAGAATAAAGTCATCAATTCCTAATGTTGATGTGTATCAAATATTTCACAAAAATCACAATGTCATGTAATTGTTAGATTGTCTTTAAATTTAATATAAGAAGAAATTTGATTAAAATTGTGGAATAAAATTTTACTTTGATTTATAACTCAAATGATAACTATTGAATGTGTAACATTTGTCAATATTATGCCTTCGAAAATGACATTGAATACAATAAGGACCATCCTAGATAATAAGAGTGGTGTAGATAACAAGGGCTTAATTAGTCATTCACATGGAATAACCCAATAAATAAATGTGATGAATCTGTGGGTGTTGATGTCATGAATTGATGGTAAAGTCATCAGCTAACGATGTTCATAAGAAAAAATATAGAGAGATGTTTTTCAAGTAGAGAACATTAAATCAATTATTTATAATTTAAGGGTAATTAAATTTCAATCAATTAAAAGATCACTCTATTGATATTCTTGTTCCATGATTATTTATTATCTCGACCACATTAAAATTATAATGCATAAAATTTTATCATTAAGATGGGACATGCTATTTCAGTCTTTTAGCTCTTGAATTAAAAAATGAGTTAAAATAATGTAAAGTCATTCATTGGTGATGTGTCTAATGTTGATAAAAAAAATAGATTTCAGTGTTTGTTCTTTGACAAAAAAGATGATTAAAACTTAGACTGAAATAGATTTGTAATGATCTTTGTTCTTATGATTGATGACATAAAAAGATTTAGGATTGTGCATATAGATGCAAAAATCCCATAACATATTGATGGACAATAGAGATTCACCTTGTCCTCCATGGCAAGGTCAAAATTTTTGCTTTTAATAAATCACATGCTTCTTGTCAAGTCACAACCATAGTAAAAGGTATCATGACCCTCAACAAGAATGGTTAAATACTTTGTTGAGCATATCAATTCTCTTTGAAGCCAAAGTTGCTCTAACACTATATTACAAAGTACGAGAGGTAGATTTGTGGAGAGAGAAAAAGGAAAGGTAAAATGACTATCTCATTTGTAGCTTTCATTCCCCTCATATATCAAACACCCATCACTTGCAAGTGGACACATATGGCGATGCTGAGGAGAAAATAAACATTAGATTGCTTCTAATTGTGGAGGTGAAACCTCGAACCTATGTTGTTGATTAATAGAGAAGAAAGATAGAGAATCATCTATCTTATTTTGGTATGCTCTATTGACATTGTAGGTACCCACCCTCAATCCATTAGTGTCTGGAGCAAGGAGTAGGTGGAGCCTAGAAGCCCATTGTGAATACAATGCATGGTGAGGATGGTATCTTCTTTCATAGTTACGGTCATTCTTTATTAAACTACTAGGTCTGTAAGATATTCACATGATTTTTTGAGATGTTTGACTTATTTCGGCTCAATTTCAATCAAAGATTGTACAATAACATGCCCAAGACACCTGTAGTGTTGTATTACTTGTAGAGAGTCATGAAGGGTGGCCTCCTCATTGCCAAAGTCACTAGAGTTTGAGACACTACTCAAAGGTATCCTAACATGCTTTGGATCTAGACCAAGGAGTAGGTGGAAGTGTGGAAGCCTATTGTGCGG